CTGCTAATATTTTTCATTTTCTCTTTCACATTGACATAGATCTCCCTAATACTGTATCTCTTATAGGTAATCCATTGACTGAAATAAAGTCACTAAACCAGGTTTTGGTCTCATAATTTTCATTAAAGAATTTCTTCCTAAAACATTTTTATGCAAATGCCTTCCTCTGGTAACATGACTGTTATCAAGTTTTCAGCAATGCCTGAGTTACATTAATTTCCCCCATCACCAGCATCATTACAATCACAGTCATCAGTCCCGTCAATCTTAATTTGAAACCATCAGCCATATACTTCTTCACATCATGCTCCATTTTCCTATAGCAAGATGCATTTCACAAGTCAGCATATGCCACTTGCATCTGTATATCTGGTAATCCATAGCAAACCTCAGAGCATAATATACGTGTAACTGTTGCTCATTTGAAGGGACTGCTGCTGACTTACAAATACCTCATGTCTCCTGAGTCAGCATCTCAGACTTAGCTACTTATTGCTGAGTGTTTGTGACTCACGAATGCCCTACACATGTCCTGTTTCTGTGACTGAAGAATACATTGCATAATCATTTGCTTCTTGTGCAATTGATTACTCTTATCATAAATGATGTTTCTGGGGATTTGGTTATGTGGTACCACCTACTTGAAGCTAGCATGACTCTAGGAGCCACCAAAACCTGTTTTATTTGCTGTTAAGTTTGATTTGGCACTACTGCAGCGGGAGGTGTATCCTCGTAAGATGAAGGACTTGCTCAAGTTGAAACAGCAGCTGGAACAAAACTCAGGCCTTGTGCAGGCCAAGGTGAGTTTGGCTTGTGTGGTGGCACTCCAGCACTCTGTGCAACTCTCTCACAGATAGTTTAGAACATAACAAGGTACACTGGTTTGCATTTACTGAAACAAGGCTAATTTCAGATTCTAGGAAGTTTAATATATGAAGCCATGACATGGCTTTGTTTATATTCTCTTGAGTTCTGTTATCATAATTTAAAATACAGGCACATATGAGAATGACTTTTTCAGTTCCAGATGAGAATTTGGAAACATTTTAAGAATGAAGTTGAGAACGAGAATTTTCTTTACTAGACCTTTTTTTTCTTTCTTTGAAATTTCTAGCACTAATTACAACTTCACAATGCACAAAATTTTATATATATCCTTTTCAATGAAACATTTTTATACATCATTGTCTTCAGTTCTGTGGCCATGTTCTTAACATTCTTTTTTACCATGGACAGAGAAAAGGGAAATGGAAAGAATTTTTTTTGGTTGGTTGGTTCATTGCCAGACATTACAATTATGATATAATGCATAATTTGCGTGTTACTGAGCAAAGCAAAGGCAATTATCTAAAAATTATCCAAATTTGAGACCAAAGAATCTATTTTTGAATTGTGATCAAGAGTTTTGCCCAATTCAATCTCAACATTTCAGACTCATGTATGCCTAGTAAGGTACTGGATAGATGGTATAAGTTTTCTTAAATATGTCATGGAATGCTGAACTACAAAAAGCAGCTTCATCCATTTCTCTTACTGAGACTTGCAAAACTCATACTGTGTTGTGTTATGTTGTTCATGGTGTATTTATTATATATAAAACTATAATTTTTTAATGTTATTCTGAACTCTCATTCTGAGGAAAGAAATGCAGGTTAAGGGTGAGAAATACTGAGTATAAATTTGGAAGGCTTTGTAACTGATCTTCACAATTTAACCTATCTGTCTGGAGTTGACAGAGCATGAAGTTAAGACTGATAATATGGATTGGACTTGTAGTATGCATTAGGAAAATAAGGAAAATACTAATTTCGTTGGAAACTGTGAAGGACAAAGACCACTTAGGAGACCTAGACATAAATAACAAAACTATGATGACGATGACAACCGCAACAATAATAATAAAGTTTTAGAGAAGTAGGTTGCAAGGGTGTGAAATGGAATGTCTTGTTAAGTTTATGGCTATGGCATTGAAGATTGACATCATCTGCAATGATGAAATATGAAATGCTGAAAGAGGATTTGATTGTTGGTTTTGGAGAGTTACACAGGGTGCTGGGTACTGCTATTTTGTGTATTCGTGTGATCATTGGTGAATCAGTGATGCTGTGCACCACTATGAACGTGGTTTTTGCAAAGTGCATTCACTGAATGCGTAATGGGGTAGTTGTGTCTGTCTGTTTGTCCATTCATCTGCATGTTCCATTTTCAAAACCATTTAATGCATGTGACTGTCATTTGATGTCAAGTGTAAATTTGTTGAGAAAATTATGATTTTGAATCATATTAGTTCAATATATCCACAACTTACATGAATTTGAAATGAAAATTTAATAAATTTCTTAGCAACAGCACACCATAAATGCAAATTATTATGCAAAGTATACATCTCATTAATTGTAGCAACTTTTGCTTCAAACATTTAATTAACTAGAACTAAGAATGATTCATATGAAATCCATAGCATTGTTTACTTTTAACAACAGTAGAATAATATTTGCAACAAATAAACATAATTTCACAACATGGGATAAAGATAAATCGCAAAGAATTCATCTGGAAACTATGTGCACTTCAAAGTAGAGGTGGTCTGAAATGTGATGACATTCTTGCAGCCTCTTTCAGGAGTGATTTCATCAATCAAAACGACTTCATAATTACCCATCTGTCAACATGCAATATCTCTATTATGAATCAAGAGGCTTAATAAAATTCAAGGGAATTTGCTGCTAGTGTCCGATGTCTGTTCTGGTATTTGGAGAGACAACCTCGTAAATTCCTGATGAAAGCCAGCGAAGCTCCAGCCACATCTAGCTGGCTTGCATGAGCAACCGCGGTCCTCAGTGTTCGGTAGCAGGTGACTGCGAGCAGGCCGTAGAGTGGCAAGTGCTCATGTAGAGCTTCCCAAGGGTCGAGGCAACCGCTTTTGGAGTTAATTAGCGGGGTTGCTGCTAGGATGGTCACTATTGCCGTATGCACTCCGGATGCTATATTGAAGTAAGAGTAGCTCTGACTGACTGACTGACGAGCAAGTCAAAGTCAAAGTTATATTGCAACTGACGGTCAGTGAGTCTGTCAGTCTTGACCAGATGTTTCTTTTTATGTGAAAGTTACTGTCCTGTCCATGTGGGGTGCCCTCTCTGACAAGAGGTCAGGTCTGTCATTTGTCAGTCATAGTCGGTAATATTAAGTCCATTGTCAGTATGTACACTTATTTACAAGGTTATACTTAGTATCTACTCCAGTGTACAATATATACAAGGCCTCTGTCAGTCCAGGCTCAGTACAGCAAACTATGCGCGATTTCTGGTAGTATTCGCTATCATGGCAGTTTAGTCACTTGAACGGTTGTATGCCTGACCGCCGCCAAGTTTAAGCCTCTTATACTTTCTGTGATGGGCTTTGCCTTGTCTGGTCTTGCGAACATTCTCATTATCATGATTTTGTATGACTTCTGCTTGCTCCCTGCATAATTTTGTTATATAGTCATATACGTATGGGATTTTGAATGCCATGTGAAAATCGCAGACTGGGGTGCACCTTGGAAAATTGCCAGTGGTGTGGAGAACCTTGTTTTGCAGGCGCTGCAATTTCACTAGATGGGTGTCTGCCACAAACTCCCAGGTGGGACTAGTATAAGTCATTACGGATCTAATAAGAGCTTTGTGGAGTGTCAGTTTAATATTAGTGCTCAATTGATCACTTATGAATAGAGAATATACTCTAATGAATGTTCTGAAGGCCTTGGTTTGATCAATTCTATGTGCAGTCTCCATATAACTCTCCTTAGATATTTTGCGCTATCTACAAATGGAGTATTTCATCCATTTAGAGTAAGACAAGACTCAAGCAGTCAAGAACTATGAAAGAAGTAGACCCCTTGAGTCTTATCTTCATTAATTTTAATGTTCCAGTGCTCACACCAGGTCTCCATTGAGCTGAGACCATGCTGGAGTTTTCTAACAATAAAACCCTCCTTGCTATCTGTCGCATACAGACAGGCATCATCCACAAAGAGGGCCAGGTGAACACCATGAGTTTGGGGAGCACCATTAATGTACAGATTGAAAAGAGTAGGGGACAGGACCAAACCTTGTGGCACTCCTGCTTGCATTTCCCTTGGTGCTGACATTTCGCCTTCAACCAAAACCCTGAATTTACGTTGAGAGAGAAATGACCCAATAAGTTTGGTCAAATTCGAGAATTTATACAGCAAACCTGAGTGCCATGTGGTATCAAAGGCTTTTTCGATGTCCAAGAACACAGCGGCCATAGATATTTTGTTGTTGAAATTAAGGGTCACGTGGTCCGCCAGCCTCATACATTGCAATGTCATGCTGTGGCGTGCATGGAAAACCAAACTGGCTTGTGTTGAGCAGGCCTCTTTCTTCTGTATGTTTTTGAAGCAATTTCAAAATCACTTTTTTGAATAGATTTCCTGTCATGGACAGGAGGCTGCTCAGACATAAATTTTGCAGAAATTTCAGGTCTTTGCTGGGTTTAGGTAAAGCTATTACTTTTGCTTCCTTTCAAGTAATTGGAAAATGGGAAAGCCAAAGACAGTGATTGAATAGATGAATTAGGTGAAACAATGGTCTCCTTGGAAGGTGCCAGAAGCATGCATTTGGGATGCCATCAATTCCGCAGGCCTTTCTCAATTTCAAGGAATTTATTAATTTCTGTACGTCACATGGTCTTATCCTTTGAAGGGGGTTGTTGTCTATGGTTTTGAGCAGATCTTGGACTCTAGCCTCCACCTGCCATTCATGGTTATCGTCGCACAGATCATGCGGAGTGAACTGAATTTCCAAACAGTCGGCAATTGTGTTGCTTTTTCGGAAGAATGAAGTTTAAGGTCAGAAGAACCATGAAGAGCAGTTGGTGCCCTTGGTCCGTCTCTCTTTAAGAGAGATTTCGCAATGGGCCATATACCCTGAGGTGTACCTTCAGCGTTACCTATTTTTGTTTCTCACCGTTCAAGTGCCTTTTTACGGGTCATTCACCTGATTCATTTTGTGATCCAATTGACTGCCATTTTACATGCTGGATCCCTGGTTTCTTGCCAAAATTTTCATAGCCTCTGCTTATGTTTTATCAGACGATCTACATCCGGAAGATTGTTGTTTATGTCTGAAAGTGTAATATTACCTGTTGACAACCTACACAGTATATGCCGAAGCAATAGAGGCTGCAAAGTCGTGTGCCGCGGTATTTATTAAAATTTAAGTTTATACATCAGAGAAACCACCCTGCAACTTCATTACAAATACCAAGTGGTCAGTGCCACTGTAGCAGTTAACCTTTATTGCCGTAATCGTACAAAGGATCTTAAATACACTATGTCTGCAAAATACAGTTTTAGAATGTGAATAGGTAGTATATACATTTACCTCTGTGTTTGGAATGATTAATATTTCTTGCACTAAATTACAGTGATCCATCAGTTACAACAGTCATCACATAACATTGCCACGTATTTAGTGACAAGTTGTTTGGATTGATAACTTGGATTTATCGGACTCTTACAACTCGTGACTACCAGTAATTATAGCTGTTTCACTAATTCACACACCTTACCGTTCACGTGCTAAATCTTACATGTTTTCATTAGGCATTGCTACACAACAGCTTCTAACAATGGGAACTCTCCGCCTCCCATGCCTCCATTCAGGGACGACTGTCTCGCAACAGTCTCAGACTTGGAATGTCGGTTGGTTAAATTACTGCCTGTCTTCACCAGTACAGTCATTCCTTCATTCATCTTCTTGAGATCCATGACCAAAACTTTTGTTCTTTCCTAGACATGCAAATGTTTGAAATTGGGGACTCCTGTTCGATAAGGTCTTCATATTTATACGCTATGTTTGTTGCACCATAGTTTCAGCACGAGTATATCCTTGCTCACATGGCTTTCAGGTCACAATGGACTTTGTGTGCCCTTTGTCACTGCCTATATTAAGTAACATTTATACAAGATATGCTGCATGACTAACGCACCCCTCTGTCCTGGAGCTTCAATTATCCCTGTCTCTCTATCTTGTTGTCATTCCTTCCACAAAATCAGAGGATTGCCCATTTGCATTAAGACTTGGATGTTCTTGAAGATGTAACTCTACATACAACTGTGGTTATGAAGTTGGACAGAGTAGTCTGAAGGAAGAGGCCAGGCTAAATGGACCTGTGAAGTTGAGTCAAGACTGATTGTGGGCTTAGAAGAGGTGTGCTGTGCTCATGTGTGGATAAACAGCACGTATTGCGTGACCCTAGTTAACGTGTGCAAGAAGACAGTGCAGTGGCATACAGTGAAATACTGGTGGAGTAGACGATCAAACATGCCGATTTTAAGCAGCTAATTGAAAATCAGATATTAACTGCTCTAAATACAAGATTAACATTAAAGACTGGTGTCAGTAGTTGGATCGAAGAATGGTCCAGCTTCATAAGTAATTTTGGAGTGGCTAAATAGTCTGGTGTCAGCCAAGAAAGACTGGCTGACTGTCAGGTAGAACTTAAAATGGAGATGTGTGTCAGCCAAGACCACTTGGCTGCCGAACAAGGATTTTCAACAGACATAATTGTCGGCCAGTATGATCTAAGAAATGAACTAGAAATCAGTTCAAGTGACACAAAGATTTCCCAGAGCGAATTTGAGGAAACAATAACAGACATGCTATACAGAGAGCTGAAGGGCATAATGACAGTTGTTGAACAGCAGGCTCAAAATCTTGTCAAAGATATAGGTAATGAACTGCAGGCTACACGAGTTGTCATAGGAGTGACACGACATAGAGGCGTATCTATGCAACATACAGGTAACTTGATGCAATCTGGAAGTCACCCATCTGGAGTTCAAGAACTGTTGGCGGCAGTTGGAGCCCAGTTGAGACAAGGATGCTGCGAGAACCCAAGGACCAAGTCATGATGAAGCCGCCAAAGTTTGACAGACTGTGTCTTAGACAGTTATTCACGGACAATCTGAAGCCATGGCTGAACACATTTGGACAGCCTGGGAGAAGACCACAAATCTACTCACCATTTTGCAAGGGCAGGCTGCCGACATTCTACCCAGTGTCCCAGTTGGAGCAGCAGACAAGGATATCATTGGGGCTCTGAAGGACCGTTACAGAAACTGCCCGTGGGCAACAGTTTGCCACTCACGACTCAAACCCAGGGCTCTACCAAACTGCAAAACACTACAAGAATTCACAGAGACCATCAAGCAGTTTGCCTGCTGACCCATTGTTGGCTTGCCTGAGGAATTTACACAGAAGAAGGTTCCCTGTGCATTTGTTGATTGAGTGAAGGACCGAGACGTGAAACACGACCACCTCATGGGTGAAGAAAGCCCACGACCAGGTCCTGAATGAGAGATTTATGAAAGGGGTAGCCTGACCTCCAGGGAAGCAGCGAGAAATGAGGGCTGGGGATCATGAGAGCAAGGTCGCCACTGACCAAATGCAGCAGCAGTCGATGGCCCATATGGTGGCAAGATAGGGATATCTGGCATCTCAAAAACACTGTTCACAGAGACGCGACTATGACTGTCAGAGAGGAAGCTGTCTGGGATTCAGAAAACTGTTAAGAGATGACACGAAGATGAAGTCATGGACGTATCAATTTGATCCCCTCACCTCACACTCAACCCGTTAGCCAGAAGGAACGACAACAACCTACATGCCAAGGGACAGGCAGAGCCTAGTGACCATAGACGCCGGAACATCTGTTATCATCTCTAGGCCTGACATTACCACAGGATAGCCAGAGAGGAAGCTGAATTGTACATATGCTCTGCAGGGGACATCCTTTCTTTCTGAAGGAGGCACAGGTCTATTTGACTTTGGGGTGGGTCTCACTACTCATCTGGCTGTTCATCACGAAATCACAGAATTCATCCTAAGGTTGGATATCCTGGAAGCTTAGAATGCGGTGATACATTTGAAGTATTGCGTGTTACAAGTGGTCGATGAAGTGACATTAAGGCCCAGATGACGACCACGATTATCTATCTATATGATGGCCAGCAACAATTTAATACCGCCTCGGTGTCAAAGATTTGTAACTGAATGGTTGGAGGCCCCCATGGAGGTAAAGAACAGTGTAATGGGACCAAGTACAAAGCCTGCCCACCAAGGAGTGAACAGGACCAGGATGCTGGGTGAATATTGACGAGACAGTGGCCAGAAAGGCTGACTGTTGCAAGGGATGGATGCACAAAAGCAAAGATGCAATTTGTAGAAAATACTACTCCAAGTCAGGGAAAAGTCACGTAAATTGCAGCCATCTTTATAAGGCCCATAACAAGTGGTCAACTGGGTCAGTAGTAGAGTCTAAAAGTTCCAGAGTCATCTCAAAATCAAAACAAATTTCAAAGCCCGGGCATCACGTTTTTGCTTTAGTTATTGTGTTAGAGTCTCCTTAGGAGACATGGCAGATTAAGGGGTGAAATATATAGAATAACCTGAAAAATTCAACTACCATCTGTTGAAATTATGCATCACTACGACTGTAGTGACTCCTGCAGAATCAAGGACAATGGGCAGTGCTGGTAGTGGTGGCTGGAAGAACTACTGCTTGCCAAGTGAACATGTGCCCATGGCAATGCCTTTATTTAAGGTAAGTTTATAAAAATGGCAAACTTTCTTGGAAACTTTTCTGGTTATGTGAGAATTCCGGATGCTTGGGTATAAAATATCTGGTGGTTTACTGAACAATGAGAGAGATGTTTCTGTTATGAAAGAATAAAAATCTTTGTCAACGTAGGTAAACAAACTGGTAAGTAATTCAGACTGAGAGAATTTCACAGTAATAACCATGAAAGATTTGGCCCTCTGGGATGTGACACTGTTTGGTAGGTTGGTACCAAAATTTTGGAGGATACTGGTGCAACCATTTTCAGTTCTGAAGGTGGAGGCAGAATGTTGGTGCCTTTAGAGTAAACAGCATGATACTATATCTGCAAGGGCTGACAGATATATTTGTATATATTTTTTTCTTCAAAGCTTTAGAATGTTGTGGCTTTTGGTTTGATAAAAAGTGATGATTGGATGGGACATTGTAAGGCATCGTTGGTATCAAGTGGTCCTCTAGCTTGAGTGGCGACTGTCACTGTTGTCCATAAATATATTAAATACAAACTCTTTCATCTCAGAGCCCAAAGTGTGTGTCTGTGTGTGTGTGTTCTTATGCGCATATGTGCTATCAGAGTCCATGTGGGTTGTGCAGGGGGTTCTACGGAACCTGCGTGGCAGCAAAGATGTGAACCTCAATGATGGTGCAGAAGGGGACAGTCCCTCTCAGGAGAAGCTGACAGGCTCTGAATCACAGGACCTGGAGTCTGGGCACACACAAAGCCAACCCCGAAAACGAAAAACTTCACAGAATGTTCACAGTCATGGGAGCTTCTTCTTGCGTGTTGGTGCCATTGGTGAGTTTGTGCATATCATTTCCTCTCGGCCTCTACATAGCCATCATCATCATCATCATCACTATCAGCAAAACGAATATTGTAATGTCATCTGATATTGTAAATTCCACATCATCATCTATCAGACACACCTTTCCTCTCACTGACGTAAATATTTCTGCATCCATTGTGGAATGAGTATTATACTTCTTCAGCTTTCATGGATTACGTCCTCTGGTCTACTCAGTTCAGAATTAACTTCTCAAACTGAATCTTTTAGACTTTCCATTGGATGCTTAGATGGGCGATCAGCCAATTTTATGGTGATTAATTGCACAAAAAGACAAGAATACTAAAACATCGCTAGACATATTTTCCCAAATAAAATTCAGATCCAAAATACTAGTGGTCTAGCGATGAAAGACAGTATGCAACACAGACTGTGGTCACCCTGATCAACTAATTATTATACACGTATCTTATAATAATATGACACTGTGTTCAGTTCTTTATTTTATGTATATGCTATCTAAAGGACAGCCACACAATTCTGTCATATCTTCCTGTCCTTTAAATGCAGCAATTCATGTTACTTGTTCTGTCATCCTATATAACCAAAAAATGTTTGCTGCTGCTGTTCAGTTAATTGTTTTGTTCATTTCATTCCCCCCTTTCAGTGCATCTCAGTACCACTGTTGTATTAGTAATCTTCAGTAACACTCAGCTGCCAGGCTTTTTTCATTGTTCAAAATTCCAAGCAGAGCACAGCTTCTTAAAAAATGGTTGTTTACTCCTCAGACAAATAGGTGGAGAGGTTCCTACTTAGTTGATTCTGTTAGAAAGAGGTAAAGATCAGACTAATGACTGAGATTAGCTCCTAAGAAATCCAAATGAGTAGATGCTTCCTCACCATTTTAGTCAAGGAGCAAAGAGACCCAATTTCTGGAATGTTGTGTTCTGTTTGGAGTTTTGGATGAAGGACAAAGTCCAAAAATCCGGTATTACTAAGTATTATAATTGTACATCTTCAAAACCTCACAGACTTTATTTTTCATCCTCTTCAAAATGTTTTCCTTCACTCTGGTTCCTCCTGTGTTTCACTTTACTAGTGATCCCAATAAGTCATGAACATTTTTCCCTCCTCGTTGTAATGGAGCTCTGACTGTGGTGTCACAGCTGGCAATACAATACCATTGTAAACAGCATCTGAGGTGAATTTCAGCTTTTGGATTGGGAACCATGATCTACAATGGGCTGGAGTGTGGAGCATTTTTTGAGATCCCATTTACATCACCGTGTTACCAGATCTTGAGGGGCATCAATCCTGTCCTGCAGATGATCTTCACATTCATGCAGATGTACTTCATCTTCATGAACTCACGGGTAAGTTCCATGATCTGTGCATCAGTGCATTGAATTCACATTACCTTGATAATATAAATGTGATTTGATGGTGAGAGTATTTGATATACCAGCTGGGCAGTGCACTACTTTATAATAAATGGTTTGAAATTTTTACAAATATATTAGTATGACAAATTGACATAGCATTAATGCAACTTAGCCAAATGGCTTTAGTTTGTTGTAGTTACTTTACAAAGAATTAGTGTGTCATGGGGAACAGTACATGCATCTGATATGCATTACACTGATGTGTTTGTTAGCATAATATTTGGTGAAGGCACATAAAACTGCATTGGTTTAATGAATCAAGTTAGCAAGAAATTTGGTGATGCCACATAAAAGTACAAGTATAGTGAGCATGTTTTTGACGAGGTCACATAACGGTAAATTAAGCTGATGAGTCCAGTTTGCACAGGTGTTGGTGAGGTCATAGTAGTTTGACAAGTCTAGTTTGCATGATGAAAAATTATGCCACATAACAGTACCTTAATTTGGTGTGCCTAGTAAGTGTGATACTATAGAGGTAACATTCCCACCTCATGACTCGTAGTACGTGGGTTCAAATCCGGTGGAGGTCGTGGAATTATTAAGGGCGGAAAAATTCAGGGAACAAGTCCTCTGGGAGGGACTTTAAGCCGTGGGTCCCATGTCATAGCTTTACGGCACGTAAAAGAACCTCATATCTCCTAAGGAGGTCACTGAGCCAAATTCAAGGACATTTCCCACCCAACAGTAGTCTCTAACACCTCTGATAGATGGGGGAAGCATTATAGATACTGCCAAGCCAGTAGAGGCCGAACTCGCTGGCTTGGTCAGGACTGATGGTAAGCACCAGTATCAGTAGGGTACAGAGACTGGTAGAATATCATAGAGGGAAGCACAATAGATCTAACTGGTCGTGGTGCATGGTGAAACCCACCCTCTCTAAATAACTAACTAGTGTGATACTAAGGCCGCACCATAGCTCAAGCGGTTAGTCACTGGCTTCCCACTGCGGCGGCCCGGGTTCGATCCTGGGTCTGGTCAAGTGGGATTTGTGGTGGACAAAGTGGCGCTGGGGCAGGGTTTCTCTGAGTACTTCGGTTTCCCCTGCCAATTTTCATTCCACAAATTGCTCCACAATCACCCTCACCTATCATCTGGGGCTGGTACAATAGGCCAGAAGTGGCCACAGTACAAGGGACTTAGTCCCACCCCACTAGCAATAAAAAAATAGCGTGATTTTAACAAGGTCAAGTAATGGTACATTAGTTTGATGAATCCAGTTAGCATGATGTTTAGTGATACCACATAAACGTATGTTACAGTGTATAGTTTATTTAGCATGCTAATTCATGTGGCCGAATAACTGTACACAAGTTTGACAAGTCCAGTTAACAGTGCAGGAAGTGGGTCTGTCTGTTGCAGTTGAACATCCACCGCTTCAAAGTGCTGGCACGCTTTGGACTGATGCACATTGTGGCCACCAATCTGTGTGTGTGGATACGTACCCTGGTCCTGGAAAGCATCAAGGAGATCACCAACAATGAGAACCGCAAGTACATGTCGACCAGCAGCAGCACCGCTGCTCCCACCACCACAGCTGTGCCACTGCCAGGACAACACCTCGGTCAGTGCTCCTCCCACTTCCATTTGCCAATCACAAATTGTTTTACAGAGGCCTTGAAAATGAATCCTGTGGCTCAGTACCTTCCACAATCCTGCATACTTTCCTATATTCCCCTCCAGTCATCTAGCTNATCAAAATTTTTGTTGACACTTTCTAGCAAATCTATATTTCACAAAGCTGTCATACAGAAATACATATTACTCTAAAGTACACTGCACCATGATGTATCGCGCTGCTCATTAACTGAAACGGCACAAACGGCTCCCAAGCATGTGAACTGCACTGTCTGCGGTGAAATATAATGCCGCAAAACAGTCTACAAGTTGAAGAAAGTCGTCTTCTGGGATCTGGCGCCATGTATTCTTGGTTTTAATCGACGTTTCGGAGGAACATATCGCCTCCATCTTCAGGGTAGTTGAATTGCAGCTACTGCTATCTGTATTCACAACGCAATTCAACTACCCTGAAGATGGAGGCGATATGTTCCTCCGAAACGTCGATTAAAACCAAGAATACATGGCGCCAGATCCCAGAAGACGACTTTCTTCAACTTGTAGACTGTTTTGCGGCATTATATTTCACCGCAGACAGTGCAGTTCACATGCTTGGGAGCCGTTTGTGCCGTTTCAGTTAATGAGCAGCGCGATACATCATGGTGCAGTGTACTTTAGAGTAATATGTATTTCTGTATGACAGCTTTGTGAAATATAGATTTGCTAGAAAGTGTCAACAAAAATTTTGATGAAAATTTCATGATGAAATAATTCTCAGCGCACAAACAATTCAGAATTTTGTAAATAAACTTAGAACAATGGGATGCTTAATAGACAAGAAACAAAAATATAAGTGCTGAATGCTTACTGAGGAGAAGTTACATGACACAGGGGCCAGACTTGAACATACACCTAGAAAATCAGTGAAACATCTAGCTCAAGAGACTAGAGTGTCGAAGTCTAGTGCAAGAATGGCAACACAGTTGCTGAAGCCATCCAGTGAAAGTTGGTATCTGGTGTGCTGTAAGTGCAAGAAGGATTGTTGGACCTCTGTTTTTAATGAAACAATTAATTGTGAGAAGTATCTATGTGTAGGGAGGACTGCATTTTCAACACCTCCTGTGATCTGTGAATTGTACTTCATTCCAAATGTTATCGGCCATCAGGCATGCTGATTCTTTTCCAAATTTGCATACACCTCATGGCCAGTTGTGCACCAGTCACTGTGAAGCGCTGAGTCATGAACTCATAAAGTGCGTAAAAATCCTCCCTGTATGTGATAACCTTCACCGGCTATAAGCACTTTGGACTGGTTGACATAGGAGGAAGAAGGCTGGGGGGGGGGATACAGAGTAGGCAGAGAATGGAGCAACCTTGAGGTCTGTCATTCTCACTGTCCATGGGACTTATTTCTGTGTCCTCAGCATGGTTCAGATAATTGGGAACATTCTCGTGTAATTACAAGTGTCACTTTATGTCTTACCCAGTGCTTTCTTTTGAAGTGTGGAATGCATGGAGCTTTACAAAAGTGTTTGGTGTTTTGGCACAGTCCATTTCACCTCTTACTGTTAATGGGTAGTTCTGCTGCAAATAATCTTTTAGATGAGAAATTAAAAAATAAATTCAGTAAATTACTGTAATAAAGAAATTGAAAATATTAATGTATTGATAACTCTATTATGGGACTGGGTTGAGGCTGAGTCCCTGGGTAATGTGGCCTCAAATAAGTCTTATGATAGATGAGTTTGGGGCATTGGCAGCATGACAGTTGGCAGAAGAAAACCAAAGTGCTTGGGAAAATTCTTTCCCCATGCCACTCTACCCACCACAAATCTGACATGGATTACCCTGTTATTGAACTCTGGTCTTCACAGTAAGAAGCCAATAAGTAAATGCTTGAGCTGTCGCACAGCAGGATTTCCTAAAGGAAAACTAATACAGTCATTTGCCATTTATACCTGTGGATCTAGTCACTCTTGTCAGATAGACAGATGATTGCATAAATTGACTTTTGCATTGATTGTGTAATCAGAATTAAAAATGTTTGTAGTCCTGTAAATCTGTAGTGCCAACAGTGAAGACATCATTTAACTTGGCAGAAATCCATTGCAGAAATTATTTAACATTTTAGTGATGGCTAAGATGTTTCTTTAGTCCCAGCATTGGTGGTGAATTTCTTAGAGGCCTTTTGTTAGTAAATGCTTGGTAATTTCTCATCTTTCATCATCTCTTTTATTATCATTTGATGTAAGCAAGGACAGTAAGCTAAGTTCTGTTGTACAGTGTTTGTTTATTCTGTGTTCTCCATTTTCAGTCTCATTATCTTTTCTATATGTTACTCTGTGTACATAGCTTCTTCATATTGCATGCCTCTCTCTTCTGTCTTTATTCTGTAATTGCTTAAAAATGATGAGAGGTTGTCATTTGTTCCACAAATTGCAGCCATAACTAGTGCAGTTATGTGCAGAACTAAGAGTTGAAAGCAGTGAATATGAAGTGTGCTGTCTGCTGTGAATGTGTCTGGTAGAAGTTTACTGATATTTTCGAGGAATGTGCTGCCACCATCTTCAGGATCAATGAATGAGCTAAGTAAGCAGCAAGCATGGCTGCTTTGCATGCTGCTTGTTTGTTGCATGCTTGGCTTTCACTTTGGTCCTGTAGATGGTGTCAGTACATTCCCCTGAGTTGTTGGTGAACTTCTATTGGACTACATGGTGACTCATTTTTAAAAAAATAATCTTCATTTATACAGTATAGTCTGGTAGATGGGTACCAAACTATTAAAGGAACTTGTTTTCTCCATCTTCAGGGATAAAAGACTTAGTGGACAGGTTCCTCTGAAACATTGATACCTGTCTACCAGGCTACACGATCTCACATCCCAGAAGACCATTGTCTTGAGATGAGGAGAACTGTCTTTGACACAGGATTGCATCTTCATTGGACAAACGTCTCAAATCACTCATTTTTTTTCTTACATTGTTCACAAATATTGCATTAATAGAAATTCAGTTCACTTAATGATTTAGTTCAGAATTAGTGGTAGATACAAAAGTATATTAAAAATTTGGATGGGGCTCATCTGCATTGCTACTAGAGACTCAGATATTGATTGAAATAACAGAAGATGGCCTCAAAGGGAGCAGGTCAAGTCAGGATTTGATTGGTCTGAGCAAAGAGATAATATGGCAGTCAGTTATCTTATGGTTTGAAGTAAAATTGCACCAAATTAGATTTTAAAACTTCAACTCCTACCTCACAGTAAGAATTCTGTGTCTCATGAGATTTGAGATTCTCATGGCAATGACTATGAAGAGTACTGTCTTCTGGGATCTGGGTATGTGCCATCTGGAAGGAGCTTACTAATGATTTGGAGGACAGCAATGCCTCTGGCTTCAGACTTGAAGAGTTAGGGAAGCATGAAAACAAGTAGGCAACAAGCAGAATTTTTTATTTTATTTTATTATTATTCTTAGTGGGGTGAGACCGAGTCCACTTGGTACTCTGGCCACTACTGGCCTATTGTACAAGCACCAGATGATGGATGATGGTGATTGTGGAGCAGTTGGTGGAATGAAAATTGACAGGGGAAAATGAAGTACTTGGAGAAAACCTGCCAAAGTTCCACTTTGTCCACCATAAATCCCTCACCTGACATGGGCTCAAACCCAAGCCGCCATGGCGAGAAGTCAGTGACTAACTGCTTGAGCTAAGGCTGTGCCATAGCTCAAGCTGTTAGTTGCTGGCTTCCCAACGTGGCGGCCCGGGTTTGATCCCGTGTCTGGTCAAGTGGGATTTGTGGTGGACAAAGTGGCGCTGGGACAGGTTTTCTCCAAGTACTTCATTTTCCCCTGCCAAATTTCATTCCACCAACTGCTCCACAATCACCCTCACCTATCATCTGGGGCTGGTACAATAGGCTAGAAGTGGCCACAGTACAAGTCCCACCTCACTAGCAATAAAAAGAAAAACTGCTTGAGCTATGTTATGGCCTCAAGCAGAATGCTTCTACCAGACTACACTGCATCACATGCTGGAAGATTATGCTATTCATGCTGTATATCAGTTCAAGGACCAACTGGTTAATGATGCTTGAGGAAATAGCCACTGTTTACTGTGGGAACCATATGAAACACACAAATACACTCTGTGGGGAAAATGCAGAATTTGTGAAAGTTAAAGCAGGTAGAACGTATAATTACCACTATATTGTAGAGGGCTAAATTTGTAACATATCAGTTTACCTCACTACTTGGAGGGTGTCACTTTGACATGCCGTTTGCGCCTCTTGCCATTCTGCATGACAAAATGTTGCATTGTCCCACACAGAGAATATTCGCATGCTGACAGCAGCTCCCTCTGTCGCTGCGGCCACTACCACTGCTACCACAACGATGGCCCAGCTTACAACCAGCATGCTGGCTACCACATTGGCAGCACTGCAAACCACTCTGTCCTCCACAAGCAGCAGCACGACCACCATACCCAGTACCACCACCACGGTCACACCCACCAGCACTTCAACTGCAGCAACCACCACTACGCCTGTGCCTTTACCCCCTCTGTTTGGCATCGAGGACTTCTCCATGGGTGAGGGTTGCATGCATATATGTACAGCCCATCCAGCTTAATAAATGTACTGTGGGGTTTATGGGCTCTTATTTCTATTGATATGATTTCTACTAAGTCAATTTTTTTCCTGTGATTTCTTACAAGGAGCTGCAACATTATTACCTAATGAAGAAAAATTAGTGGTTTTCTTAATCCATCAAAAGATTTAACATTTCTTTTAATAATAACTTCCTCCATATTATTGGAGTTCGGCATCACAAGTGATTTTATCGGTATGGTTGAATATTAGTCTCTCTCTTAATGTGGCAACACTGCGTGTTCTATTACCTTGTGGTTAATACTGTAGCTGAACTACTGTAATGTTATTTCCATACAGACAATGGTATATTACAACTGCTGGATATACTATAAAGACAATTCAATCCTCCCTCTGCTATGTATAGAGTTCCTCATAGAAAAGGTCTTATGGACAATGAACGTACGTTTTGAGTTCATGGGATATCAGCGTTTTGTTGAATCCATACCCTTTTTCCATTTTGTCTGCAGTCAAATCTGATATAAAATTTATGTTTCCATTGATCCATAATTCAGCCCTCTGTGGGGAAGGAAAGTGGTTGCCATTGCATTGACATCTTAAGACATGGAGGTGTGCTTTGTGTCTGACTTATTGTCTCTGTTACTTTTTCCATTAATGTGCTTTGCTGATATAGATAGATTGCAGCAATGCAGCATGTAAGTTCCCCAAGGGGCCTGTCACAGTTCATTCTCTGTTGTTCTCAAATGTAAACAAAGAACCAAATTTCCATTTAACATCAAAGTTGCAGGTGGAGAGACTGAGTTTCGAGATTACAAACTAGATGGACCACACCAATAATCATACCCAGCGGCAGACTTTCGTGTTGAATGTTCAGATTTTATTTATTTATTTATTTATTTGTTGTTTATTTAATGCCATCAGTCGCTCAGATTTTATGGTGTTGAATTATAGGAGGGTTACTGAAAAACGAATTGGAAAAATACATGGAAGAAAGTACTAGTTGTGGCCTAATTTGAAGTACCATACTGGCATGTGATTTGAGAGTCTGGTAAAAGTCATGGAAATTCTCCATCAGATTATCTTGTCCTCAGAACAGCATTCGAATCCAAGATCTCCTCAATAAGCAGCTTAAATGCCACCCACTTAGCCAAGGTATTCAGATTGGGCTCCATTACCAGAGTGTTTGTTGCTTGGTTACTTAGTTAGTCAGTTAATACTGTCCTATTTTCTAGATATGTCATGGATGTACAGTGTATTTAGAGGAGTCTACAGACAGAAAGTAGGTGTTATGAGGATGTATGATACAGTCAGGTACTTTCACTGTAGTGCATTGTCTTTGCCCTTATCAGTGTTTCCTTCAAACAGGCAACACAGCCCTTACTACGCCTGCAATACCACTCAGCTAGAGAGTTATCTAGCAATAACAAAAGCAATTCTGAGTAGAATTCATTTCACATGGGTATTATATCATTAATGTTAAATGTACTTAGGTAGGGTAAAACTGTAATCCAACAGTAAAATGGAATTTAGCTAAAGAGTCAGAACAGAAAATCATCATAAAATTGAATCAATTTTGTTATTGTTTGCAATTGTACATATGTTAAAATAATTGGACATAATCTCAAATTTTTGCACCATCACCATATTTGTGATTATTGATTTTATCATGCACTTGAACCATAGCTGAACCAGAATTTTGTTACCTTTGGTGTTAGAGACCCCAGTACCCACTAGATATGGGGCTGGGTTGGCCCCACAGCTGGTCTGGATGCTGTGGAGGNACACAGTGATTCATCACTATAATACAGCAATACATTTCAAAATACATTTTTAACTTAATTTAAGAATAATAAATACTCCAAAAAAGGCATAAAAATATACATACAGATTTATCAACAAGCTGTCCATGTCAACAATAATTAAAAAATTCTTGAAGAGAATAGAAGACATTACACAACAAATAATTCTTAAGTTTCTTCTTAAAAACATTAAAATGTATTACATTCTTTAATTCAGTTGGAAGGCCATTAAATATTTTGGTTCCCATACTAATCACCCCTCTCTTGCTATGCTCAGTATTACAAAATTGTACATACAAATTGTGTTTATGGATAGTGTTATAGCCATGAACATCAGAATACTGGGTGGTATAAATCTTGTTTTTTATTATAAAACATAGGATCTGAAAAATATATAAGGAAGTAACAGTTAAAATCTTTAATTCACGAAACAAATTTCTACAGGAAACTCTCTTTTTAACACCTTTTATCACCCTTACACATTTTTTCTACAGTTTAAATAGAGTTTCAGTCCTTTTGCACCCCACCCCAAAAAATAATACCGTATTTCAACACAGACTCAAATTTTGCAAGATACACACTTCTTAAAACAGTTTGGCTCACTGAGTCCCATAGGGATTTTATCAAATAGGTAGTCTTGCTAAGTTTTTAATACACATATTGGGTGTGGGTTGACCAACTTAAATCTTCAGTAATGCAAATACCCAAAAATTTTACATTCACTGAACAAATATTTAGTTCAGGTGGTTCCTTCAGAAGTATAAAATTTAAGTTTTGCTGTATATAGATGAGATTTTAAGGGTCACTTTTTTGATATGTGGCTGGCTGCACCATATGTATGCTGCTGTATTCACTTCATTTGATGCATTTCTGTTGCAGGGTCTGGCACTCCCACAGAGGTGGAGAACATAGCTAGTCTATTTCCTGAGGCTCTCACAGGCAATGGCACAGTGGGCTCTATTCCCACTTGTGGTCGTGTCAACATCATGGGCTCGATTGTACAGGACTCTGCCCCATATCTCTTCCCATTTATCATAGAGTACAGCCTGATCGGGGCAGCAGTCATATATGTGATGTGGAGACACATTGGACGCAGTCCAAGGTCAGCCATTTTTTTGAGTGTGAGGTGTAGCAATAGTATCAGTTGAGTGTCAAGCTTGAGAGACTCTCATGAAGGTCACTTTGAAGATTACTGTCATCTGGGATGTCATGCTATGTAGTTTTGTAGGTTGCTGCTGATATTACTGTTTTTTACTCCGAAGATGGAGGCAGCACATAATCAAAAATATAGGTAAAAATCTACCACACTATAACATGTCACATTCCAGAATATAGTATCTTTACTTTTTACTTGAATTCAGTGGATAGCTGAATCATGCAACACTGCACTGATATTGTCACTTGCTGCACAGAAGTATCAGACACATGTTGGATATAATCTCTGAACATTTTTTTTATTTGAATATGAAGGCATCAGCATGAATGAAATGCTTCACAGCACAAAATGTTATTCAGTGTAGAAGATTTCACCTGCTCAATTCAGTGAAATCCCCACTTAAAATTTCTTTGGGGAGTAGTGGATTTAAATTCTAACCTGAGGGAAACCTTAACCCTTTGCAGTCCTATGTCAGGCTGAATCTGTCAGTGAAAATTCCAAGTTCTGGTCCTACATTGGATTGAGCCTGCCATATGTTTTGCAAATTTTGCACATGATCTGGAGTCAGTCTGAGGGAGGCAAACAGAGCCAGTATATTGATCAAGCCTTCATCTGTGCAGTGGTGTTAATAAAGTATTCCTTGTAATAAATTCATGAATTTTATAACAGGGTTTGTGAAGTGTCTCCATATTCTTTTCATATAGCTCTATCCCAATGGCCTCTACCAGGTGGTGTGCATTGGACAGCAAATAAATATGTGAACAGTTGCATGATGACTTGGATTATTTCAATGAAATTAATCAGGATTCAGATATCGATGTCATTGAGCATAATGGCCCTGATGCAAGAATAAAGGGGCCTCATTTGAGTGGCAGTGATGGTAATTCTGATGATGGTCAAGCAAGTGAAAGTGGTGGTGGTGGTGGTGACAATGACAAAGACAGTGATAATGGAGATTGGACTCTCTGGGACAAAAATGACAATGATTTCTTAAGGTACAATTTTGTGCTTCATCTGGTTATAAACCACCTCAAAATGGACAAATGCCTTTGATAAAACATTTGATTTGGGTCAGGTGAGAAGATGTAACAACTGAAGAGCTGACATTATTTCATGACTATGGCAAGACATGTGAAACGTTCCATGAAGGACTTTTTCTTCAAATGTGGCTTGAGTCTTTACAGTTCTACAATGACATATTATCAAGGAAGAGATTTTTACAGTTATATTGAGATCTTTATGTCTCTGTCCTTCCTAGGGCTGCAATTAGTAAAGTAAAGAATATAACTGATTATGTTGAATCAACATTTTTGTAATTTTATTGCCAAATGCAGTATTTATCTGCAGATGAATCACCTGTAAATTTCATGTGCTATGTGGTTTTCAAAACGTACCATCACAAAAACTGACACATGTGTGTGTATATATATATACATATAATTGCTGAGTTCTCAAATGGGCATGTTTATGGCCTGATGTCCTATTATATGTTAATAACTACAGAAAGTCTGATGCATCCAGAGCTGCCATTTAACAATAGAATTTTTCTAGACCTCATAAGCAAGGTTAAAACATAACATATTAAAAAAAGTATCATTTGAGCACAGACAGGTTTTCTATTAACATTGTCTTAGCTCAGGAACTTTTGAAAAGAAGTAAAGTTCATTTGACTGGGACCCTACTACAAAATAGAAAAGGCATTCCAAAACAAATGAAGAGTAAAGCCTTGGAACAAGGAAAATGTAAAGTGGGTGCATACAGAAAACAAGATAAGTACCTCACATTAGCCTAGAATGACAAAAGAGTGGTTAGTAGGGTAAGTATGTGGCATAATCAAGATACAAAGGCGGTCTCCAAAAGACTGCAGAAGAGGTTGAAGTCTTTCAGAAGCCTCCTGCTCTGATAGAGTATACGTTTAGAAAGGGAGGAGTTGTCAGAGCAGACCACTACTCTTTCAGCTCCAGGTTCCTGGCAAAAAGTTTGAAATGGTGGAGAAAGTTATATTTCTCAATTTTTTAAGTTTCCCTTGGGAGTAGTTTCCACCTGTACAGCATGACCAGGCAGTCAGCAAACCTTCCAACTTTGTCTCACCTGAAGTTCCATAAGAAAGTGATTGAAGGGCTGGCAGGAAATATACAGAACAAAATATCCCAAAAGAGAGGAAGACCAAGTTCAACAGATGCAGAAGACAATCTGAATGGCAAACTGTACCTACTTCAGACATATGAAGGGAAGGCAACAAAGGATTTTACAGTGTGCTCCATGAGAACAGTGAAAAGAGGAACAAGAGAAATGTCGCTTTATTGTGACATGCATCCAAGGAAGCCAGGGATTTACCCCAATTAGTATATCAGTACCATTAGGTATGTAGCTAATAGAAATATTTTATATCTGATAAAGTTATAAAACAAATATCCTGTCTTTCCAGTAAGAAATTCTATGTTTTTAATTATTTTTACACATAGAGAAGAAATCTGCCACTTACACTTCATGTTGTGTTTCATTTTACAATTCTGACCATGGTCCTGAACTTATGGACACAAACAGCTTGAAAGAAAACATAAATATTATGAAATCTAATGCTTATGCCTCATATATCCTAGGTACAAAGAGGATTACCCCAGTGAGGGCTGGTGCCCAAACTGAACTACTATCCATCCTAGTAATAAACATCATACTGTAACAATAGACATGTCTATTATCATGGTCACTTTCTAGCATCTTGATTTCTTTAAAAGAAGAATTTTGGAAACTGGGTCTGTTTCCATTGTCGGGTGAAAGGGAAGCAATGCTCCTATTCGGCTGGGCCATTTAGAGTGAACTCATCTCCATTGCTGGTCTCTGTCTGGGCTGACATGTGTAGAAAGCATGACCAATTTCTGAAATGTTGTGTGTGTGAAGAAACTCAGGCTGATTCATCATGTGCAAAGTCCTGTTTATTGTTACACAACACCTTCGGAGACATTTATATACCACTTTGAGATAAATTTTTGGGTCTTTTTGATGGGCATGGTAGGAATAGTTCCTGCCTAAAACCCGATGAAAATATCCACTTTCTGAAGTTTTGTGTTTGAGAAGACAGTGTCCATAATAATGTTTAGTGTCACACATTATTCCTGTCATATTTAATATCGTGCAGGTATGTCACTGAAGAGGACCTAGAGCACCGCTTGGAGGTGATGTTGTCCCGGCGGGCTGTGGCCATGGCCCATGCTCAGCAGCATGGACGTGTAGACTGCGTGGGAGCCAGCAAGGGCCTGTTTTTTGGGCTACTGCTTCTGGTGGGATCCCTGATTTGCTTGATCTTATTCTTTGTGCTCATACATCATCCTGAGCTTGGAACTCTTGCCATCTACCTGGCAGATGTGTCACACTGTGTCCTGATGGCCCTCAGCATAATGGCCATCATTGTGGGTTTCATTCGGTGAGTGGACACATGCAAGTCACACCAGCATGAAGTTATGTTATCATGTACGAGAGTTTAGCCTTTTCACCAGTTGAATTGAGGTAAGTTTTGTTATCAGACATGTCCAATGTTTTGAGGCTAGTTTGTGTTTTGTATGGTTGATGCATGTGGTAAGATATGACAATATAATGCAAAAATTTGTTTTTCATCACTTCCTGCATATCTTACTTAAACATTTTCATTATTCAGTTTTTACAGTAAGCATGATAATATTAACTGCTTGAAAGCATTTCTCTTTGTGTAAGATGTTTAAGACATTGGAAATATATATTTTGACCAAATTAAGTGTCATTTTCCCTCTAGCTTTGTCTGGGTGTAGAACTTTGTCTTTCACGGCAAGGGAAGAACATGGACTAAGGGCATTAGAAAACGGAGTGCTGAGGAAATTACTAAGACATAAGCAGGAGGAAGTGACAAGTGGCTAGAGAAAACTGCATAAAGATGAGCTTCATAATTTGCACCCATCACTAAGCATTAGTAAGATGGTAAAACCAAAGAGGCTAAGAAGAGATGAGGGATGTATTGCACATGGTATAGCTCAGTAATGCATACAAACTCTTGGTCAGAATACCTAAATGGAAGAGACCACTTGGAAGAACTCATGGTGCATTGAAGGATAATATTAAAATAGATTTAAATAAGGTTGTTTTAAACAGGGTAATAGATCTTGAGTTTCCATGGAAGGTGCAGAATTTCTTGATTAGCTGAATGATTATTAGCTCCTCAAGGTGAAATTCCACCATGAAATTAGTTAGTTAGTTAGTTGGTTGGTTGGTTGGTTGGTTAGTTAGTTTGCTAGTGCATAGCAGAGACATGGATATTTTGAATTGCAGTTGACAAATTCTTCAGCCCTAAATTTTGAGAATCGTCACATAGTAACCTAAAGTGTCATAAAGTAGAGGCATAAGGGCAAGACATGCAAACTGTTCGCTAAGGGACATCAAATCTGAGTGCTGCATTTGTGAATTTACAGGGTGCAGAGCCTCAAGTTTCGTGCTGAGGAGCAAAGTGATTTGAACGATATTCTGCTACGCGTGTCAGCATTTGGCTTGTTCGTATACGCTGTGTTCAGTGTGATTGCTGGGTCACTTGCATTCACTCATGAGCCAAACCTCCTGGTGATGATTACTGGCCTCCTTTCCATTGTGCAGGTCAGTTCCCTATCAGTCGCAGTAAAAAGTGTGTGACACCAGAGAATGCATAAAAATAGAAGCTGAATGTCATAGGCAAGAGGGGTTGCAACCCTGCTTCATGTTCCAGATACCCCAGGTTAAGATCCCAGCCCAGAGACAGCTATCCTGACTAGGTTTATCATGTTTTTTTCTCAGTCCCTCCATGCAAATACCTGGAGAATACTTCAAATTAGGCTATGACCATTTCCTTCTGCAGCTTTTCCAATTCAGTATTCACCTCTGATCCTTCCATTCAGAGCTGTATGGTCTAAGATATAGACAGTGTCAGTAAGTAAACCATAAATAAATATGAAATAAAATAAAATAGAATACAAAAAAAAAAATAGGATAGTTTTCTGCTGTATTCATAACTGCACTGTTCTGTGACATGTCTTTTGGATTAAACAGAAGAGGGTAGGTTTGAAAAATTTGATTCATAACATACAAATTAAAACTTAGAATCATTGTAATTATACTCAAAAGGTGAAGATGAATATTCTACTGCTACTTCATTTGATTCTGACTAAGGCTTGCATTTTGCACTTCTTTCTGAATGTACAGGTCATGACAACTGCAAGTGTACTTTTACCTAAAACATGCAGAATTACTGAACGTGATCCCTGCTGCCATATCTGAGTGATAATGTTATGCTGTGTGGGACAGAAAATTGTCTAGTTTTAGGTGACATCTAGAGACCAGATGTATTTCTTTAATAATTCATAGACGAGAAATGTCAGTAGCAAATGTGGTCACTTCTCTTGTGATTGTTTCTTAGGACAGGCTACCTGAAGTAGGAAGGGATGCAGATGGGTTACGTGTCCAGTGATTCACTCAGAGGAAGCCCCAAATTAATAGGTATAAATTATGCAATAATTGACCAATGAAAACAAAATTTGGCAACACCGCACTTTACAACACTGACCCAGTGCCTTCCATTTCTGCAATTACAGCCCCTCTGGCCAGTGTAGTTCATATATGATCGGCTTCAGGTGGGACAACCCAAGCCCTTGGGTTCAAGTCCTAGTAGGGAAAAGATTTTTCTCTCCTTCAAATCATCCAGTCTGGGTCTGGGGCCCACCCAGCCTCCTATCCTGTGGGTACTGGGGACTCTTTCCTTGGAGGTAAAGCAGCCAGGGTGTGAAACTGACCACTCATCTCCAACTAGTGCCAAGTTCAAGAATACATGGATCTATACATCTACTCCCCCATATGACTTAGTGTCATAGTGGGTAATTAGTTAAGCACAGGGGTAACTTTACCTTTTTACCTGTCATGCTGGCTGCAACATTTGCAAATGTTGAGCATCGGGTCAGCCTGTGTCTCCAGGTGGAAGGAAACCAGTTTCAGTATCTTCTGTAACTGAATTATCTCAATGTCTCTCAAGGCATATACTTGCCACATTTTGTTTTTAGTGGTAAATAATTGCATGACTTTTAATTCTTAATGTGGGGCATCCTCCAAGTTAATCAATCTGTGTACACATGTTTCTTGTTTCTGGAATTCTTATGTAAAATGAAATTCTTCTCACAAGAGTTGTCTGTGACTGATCTTGATAAGTATAAAAATTTTACCATCCATATGGTTTACCTGACATACTTAAGTGTATATATACAGGTGGTACTGCAGCTGTTGTTCATTGCTGATGTGGCCCGTCGCCGTGTCCACCTACCAGAGCATGATCGTAGCAAGCCAGGGCGCCAGGTGGTGACGTTTCTGCTCATATGTAATGTTACCATGTGGGTGATCTACACATTTGAGGCACAGAAGGTCATTGCTAACCCAGTACAGGTATGTGGCTGAAATAATGCTCTGCCCTGAGCAGTTTGGCTGAAACTCATAGTCAGAGATGTCCACTTAAAATCTTGTCTGGTTGCTGGCTGTCCTACAATTCTTTATGGTATTATCCAGAGCTGGGGCAGTCAGTATAGCAACTGGCTACAGGCTGGACAATGGAGGGGTCAAAGTTTGAATCCAGGTAGAGTCAAGAATTTTCTCTGCATCATCCAGACTGGCTCTGGGGTCCACCCAGCCTTCTATTGACTGGGTACCAGGGGCTCTTTCCCCGGGGTTAAACGGTAGGAGCGTGAAGCTGACCACTTGCCTCCAACTAGTGCCAAGGTCAAGAAAATCCTTACCTGCTCACCATTCATGCCTATCATCTCATCTGGCATTATACAACATATACAGGGGTTGAACAAAATAATGGAAACTTTAGAGACACTGTACACATTTCTTTATTACTATGATGTTGGACCACCTTATGCTATCAGATGTATTCCTTCTTGGAATAGGCTTATTCAAGTATTGAACAGTCTCTAGCAGAATTTTATACCATTCCTCTAGAAGAACACCTTTCAATTGCTTTAGAGGTGTTGGAGGTGGGAACTCTTCCTAAATCTGTAGCCTCCAAAACTGGCAAGAATGGTCCAGTGATATTCAAATCTGGTGATTGCGTTGGCCAGGGAAAATGCTGAAGTTAACCTTCATCATCTTCAACCCATGACTGAACAGTTCCAGCTGTGTAAATGCAAGCATTGTCATCTTGGAAAACAGCATTGTTGTTCTAAAATCAATCTGGATCATGGAATGCACCTGACTACACAACCTATTTACATAGTCCCTTGCAGTTATTCGGCCATGAAGGGTAATATTGGGACCAACAGAATACCATGATATTGCTGCCCAAACCATCACAGAATCTCCCCCATGTTTGACTGTTGGAATGAGGCATGTGGGATTTTAAGGCTTCCTTGGGGTTCTTTAAATGTGAACTTTTCCTAATGTAGGGAACAGTGTGAGGGTCCACTCATCTGATCATATCACATATGCATTTCCAGTTGTCTCATGTCTGGGTCTTACGGTCATGACACCATAATTTACACATCTGAGCATTACTTTCCATTAAGAAGTTTCGCAATTACAGCCCTACCATGGATGTTGGATCTGTGAAATTCACATCGGACAGCTTTTGGGAAATAGGATCTTCAAGATCCTATGCGATTCATGCTTAAAATATTTCGTTTTTCTACCATTTTCTGCTTTTTGTCTTTTGCACAGAAGTCTCTATTATGTTGTTTAGTTTTGAAGGAAAATTCTGACATTTGTAGCATTCTACTCAGTAGTGAAAGGACATAATTGTATGATACTGCATCTTAGACTTGAAGGTTTATGGAAACTGCGCTTACTTCAGACCATTCCCGGGTCTGGTCAAGTGGGATTTGTGGTGGATAAAGTGGCACTGGGGTAGGTTTTCTCCAAGTACTTTGGTTTCCCCTGCCAATCTTCATTCCACCAAATTCTCCATCATCATAATCACCCGGGGCAGGCTACAGTAGGCCAATCAGTGGCCGCCGTGCCGAGTGGACCCAGTTGGATTCCACCCCCCCACTAAGCGAATTAACATTAAGTTTTCTTGACAGCCTGTGCAGAAATTTAGTCTTATGGGGAAAATCATTTCTTTCATGTCTTCATTTGTCACCATCTTTCTTCCTTTCCTTTAGCACTTTCATACCTTCATCTCCTTCCCTGTTATTCCCTTTTATTTCTTCATTCTGTAATTACTGCTCTTCACCTTCTATTTTCTCTGACCTTTATAGTAACAGTTCAGGTAAATATCACTAACAGGCTTTTGTGATTGCATAAGATGTGACAGTATGTGTATATGTTTCTGAAGGCCAACAGTTAATGCTACCGAGAGTAATTGTGTTGTCTCACAGCCCAATATATAAAACACAACTTTTTTGTAACATTTGCATTCTGTGCAAATGAGGACATATATGCAACTGCCTTTTATGTGCAAGGTAATTTGGTTTAAAAAAATATGCATTGTTTGAATGTGAATCTTTAACATGTGCCTTCTGTGGCCCATAACAAGAACCTTGTGTGACTGCAGCTGGATTTCTATGGTTTCCTGGCCTGGGTGATAGTCCAACGGGTGACGCTGCCACTGTGCATCTTCCACCGGTTCCATTCAGCTGTGACGTTGGCGGAAATTTGGAAGACAAGCTATAAGGCCCGTCTGGAGTAGCGTGGACGCCACTGATGATTCAGTTGTTTGTCATGACAACTATCTCATGTGTGCAAAGACAGAACTTTGTCATCATTTTCTTTTGTATTCAGTGGCCGAATTCCTCATGAAATTTTAATGTCCTACTAAGGATAACTTTTGGTTTTAGTGTGCTGTGCTGGACTGGCACTGCACTGTTGGGTGGGATTGCCCCCAATGATGCTACACAAGGTGGTCAAGCTGAGTCACTACGAGGCACTTTTATGTGACCCTCTGACCTGTCACTTATTGGGAGCAACTCCGCTATTTGAGAGAGAGAGAGAGAGAGGCAACTTGAAGTCAAAACATTTTTAACTTGCATTTAATGTTACTAAGCGTATTTATTATAATTACTAATATTGACAGCTCTGAGTCATGAATGAAGGTAGGTGGCCATCAGTATTGGTAATAATCTGTGTAGATTGTGTCTATTAATGCAGTGTCAATACGAACTGGTGCTGCAGGTGCAGGAGCATTTGCCAATTTGAGTCACAGAATTTCAAAATTTTCTTCTGTGGTTCTCCAAATGTATAGAATGTAAAATGTTTGTGAAGCAGATGGTGGCATTATGCTCTCATGGTGCATTAAATTCAAGTCCTACTTTAACAGACTGGAGCTTGTTACTGCTGTTAATTTCTTGGCAGTGGCATTGGTCTCAGTATGGCCAATATCTTTTTATCAATTCAATGTGTACAGTTAGATGTATGCTCTCAATTTGTGGACCACTTTGTTCAAATACACATGAGAAAATTGTTATTTTTTTGTTGGCATTTGAATTTATTTAAAAATCTGGAACTATAGTACAAAAAGATGGAATACGTAGAAATCTCTTGTAGTATTTTTTAAGTGTACAAGATGTCACTCCTTGTACATTGGTAGCCCATTTGTTGTGAGTCAGTGTGTTCATTATATAAAGAATGATTATATATATACACATATATGTGGACCTATTGTCTGTTCAAAGTTTGAGAATATTGCCTCAAAGATATTTGTGGCAAGTTTTTCAATGATTCACGAAGAAAACTTTGTCTCATTGCTGTTATTTATTTAAATTTCACTGCCGTACTATTACCCTACTGTAACTATTCAGAAACACTTAAACACCACTAACATATGTCAGCAACCTGATTCCCGTTCACTTGGTGATGAATACAAGAGGCTTCTCCCCACTGGATAGATGTCGGCCATAGATGTAATAACACAACAGTATTACATGTAGGGCGGTTACTACTATATATTCCGAACGCGAAGTGATTTAGAATAAGAAGTTCTGGGAAGAACTAATCACCTGTTTTTCTTTAAAGCAACATAGACTACACAGAAAATGTCCAACAATTCTTCTACTGTTACATGTGTATTTGTTGCCATGGAAACATGTTTACTGAGCCATTGCTTAGCAACCACGCAATTACCAAACAGCCGAGCCACTACATAGCAACCAAACCATTCCCTAACACTAGGGGGGGATACACAGACACACAGGGAAAGCAAGCTAACAACAGAGGAACTGTTGGAGGTGGTGTTTTCTGTGGTCTGACCAAAGGTTCTATCAAGATGACAGCCCTCTGCTCAGGGTCATGGTTAGCAGTCAGTTGCAGTGCGCAGAAATCTGAGAGTTGGAAGACCTAAGTACCAAGTCATTGCCTAGCAATGGCCATCTTCTTGGTGCTTCTCTGACTGCAATATTCTGGCCTTCAGGCATCATATTGCATATCACATATGTGGTTATATGGTATTGTACTGGTCATCTCTTCTGGCTCCACTGTTCTGGTTTTAAACAGTTAGGGGAGGATACACAGACATTCAGACAAGAAGGTGATGCCATAAGCCTCCATTTTACCCTCCTTTCTTTATTTTGAATAAGAGTTGCGGTAAGAACTAATTGCCTACTTTCCTCTGGTATGACACTAACTGCATAGATCAAAAAATCCTTCTATTGTTGCATGTGTATTTGTTGCCACAGAAAAGTGTTTATTGAACTGTTGTCTAACAACAATCATCTTTTCTGGCTTCATTATTCCTGCATTCAGGCAATAGAGGGATACAAAGACACAGCAAGGTGACCTATAAACTTCCTTTTATTTTTTCAAAATAAGAACAGACTAAAAAAATAAAAGGAATCTTATGAGATCACCTTGCTACCTGTGCGCTTGTGTGTCTGTGTTTCCCTCCATAAATCCTGAGAGCAGGAATAGTGGAGCAAGAAGATAACATATAAACACAGTGCAAAATGTAATATGACACCTGAAGGCCAGAATATTGCAGTCAGAGAAGTGCTGCAGAGATCGTCATTCATAAGCAACAGCTCAGAAATTAGGTCTTCCAAATCTCAGGTTTCTGCATGGTGTGACTGACTGCTAACCTCAGTCCTGACTCAATCACTCATTCACTCACTCACTGCTGAACTGCTGCTGGTCCCCGCCAGCAGAGTGATTCTTGGTTGCAAGTCTCACATGACTAATGACCATATTTTACTGTCTGATGCCTCTTGGAGCTTCACACTCTCCAGCAGCCCTGACCAGACAGTCTTTAAGTCAGACCTCAGAGAAAACACTGCCTCCAACAGCTCCTCTGTTGTTAGCCTACTTTTCCTGCATGTCGGTATGTGTATACCCCTTGTCATTGCTAGGCAAGGGCTTGGTAAACACATTCCCGTGGAAATTAATACACATGCAACAACAGAAGAATTGTTGGATGCATCATCTTCTGTGGTCTGTGTTGTATCAGAGGAAAGTACTGATTTCTCCTTACCAGAACTTGAATTTTTTCAGAATAAGGAAAGTAGGCTATTGAAGTACCTATGTTCTGCTGCTGTGTTGCAAGCAAATTGCAAGGAGGATGTGCCAATCACTATGGTCTTTGGCATGGGTCAGCCTAGTTTAGTGCTATCTCAAAAGTCAATTGCTCAGTTCTCTGTGTGAAGAAAGGCACAGTGTAAAGTCACAAATCATCTGTTTGCTCACAGTATGCCCGATTCATCTCGCGCTGCTCCTCATGTCACCCCACAGTTCTTTTTGTGCTCATTTTCTATTTTTAGATAAAAAAGTTGTGAAGCAGTTACTTCTGTACATAAGAGTGTGTGGATGTCTTGTTTATATAATTTCAAGCTTTCTCAGATGATCAGCCTTGTCAGTGGGGTTAGCATTCGATATTTCAGAGACTGGGTCTCTCTCCCTTATCAGGAGTGATAATGGAGACATATTTAAAACACTGGACACTAACGCCACGTTGATATGGCTGGTCACCTGAGAAGACTTTGTTGGATATTTTATTTAATTTAGCATATCTGATTAAATTTCCAGTTTTGTTCTTTGTCTCAATTGAACTAGAATGAAAATTAATTATTTGGTATATTTTAAATGTTACTGCCGTGATCTTTGTAAATACATCAGCACTTGTGGAGACAGTGTAGGAGTTTGCTACCATGTAAACAGAGCAGGTTGTGTAAGATTGTGTCTCCCTCCATTTCTGTAATAATATTGTAGAGATGGTTGTATTTTTCTTGTATTTAATGTGGTGTGTGTGTCTTATGTACCTCACTGTGAACTCCCACAAGAAACCGTAAGTGGCTGGAGAGTTAATATGGATCATTGTTTAACCAGACATTAGAACACATTCTGTTTTCACTGACCACTGTAATAGAACTCATTTGCACATTCTTTTTTACTTTTTATAAAATAACATGTATTTTCTGTAAACTCCCAGTTTCTTTCATACAGATTTTGTACAAAAACTTCATTGAATATAAGTATTATACATGTGCCAGAATAAAGTTATTATTAGATGTGCTATTTGCTTACTCTTATTTGTCATTATCCAGCCAGATGAAGCCTGTGTCTAAAGAGCTGTAATCTTATTGCAAAACCTGAGCTCAAACAGAATGCTTATAGTATCAAATGATTTCAGGCTCACATGCACCATGTCTTCTTATAAAACTTACTAAAAGTTACCGACTTAAAAGTTTTACACATCATAGAGATTTTCACTTATTACAAGTTATTTATTACATGTAAGCTTTGAGGTTTTCACGGCAGTGACTATGAAGAAAGCAGTCTTCTGGGATGTGGCACCATGTAGATGTGTGTTAACCGATGTTTCGGAGGAACGTATCGCCTCCATCTTCAGGGTAGAAGAAAAAATAAGAAAATTCCCAAGCGAAGAGACCGTGAGAACTGAAGATGGAGGCGATATGTTCCTCTGAAACGTCGGTTAACACCACATCTACATGGTGTCACATCCCAGAAGACTGCTTTCTTCATATTCATTACATGTTTCGACCTATAAGGTCATCATCAAGTGTTTTAAAATTATAAATTATAAATGAGGAAACTGTTGTATTTCTGTATAGTGGTTCTTGCTCTTTATTATGTAGTCCCTTCTATGAGCACATGTTGTTCTACAGGCAGAAGTGCAGCAGGATGCTACAATATAATACGATGAGAGTGCTCATTATATGCAATGGAACCAATAAAAGTTCAAAAATGGATTCTGCATTTGGTAGGTGCAAGTGGATTATAGTAGTGTCCCCGCCATGTCATGGGCATTTGGGTGACCTGCTTATATAAAGTATGGAGCATGACCATAATATTTACAATATGGACTCTAAATGTAAAAGGTAAAGCTGTCCCTGTACTTATCTAATTAAGCACTACACCATGAAGGCATATGATGGAGTGGATGTATAGAGTCATTTTCTTGCGCTAGCTGCAGTTGAGTGGTCAGATTCACACACCTGCTGCTTTACCCCTCAGTAAAAAGCCCCCAGTACCCACTGGATAGGGGGTTGGGCGGACCCCAGAGCCAGTCTGTATGACATGAAGTGAAAATTCTTTCCCCCACCATGACTCAAACTCCAACCCCTTGGTTATTAAGCCCATAGACAGGCACTATACCAATTACATTATCCCAGCAAATGTATATTTTTAAACAGAAGATGCAAAAAAAAAAAACAATTCAGCCCAAACTATTTTTAGTCATTTGTGCATTATGAACTGATAAAAGCTGCTCCGTGTACTTGCTTTGAAATGGCCACAGCCAAAACTTTGAATGGCACTAAAACTTGGCCCTGGAACTTCCTGACTGACCAGTCCCAGTGGGTTTTATGCCCTGGGACAACTGTAAAAATGCTCTTTAAATTTACACTTGGCACCTAAAAATTGTTTCTCTAATTCCTTAGAAAAAAAATTACACTACCGACCTTTCCCTATTTGGCAAGCCCTGACTAGCCCACTTCATTTTCAGTTTAATTCAGTGCAATTAAAGACACAATGTGTGACAAAAATATTGTCACATACTTAAGTGATTGGATTGGTAATTAGATTTATTGGACTCTTACAACTCATAACTTCAAAGAATTACAGTGCTATAACTAATTCACACTCTTTACAATGCACTGTTGCACTGCAATGTATAACCAATATGTTATTTAAGATAATAACCATTGTTGAAACTACCTCATTTTCACCACATTATTATTGAAATATGTGAAGATATTCAGAATGGCACAGTATTTCTTGTGATAACTTCCTTTCCGGCCCTAGCCTTTTCCAGAAACTGAAAAAAACGTAGATACCTACATACATGTTGAACTGTGTCGGCAGCCAGAAAATATCTGCCAACTGACATTAAGGGCATGTAGCAAAGTTCTGCATGAATGCTGTGAAATGTATGACTACATATACTTGGGAAGCCATAGGGTAGGAGAGAACCTTCCCTCCATTGTGCATAATACTGTATCTTAATTAGTGCAAGAATGGCCTAAGAAATGGGAGAATAGATTTCATTCCATGCAGTGGCACATTACTATAAATATATGAATGGGGCATAAAAATCAGATCAAATGTTTCATTTCATTTCATTTCATTCTTTTATTAATCCTGTAGATCATGATACAATGATATAGGACAAGTCTTTCAGCTAATATACATATTAAATTATAACAATCTAATACTAAAAAATTATATAAGATATACAACATTTTATACATTATATACTATATACTTCTGTTTATATCAGTAGCCAATATTCGAGAATTCATCATTCAAATATTCCTCCGTTGAGTAACAGCACCTCTGAATAAGTAACTTCTCAATTCCCTAGTGAACAGATTTTTTTTTCTATTTTTTTTTTTTTCATGTTGCTAGGCAATCTGTTGTAAAAGATACAGCCAATTATGGGTATTATTAATAGTCTGGTATGGAAAATTGGAATTTTTAGCAATTCCCTTTCAGAAAGAAAAAACCAGAATTATTACATTACTATACCCTTTTGTATAGGCCTGTGTGTGTCCTGATTAGAACTGTTTGAGTGATAGTTTCAATATCAATGTCATTTTGTTCTTCAAGAATTGCTTTATTTCTGTAGCCACTATCAGAAATTTTCTTGTGAATAAAATGTTTCCATTGTACATTATGCTTACAGCAAGTACAAGCGGACATGTCTATCGTAAGATGTGAATCCCATACTAACAGTACTTACTTACTTATGGAGCTGAGTCCTTCTTGAGGAAAGCCAAAGCTGCAGCTACTCAAGGATTTCCCAGCATTTTATGGAACCCAAAGGTTGATTACAGTGCTCACAAGAGCCCTCCACTGGTTCCTATCCTGAGCAAGACCAATCCAATCCATGTCATGTCATCCCATCCTATTGCTCTAAGATCCATTTTAATATTGTCCACCAACCTATGCCTTGGTCTTCCCAGTGGTCTCTTTCCCTCTGGCTTTACCACCAATATCCTATATTCATTCCTTCTCTCCCCCATTCGTGCTATACGCCCTGCCCACCTCATGTCGACCTAAATTATCATTACAACACTTAGCATTAATTTCACCGCCATACAATTGGTTCCAAAGAATACCAATCTCAAAATGAACATTCATAAACAGCTGACAAGGATGAATAATCAGCAATAATTATTAAAGCACCACGATATCAAAATGACAACAAAGAATCCAACAACGTAATTTATTATTCCGATAATGGAGAGTAATTTAATTATAAAATGATAATCACATACTAAAATATAGTGAATAATTTTAAAATAATGCGACACTACAATTCTGTATTTATAATGGGATGAAAGTACATATAATTAATGAATCATGAAGGTGGTTTTGACTTGATAGTATACGAGAACCTGTGACGCAACATTACGGATAGAGCATTGGTAACGTGAGTAGTCTGGTTCAACAGGAAAAGCACATGTTAAAATGTGTGACGAAAATGGGTTAACGTACGAAGAACCAAGTAAAATTGTACGAAAGTCGAAGGCAACTGTAGGAAGTAAGCACAAGGTGAGTATAAATTATTTTACACTTCATGAGCTATATGATGTAATTCATTGGCTTGTTATCCTGTTTTTTTTTTTGACGTTCGCTAATATTTCTGAATTACGAAGGTTTTCAGTAATGTACCCATTCTGAGTGCTGGAATGCGGGAATTATGATTTTGCTTTCGTTTCTATACAATATTTGCATTTACCCACAGCAGTCCCTCGTCAACCGTGGAAGTTCGTTCCCAAAAGGCTCTGCTGTTCGCCTGATGGGGTTAGGGCAACTGCGGTGTCTGTACTGTCACTAACACAAAGAATCCGTATTATCTTGATTAAAACTTAATTAGACGTAAAGTATAAAAAGTACCACAGGAAGCGGCACTGCATTGGTAATCTACGAGCTAGAAGAGTGTTTTGGAAGCTATTAAACGTTGCCATCAGAAAATTTGGTTCTCTTGGTGCTAAAACCACCGCTTTCCTTGTACGTATTCAAAACCGTATATTCATAAAAGCCAACTACCATGAGTAACAAAACTGAAAATACATGGAAACCCGTTAATATTCGATGCCCACCGTTGGTAAAGGATTGCTGTATGTATATGTGGCATGTAGCACAGTACACTGAGAATCTGATAACTGAAAACGAAAATTCCATGTCACTTTTGAGCGTCATTTCTTCTTCTTCAGGTAACTGAGATCAGTGTTCCAAATGTCATCTCAATGAAGGTGCTTACAGTATTAAACACGTTCCTTGCTGACAAAAGTTACATAGGTAGTTATCAACTTTCCCAAGCTGATAAAGCCATCTTTGAGGCCCTGAGAGGGGTTACTTTGCCTCCTAACATGTCTCATCTTATGCGATGGCATCAACACATCAAAAGCTTTTCCCCAGTAGAGTTGGCGCTGTGTCAAACATATGTACCAACTTGTAATACTATGCCACCACAAATTGTAGGCCTTCTCTCAACCAATAATCACGGAGTTGATATTAATCTAAAGGTGAGAAATTGATGTGTATCTACAGGTGAACAGTGTTGGTTATTGATTGTAGAACAGTTTGTAAAGTTGTACATTGTGGTGACCATCCCTGACCAGTTGGGGTTTCTGTATATGTATTAACTTTATTTCCAACTTTTAGTGAACATTGTCATTATATACAAAGAATGAGTTACAACTGATAAATATTATGGCACTTGGATGGGGCTGCTGTACCATCACAAACAAAAGCGAATGCTCTTTTGCTTTCCTGGAAATGACATACAGGCGGCTTTCTGTTTTGCACCAGTTGTGCAAGTGAATGGTCACCACATTGCAATATTATACCAAATTCCTCCTGCACATAATAGGCGGAGAAATACTGCTTGTAGTGTTGCACCACCTTTGTGTGAAACTGTTGGTTGTGGCAGTAGATTGCAGAATTCGTTAGCTGTAGAAGTTAATGAATGATTATGAAGGCATAGACCCTTCTGTGGAGCCTCTCTTCCCCAATGCAGAAGGGAGATATACCAGATATCCAAGAATGAGTGCCCACATTTTAAAACATTTTTGTTGAGAAAGTAAACAGAGCCAGAAGAGTACAGCTTATACCAGATGACAGTGGAACTGTGGGAGTTTTACATATGATACCTGTTATATGAAGCACACATGGTTTGGGCATGCATGTTTCACTGACATCTGTATTCCACTTGGCATTTGCAAGCAACTAAGGGAGCTCAGGTCTAAGAACATTGAAATGGGGAAGGGTGGAGAAAAAACTTTTTCGAGTAGCTATTTTATTTGGGGAAGACTGTACTCTCCCACTTATGTTCATTTTCTCAACAAAAATGTTGAAAATGTATGCCTTGTTTCTTGGACAATCTGCATATCTGTAAGATGACCTTGTGGTCCTGTGGTAAGGTACTGGATCGTTCATTCGGAGGAGGACTGCAAATTTGATTTGCAGAATTTCTGCTGGCTTTTCTGTACACAGATTTACAACTTCACTATCAGATACAAATCTGTGGTTCAGCACATATGTTAAGCTGTAGGCCCCCTCTGCCAGCTATCATTCTTATTATCACCCTATTGTTGGGCGTAACAGGATCTACCCTGTGATTATAACACCTGCCAATATGAGAGCCTGGAGCCAAGCAACACATGTATGAAGACAGAGCAAGTAAGGAACCAAGCAAAAGTGGTGTAACAGGCTGTGGAATGATAGCCAATGCTTGTGAACTTTGTAAAAAAGGTGAAATTATCCCTGTGCTTAACTAATTAAACACTACACCATGAAGGGGTATAGGGCAATGGATGTATAGCACTTTTTCTTGACCTTGGCAGTATTTGGAGGTGAGTGGTGAGTTTCACGCCCTGGTCACTTTATCCCCAGGGGAACAGCCCCTGGTACCCATCAGACAGGAGGCTGGATGGGCCCCAGAACCAGTCTGAATGATGTGGAGAAGAGAACATTTTTAACCATTTTTAAATAAGACTGTTCTGTCCAATGAATCTGGTTACCAGTCTGAACCACATGTCTAGTTACTGTTATATGAAAGTGTAATAAACCTTATGTTAAATTGATCAGTTTTGCATCTGGTTTACATGGAGACAGCATGAGATGACGGTAGGCACACTGACAAACACATCTGTCCTTAGACTAGTTGTAGAACTGTGATGGAATTCTACAACCACTTCAGTACACATTTGTCAGTGGTTGCTGTGTAAACTGTATAGTTAACGTGATGCTGTGAAATAAACCAGTAGAACAAAGAATACCAGTGTGTCATTCAGATCAGTGTTCAAACCTTGATTATTTCATGTGACATTCCTTTTCGATGAAATGGCACTAGAGCTGATTTTCTTAATTTTTTGTGTTTCCCGCTACTGATCATCATTCCACCATTGCAGTTTACTCTGCTGTAATTCGCCCCTGAGGTGATCAGTAGCCCTGACTAGGCTGCACATTATCACATCCTTCTTTGCTTTCAAGTTTGGGGCTTCATTTCTGACCTAGCACTTGGTTGCTTATAGGGTGAGGAAGTTAACCGAATCAGTAAAGTTAATGGCTGCAGTCTGGACTTCAGTAATGTTCGGATTTCTCCCTTGGCCATGCCCAAGATTGGTTTTGTGGTCACCCATTCATGTAACCAATGAGTAGGCCGCCCCATAGCTCAAGCAGTTAGTTGGTGGCTTCCCACCGTGGCGGCCCGGGTTCGATCCTGGGTCTGGTCAAGTGGAATTTGTGGTGGACAAAGTGGCACTGGGGTGGGTTTTCTCTGAGTACTTCAGTTTCCCCTGCTAATCTTCATTCCACCAAATTCTCCATCATCATAATCACTCGGGGCGGGCTACAATAGGCCAATCAGTGCTGCCGTGCCGAGTGGACCCGGTTGGACTCCACCCTCCGCTAAGCGAATTTAAAAAAAGGAAAACCAATGAGTGTAATTTACTAATTACATTTAGTAGAGTTCCTCATGGAGCATATAACAGTTTCTGAGAACCTGAAGAGGTACCTCTTGCCTTTTGTGGAACCATGAGGGTTGAGTATCATGTTCACAAGAGCCCCTGTGTGGAGTCTGTCCTTAGCCAATTCAATCCAATCCACATCCTTTTCACATTTCTTTCAGTTCTGAATTAACAGTATTCATCCATCTATAACTCTTTCCTTCAGTCATACAACCTTTTCTTCTGTCAGATGATCATCTTGTGGTCACACCTGACTTGGATGCACTGTGCGTATCAGAATTCCTGTGGCCACTGCTCTCATTTTTATATTGACTTTCACCTGGATTCTTACTCAGCAGATGGTTTGTGAAAGCATGACTTTGCAAAAGTTCTGCTGGCTATGAGCATTCTCTGGATCACTGGCTTGAAAGAAATGAAGCCATAAGTAAAAGGCACAGATAATGCAAAAGGTAACTTTTATTCACACCAGTGTGTCCAGAACATTAACTGGACTAAATTACATTTTATTGTTTTGCTTAAGTAAATGTATCATTTACAACAAAAGATCTCTAGTACTGGAAGCATTTGCATTTGGAAAACAGGGCTTCATAAGTTCTGTTTGGGGGCCCTTCTTTATTTAGAGCATTAGAAGAAATAAGACAAAAATTTTGTGCCTTACTCTGAGACATGCAAGGGGATAGCAAATACTTAAAGTGTATATGTAGTTGGGAGATAAGAGAGATAGTTTAAGAATGTAATGAGGTTGAGAATTTGTGGCTTAACTTTCCTCCTGTGATGACTGAACCAAAAATTACCCAAAAGAATCTGAAAATAATAATAATAAACACTTCGATTCATAAAAATGTTGTCACCTTTTCCATGTGTGATGGAAATTGTGGAGCAGCATTGATCAGCTAACGTGGAATTGTTCTCCAGTTTTATTTATCCTTGCTTTAATGTGTACATGCCTCCACAAAGTGGACCATGTCCCATGTTGTGTGTTGATATGGTACATATGTAAGTAAAAGTAAAGTAAAACTATCCCTGTACCAGGCCATGAAGGCCCATGGGGTTGTGAGACGTTGAGTGTCCCACATTATCTAGACAGTCGGCTCAAAGATGGCAGTAAGGTTGTCAGTCTTACGCGCTGGCCGCACTTTGCTCCCCAGGAAAATTATTTAATTAATTCCTGGTACTCGTTTCTGTTAGAGGCTGAGTCAACCCAGGGCCATAGTGTGGCTGGAAGGATTAGGTCTATTGAAAAAAGTCCAGTGACCTCATCAGGACTTGAACCTGCAACCTTCCAGCTTCTAGGATAGCCCCTCAACCAACGTATGTTCCAAACTGAATTTGTCACACTTTACTGCAGGTATCGCCAATTTCTCTCCCTTCTTCACAAGGTACACAATGGGTTTTTGTATTGCTAAAACATGTTTCTGAGGCATTTTAAGACACAGCCAAAAATTCAGAAAGAGCCAAAATTTCATACAAAGTGAGAAAACGGAATAATTCTGTATGCTATTCCTTAGTACACCTGAGTTTCATACAGAACTCTTCTTAAGCCATAGCCATGAGGTTGGTAATGTGAGATGTGCCATCCCAGCTCCACGTGGCCCACAGAAATGTAATGCAATGCCCAGTGCAGTGTGATCCTCACTGCATTTCATGCTTTTCTCTGGTTAAGACGCGGTATTGCTGAGAAGATATTTCATCCTGTTTCATAACTCCTTTCCTGGCGATGTTGGGTGGTGGTGCACTGCGGCTCTTGGCAATCCTTGACTTATCGGCACGGCGCTGGGTGGCCAATTCTCTTGGACCACAGGTCAGTAGTAAAATTTTGTGTGGGTGACTGCATGCCCATGCTCATACACCAAGTAAATGTGCTTGCCTAATAACAGTAGACTGAAAAATACCTATGCACTGAGCAGTGTAAAATGGAGAATTTTGCTCTGAAGCTCAGATTCTGTTTCTAACATCAACTACTCTTCTATCAAGTATAAAGTAGACCAGCACTGCACAGAATGTATGTTTACTGGCATTGCAAAGAGAGCTTCTGGCACATTTGCAATGAAAAGCTGTAAGAAAGTGTGTCTATTAGCTTTGCCCTATCTGGCTGTCTGTACATAAGAACTTGAGCTGTGGTCAAATTTATCAGCCTGTTTCAGTCTTGGTTAAAATCAGGCAGCAATAACACTTTTTGCATGAAGACCTCATGTTTCTCTACATGTCTCAAGTGTGATTCACTAAATATTAATCAGAACAAAGAATATTGTTTTTATGTTCCTTGAAATTTGTTCCGTGAGGCTTGTGTTTTTTGAGCGGCTTCAACAGAAACGAGTGAATACACCAGAATTGTTGCACTGTGTATGCATTTCTAACTTGTAGTTTTGTTATGTCCATTGTTGGGTTCGGGGTTCACAAAATTGCAGTACACGTGTTTGGAAAGGCTTCATTTTGAATATTTTGTTTTCTATATGTGGTGAAAAGGCAGACATGTGAATGTGTGTGAGAATGTTGCAAAATTGAGAAGGCCATGCTTCTAACATAGTGCAGTCTCATTTAAAATATAAATACGTGGAAAGCAAATTGGGTTGATAGAACTGTATACCACTGTTTTAAATGGAATGGGCATAAGGTTAGATTACTGAGGTTTTAGGCCATATGTTAACTGTCTACCAGTCTACACCACATCAGATACCAGAAGACTGCAGTCTCAATAATCACTGTCATGAGAACCAGAAATATTAATGGCTTTATATTGTTAGGGAAACATAAGCTTGTAACTGTCAGTGACGCATACAAATGCAGTTGTTTTTAAAGTGTTCCAATTGTGATGCTCCAGAAATTTGTGTCTCAGAATCCAGTGGTCCTACAGTCCCAACCACTGGGGTAATTCTGGACATGTTCTTTTATGTGCCCAACTTCCTAAGGGCGTAGCCCTTTGAGAGAAAGGTTTGTTTAGACTGGACTGTGGGCTGGATGATTTGGGACCAGTTCCTGGCAGAAGCTGAGTTTTTTCTCTTTGCCACCATGTGCATACTGGTACTGTGTCCCCCCCCCATCCAGTTGATACTTTGGGGCAGGGGGGTAAAGTAGCTGAGACATGGAGCTGACAGCTCACGTCCGTCTGTAGCTGATGTTAGAATAACAAATCAAATCCATTCAGATGTATTGCAGGGACTGGAAATTGTTACCGCAATGAACGTTGTGAGGCAAGCTAGAATGTTAGGCGAAATCAGAAGTAGCGTGAAACTGTGGTGAAGTTATGTTAGAATTTAGATTTTAACCTTTCAAGAAAAATAAGGTAGCAGACTGTATAACCAGGAGGTTAAAGAACCGAATGAAGTAGAATACCTAAGCATCCCTCGGACAGAACATTCCATACACACAGAACAATGCCCCTGCTAGCTAGCGACTCTAAAAAGTAGCCAAATCACAAAAAAGGGACCAGCACACGTTCGTTAACTCATGAGGCAGTAAAATGGCTCTATCAGCTCACCCCAAGGAGGCAGATACTAGAGCTCACCAGACAACCAAGAAGGTCGTAGACAGAAGTGACTATGGGTTCAAGACTCTTTGAATTTAGCCAAGGGCTTCATAAACAAAGTTTGTGTACTGCCAAGTAGGTGAGGTGGAAACTCGTATATCCAGTGTTGCTAAAGCAAAGATAAGGGTTTCCTCATCATGTTAGTTGAGTATTACTAAAAACAGGGAGAGTTTAGGTTACTAGAAACGACAGTAAATATGAATAAGGTTACTTTCAGTAGGAGTGTGGAAAGCCAGTGTAATGAATGCCAAGGATAAGGTTCAGACTAAATCACTGGAGTTATGTTAGAATAATGAGAATGAATGGTTGTGTAGAGCATAGGTGAATTTGTACATATGTAATAAATGTAGTGTAGGTAGCCATCCCACCACTTATTTCATCTCCCACACATCCTGAAGAAGGGGGGGGGGAGTACTGTAAGGTTGAAGTATCTTAAGATCACATTAAGTAGCATAGTCATTAGCTGACAGCCTACTGAACAAGTACCATGGTAAGATACCAGTAGTATTGAAGTTGGTGGTTTCAGCAGCTTGCAATAGCCATGACATGATAGTAAGGGGTAACATCCCAGCCACATTACTGAGGTAAATATGAACATTATGTTCTGAGGTGTGACATCATGTAATGTGGTGGAGAGGTATCAGTGTTTATGTATAAGATGGCAACATCAGGTTCCTCTGAAACATTTGGTACCTATCCACCACACTACATGGTGTTACATCCCAGAAAATATTAATTTCATCAGTCATGCTCTCCACCTGCTCTTTTGTACCAAAATTATATCTGAACTCTTTGCATGTCGTGTGCACTACAGCTGTTGGCTGCTAGCACACAGATTATTTTCCAAATCTGTAAATGTTAAATTCTGTTACTCGTATATTTTGCTGATATGATAACTGCAATAGGCAGAGAGCCATAGAATCTTTTGAAGAGTTGTCATTTTATGGACTGGCATTTGTAATTAAATCTGCCTTAAGAAGAAAGTTTCCCAGAAAATTAGACGAGTCAATCCCCAAGTCACTTTCTTTTCTGGTCTGTGTTTCATAATTGAATGCAGTTGAAGCAGTTTGGGTGATGGCGAGGTTTCAGGTTGTAGAGGAGTTGAGTCATGTACTGGATGTGAAGGCACAGCCGAGAGCTGCGGAAGATGGTGCTGGGCCCCACAGGTTCACTCTCAAGACCCCAAAAGGTACACGAGATTATGGACCTTCGCAGATGGCTATCCGAGCAGACGTGTTGAACAAGATAATTTCTGTATTCAAGCGGCATGGAGCTGAAACTATTGACACACCCATCTTTGAGCTAAAGGTGATGGCAGCTAATGTTTGTGATGTATGTTGTACAGTATAACACACTTCCTCAAATCGTAAAAGTTGAGCAGTTTTTCTGTCCATCCCTGCGAATTCCATAGTGTGTTAAATTGCAACATTACCGTTTCAGTTGAGAGTGACCTCTTGTTAGGTCATGCAAATAAATCCCATTGATTGATACCCTTCACATGTCCCATGATCTGTTACGCTTTCCTCTCTACCATACGTTGCTACATTCCCTGCCAGTCATTTAGCAGTTAGTTTCATACAGATGTGGGCAATAATAACCACCTTCACTAATGACAACTGCTTTTAGTTGGTTAATGCATTTTTGCCAGGTTGTGTGAAACACCGTAGTTTCACCACCATGCATAGGGCTCAGGTTGTGTAAAGTAACACAGCGCTGTAGTTACCAGTACTATTCTGTCATCTAATGGAGATTCAGTACACTTCTAACTATGTATTCATTGATTAGAATGTTTCTAGATGTCAGTGTACACATTGGTTTTTTTTACAGTGTTTTGTTTATTTTAAAAAATAACGTAGTTCTTGATTTTCTACCTTCTATCTTATCCAGTTTGAAGATGGCATGCTGTTGTAGGGAAAATTTGCTAGACGATAAAATTATGCAAGAACTATACAAGTATTGGTTGTCGGATGCTCCAAGTGGTTGTGAAAGTGATAGAAATAGTAATGATAATAACGACATTGATTTTAGACCCTCAACATCACAGAAAGGCAGAAAAAGTGTGATGTTAGATTTGAGTGATTCAGATGTAAACACTGATGATGACATTAATGTTAATGATGGTTGGACTAATGATGATTTAAGAAATTAGAACAGTTTCAAGTACCACAGGTCTCACATTTACGCCCAGAGATCCTACCAGTATTTCTGAAGTAGTGATGCAACTTGAAGAAACATTTTCAGGCTGAAAATACATGGTTCATAGTTTGAGCATGAATTTGTTGTGTGTTTGTGCACAGGAGGTGCTGACTGGAAAGTATGGGGAGGACTCCAAGTTGATTTATGATCTTGCTGATCAAGGTGGAGAGATCCTGTCACTGAGGTATGACCTCACTGTTCCATTTGCTCGGTATCTTGCCATGAACAAGATCAGCAACATCAAACGGTACCACATTGCCAAAGTGTACCGGCGCGACAACCCAGCCATGATGCGGGGCCGTTACCGGGAGTTCTATCAGTGTGTAAGTGAGAACTCTGTTAGCTGGAACAACTTGCCAGGATAGCTCAGTTGGTATTGTGACTCCACCTTGGGCTGAATGGCTAGGAATAAGATTTCAGTTACTGGCAAGAGCAAGAAATTGTTCTCTTCTCCACATTATTGCACAAACTGGTCATGGAGCCCAATGAGCCTCCTTTCCAGTGGGTATTAGGGACATTTTCCATTGGGGTAAAGCAGTTGGGACATGAAGGTGACCATTTCCATCCAGTGCCAAGGTTAAATATACATGGAGCTATACCTCCAGTTCCCCTTACATCTTCATGGCATGGTGCATAATTAAACACAGGGACACCTTTACTTGCTACACCAGATCTCCATTCAGTGTTTTCTTGATTTAAGGTTTTTCTCTCATTTAACATTTAACTTGAGTAATCCAGAGTCATTAAATTTCCTGCATGTAAGGTTTTCCTTCGTATAGTGATCACATCCAATACTCCCCAAAGAAATCATAAATGAGGGTTTCACTGTAATTAGGCACTGGCTTGGTTAGCAACACTGTGGTTCAAGGGGCCACTTTTGCTGCAGATTTCTATGTCAAAGTTCAGTGTGTCGCAGAAACATTACTTCATTCATATTTCAGCATCTGATAAACTGCATGTTTTTTCATGATGAATATTAATAAGAGCTAAATGTCCAGAAACACAGTAATTGTATGAATATTAATGTTTTTGCACTGGCTTGAGAAAAGGTCATTCCATGCCCCATCATCTCAGTTCGGTTTTCAACCTGACCGTCTCCAATTTCTGTAAAAGGTTGGTGAGCTTGCAAAGTTCAGCATCCTTATCTTGCAGGCTGCTGCCACAAGTTGCAGAGCTCATACAAGGCTTCTTTGAAAGCTAACGAAATGCTCGTTTCACAGATATATGACTCACATTCATATAGAACATTTTTGGTTTCAGCGTTACCTGATGTATGTAACTTTTGACCTTCAGTTGTTCACAAAGTGTAATTTCTTCTCCTAATTTATGTTTGATTGAGATGCACAGAAATTACTGTTAAGCTGGTGTGTGACAGTGTGTGAGAATCACCTGTACAGTAATATTCAGAGTGTGTTACTCGGTGAGATTGTCATATTTATATATAGTTACATTCTGTAAGAGTTAAGTAAATCCAATTTCCAATCACTCAGTCACGTGAAAGTATATACTTCTCATTAACTGGGTGGCAGTACTGTGTAGGGATGTATTTCATAGTTAATTCCTTCTCATAAAACAGTTAACCTGTACGTTTCTTGCAATCCCTTTTCATGCATTTAAAGGTACACTTGAGTTTGCCTTGCTGCACAGAATTGTGCTTTTAAATTGAGCCATGCATTCTACTTATGGCTCCGTTAAGCGGCTTCTCTTCCAACCCCCTCTCCGCTTTTTTCTTTTCCTCATAAGTTCTACATATTCTAGAAAGTTGTTCCATTCCATGCCTACCATGTGATCCCCCACCCCTTCCAGCTGTTTTAGCATGAGGAGATTAGGAATGATAGCAGGATGAGACCACTCAGTTTCTAGCAGTCACAGAAAGAGGTAACAAAATTCTGTTTGGATTTGATTGGTCAAAATTTGATTATTCTTCTGGCTGGGGAAGGGTAACGTCTCCCTTGGTTTTGGGACGAGTGGTAGCTAATTTGAGCATGTTTCTGAGGCATTTTAGCTCATCTTGCCTGACATTTTTTGTATTGCCCTGACATTAAAATCGAGCTGTATTTGACCTGTTAACAAGTATGCTCGTATCTCTTGTGAGAATTTGTCTTAAGAGGGAGTAGCTTGCTGTCAGTGTGGTAGGTGAGAGAAATTCTGTTTGGAGTTTTTTTTTAATTCAAGTTCATCTTGTGTTTTTTTCCTTTTGGGCATTGATCTCAAAAGATCTCTCCCCCTCCTAAATACGTGACGTCGCTCTTTGGGCGTCAGGGGTGGTGTCTGTATTTCTATTGTATTTTATTTTATTGTATTGCTTTATTTTGTTATATTAAACATATGTTAATCTTGTTATCTGGAGATTTTCATAGCTATCGTCAGTCAAGGCATACAGCTTGGACACCCCACTCTATCTGGGGGATAAAGGCATTGCGAAACAACGTAAAGGAACCAGGGACGAAATCAGAGTCTTCCCCTTTCTAATTAGGTTAAGAGAGGAGGGGCTGCTCAAAACATAGCTAGTATAAGCATGCACACAATCACAAATGATAAATATAGTAAAATTCAGTGTAATATGGTCTTCAACCCAGCACCATCTAACTGATTTTTGCCTTGGTATAGTACTCCTCAAAGCACACCAAAAGACAGATGAAGGTTGCACTTTCACAACCACTGTTATGTGCATATTCACTTCATCATCTTCCAAACTACATTTTGTAGCTATCGTATGATGAAATGGAACTGCATAAAATTCCTATTCACTACAAAGCCAGTAAAAGGAAACAGCCTCCACCTACTACCACCATTACAGTGTAAGTGTTTGGCTGTGACCAAACAGTGAAAAAATACAGCTTTAACAGTAACCCCTCCATTAGCGGCCTCCGTAGTCTAGAGGTAACGTTCCCACCTCATGACTCGTAGTACGCGGGAGGGACTTTAAGCTGTGGGTCCCGTGTCGTAGCTTTACGGCACGTAAAAGAACCTCATACCTCCAAAGGAGGTCACTGAGCAAAATTGCGGATGTTTGCCGCCCAGCAGCAGTCACTAATACCTCCGGTAGATGGGGGAAGCATTATAGATACCTCTCAGCCAGTAGAGAGCCGGTCTCGCTGGCTGGGTGGGACTGATGGTAAGCACCAATACCAGTAGGATATAGAGGCTGGTAGAAATCATAGAGGGAAGCACAGTGGACCACTACAGGTGTAAGTGCTTGGGGAAACCCACCCTCTCTAATAACTAACTAACTAACCCCTCCATTCTTCTTTGTAAAGCAGTGGTTTTGCTATATAATGAGGAAATATTCTCTGTCATATGCTCTGTTTCTTCACTAGTGTTGAATATCTAAAGAGTGTAGCAAAGATGTGTACTTACTCAGTTTTGTATGTTGCCAGAACATTTTTACAACATCCAAGAGGTGAAGTGTGACTCTCACATTACAAGCAGAGATGATTTTATAATGTAGAACACCTAACCTCAGTCACTCTTTAGCTCTTTCTATGGTACCCTTCAGAGTGATTCTGAGTGTTGGATGCCATTGTCTGAACCTTCTAGAATCTACAAATTTTTGTGCTGTTGATTATTTTNACTGATAAATCTTAATGGCAAACCTTATACAATTTGTACAGTTTTATACAAGTCTATTAATTAAAAATTCAATAGTTAAAACACAATGTCATTAATGAATTTTGTATAACATACATTAATCTATATAAATAAATTTAAATAAAGACTAGTATACAGTGATATAAAGATTGTGTATATCTAAAATAAGCAACTAAAAACCAGAACACAGACTGACAATTTTGTCTTTTTTAATTGTAAAGCAAGACAGCCACTCGCATCTTAAAAAGATTTATAACCAAAATATTCTTGTAAAGAATAAAAAGAATGTAAATATAAAAATTGTTTTAATTGTACCTCAAAACTCTTAGATTCATCAGCAGTAGAATTTATGCAGTGTAGTGTTTGTATGGTCCATTAACTCTATTAGCAGTACATTAATATCTGCAATAAATGAATGGAAAGTCTGGTAAGGAATGCAATATTGTATTTAGAAACTTGTAACTGAATCACTCTTGTCCATTGTGCAGCTGATGTGACTTAGTGAATTTCCAATCTTGGCAGGACTTTGACATAGCTGGTCACTATGATCCCATGATCCCAGATGTGGAGTGCATCCGTGTTGTCAGTGAGATCCTCACATCCTTGCAATTGGGGGATTTCCTTATCAAGGTGAACCATCGGCAGCTGCTGGATGGAATATTTGAGGCGTGTGGCGTTCCTTCAGACAAGTTCCGCACAGTGTGCTCTTCTGTTGACAAGCTGGATAAGGTGTGTTCAAATTTGTCTGTCACCTTTACACAGAAAAAATTGAATTGTAATGAGTACAATTGCATGTCAGTAAATGAGGCAAATTCAAATTTGTTCAAATTCATTATTCACTGATAATCCTACCATTTGCTGTGACAGTTTGACATACTGACAGCATGATTAAGCAAGCCATAAGTAAAAAAAAGTGCATCAGTTATGTAGTTCTAACTGGTTGGATTGTTACGAATTATTAATTTAGAATGATCTCGAATTGATATGACCTTTTTTAAGCTAGTAGCTACCAGGAGAAATCAAGGGAAGCCTTCATTTAATATGCAGTCTCTGGGATATGAACAGCAATTGCTGAAGTGACAGAGGTTGTAGCTGCAGATGCTGTTTTTGTCTCTCAGTAATTAAACTTTGGATGAACAGCATAGTTCACAAGCTAATAATTGTAGCATGGAGTGTCACATTTGCTTAATATGCTGGGCATAATTGGTAGACCTGCTTACAGTACCTTCCTTTGCAGTCTCCATGGGAGGAGGTGCGCAATGAGATGGTCAACGAGAAAGGCCTGTCTCCAGAAGTAGCAGACCAGATTGGTGAATACGTTTGCCTCAGCGGCAAGATTGAGTTGGTAGAGCGGCTGTTGCAGGAGGAGATGCTAGTGGGTATGTCCAGGAGTGCCCATGATGGACTGGAGGCCATGAAGCTGTTCCTCAAATACTGCGCACTGTATGGACTACAGGATCAGGTCAGCTTTGACCTGAGCTTGGCCCGTGGACTTGACTACTATACTGGTGTTATCTACGAGGCTGTCTTGCTCAGTGAGTGGAGAGTCATGTCATATAGACTAAGGGGACACTCAGATAGTTGGAGGAAAATTTCCTGAGTAGGTGATTTTTGTTTGGAAGGCATCCGTGAAACTGTTTTTGTTTGCTTAAGGGGGAAGAAGTACTAATGAAAGGGAGTATTCATGTTTGGTTCCATGTGTATAAAAACCTGCTTCCCTTTATGGAAATCAGAAGCAGTAGTTCTATACTGTGGTCTGTTGGTGTATTATACTGTGTAGTCTGGTAGATGGGTACCATCATTTTGAAAGAATATGCTGGCTCCATCTTCAGGGTATAGCATAGATTTGTGTTTTACTGTTTGTTATGTGATTATAATATTCAATTACTAACACTGTGGCTGTTACATAACAATTATGATTCCTTTAACAGTGGGTGTTTAAATTCCATGGTGGGAATTGTCCTACAAAATTTTCTTTGCAGATATCTAAATTTTAGTGCAGGATCTGCAAAAGACCTAGTAAAAATAAGATTATGTAATAAATGTCATATTTATACAAATATAACTGATTGTACAGAGTCTTCTTAAAAAATGCCATTAATGTCTTAATTTGATAAGTATATTGTGACATGACGCCTGAAAGGCAGAAGATATGTCCTCGCCAGGCAGTAGCACAGTAAACACATTTCCACAGCAAAAAATGTACTCAGCAATAGAAGGACTGTGGAAATCAGTGTTTTCTACGCAATCCATCCCAAGGCTATATAACAAAAACCAGTGGGACAAGTGTCAGTTGTGAGTTGGCACTTGTAGTTGGAGGTTAGCTGTGAAACCACTACCAAGCAACAACTAGTGAAGTCATAAAAACTGAGAAGACTTTGTTTGTTGTAGTTGTTTGTAGAGTGCGTAAGCTAGTGTGAGTTATAATTATTTGTAGTTGTGAATCATAAGCATTCAGCAAATCCAGTTGTCAGGCCAATCCTCATGTGTAATCACTTTCACATGACACTATACTGAAAGTCTAGAGATTTCTGAATTTCTAGTTTGTTTTGCTTACATTTTTGTCAGCAGTTTCATGTTTATATAGAGAGGTTGCACTTTCAGCAGTTTTACAGCACCATCCGGATGTCATAATCCAAGAAACAGTTATTGTACACACATTAACCCCCCTCACATTTTGACACATTACACGGACTTTTCTTGTTACCCTGTAAGCTGAACGCATGCAGCACTCTAGTCAATTGGATGGAACAGTCCCTGATTAGTGCCACTAGTGTCCATTCTTATGCTTTTAATGACATCATTTGCTGGCCTACCTGATGGTCTCTGCTCATGCAGCTATTGTCCAGCATGTGCCTACCAGTATATTCCTCACTAAGGCAAGTCAGAAATTCTCTGCATGAAATTTACTTTCCATCACACAAAGAAAGAATATTAATTTTTGAATAGCTGTATCCAACAGATGGAAGAACAGTTTCTTTGCCCATTTCCATGTTAGGTGCCTAATTGAGTAGCTGTTGGCCATCCTGTTTGCCTTGTTCACATAAACCATGTGCAGGTTATAATCTTCCACAATATGTGGCCCTATAAAGTTATAATCGTCCACAATATGTGGCCCTATAAAATTATCTTTTTTATCAGAGAAGTTACCTTCTGCTGGTGGATTATGAGTACTGGTTAACATTTGAATGTGTGTGTTTCCCTGCATTCATCTGCCATCAAGTCACCCATGGTTTACACTCAAATGTCACCCTGTTTCAGTTTCATTTTCTTCTGTCCTATAACCTGTGGAATGCCTTCCTACTCTGTTCACAGTACCGCAACAGTTCATTTTTTTCTTTGTCTGGTCATCAGAGAGCACTATGCTGCAAGCCGGAAGGTTGCGAGTTTGATTCCCAGTGAGGTTATTGGATTTTTCAATTGACTCAGCCCCTTACAGAAATGAGTACCAGGAATCTTCTGGGAGTAAAGGGTAGCTGGCGCATAAATCTGACAACCTCACAGCCATTTGTGAGCCAATTGTCTAGAAAATGTGGGAATCTTGATGTGTCAGAACTCTGTGGGCCTCCACACCCTGTTACAGGGATAGTTTTACCTTTTATCAGGTCATCGAGTAAGGCAAGAGAGGAGAATAAATTGTTGATATGTAGTTTGTGGCTCGCCCTTCTACTTTCCTAGTGTCACTGTACCACGTGTGGCTGTCAGGTTTTGTGCCTTATGCTGTTTGACCTTCCCCAAGTACACCATCATATCATGTAGCCAGTGGAATCGCATGATTTGTATATTTTTATGCTGAAACATTTGTTGTTTTTTGGAAAGTAGTGTCAGAAAACTACTCTTCCTTTGAAGAGAACAGTAACATTGTGTACTGCCAGATGTTCAAAAGGATCGTAAAATTCTGAAAATGCCTTATTCAGAATTTCAAATATGTTTCATATTTTCCGCAGTCTGTCAGTTTTCATTGATGTCAGTTTCATCCTGTTTTCTGAGAAGTGTAAGAAGTGAAGGGTGTGTAGGAATGTGTCCTGTTTTATTATGTCACTGTAGCAAGGCATGTAAAGCTGTTCTGTTGTTACCAGTAACATGTTGATACTGTCATATTTTCTATACCACATGTCTCAGTTGGTGTGATCATCATTATGTTAATACCCCTTTGGTGATTCACAACAGGATGCAAAGGTAAAGGTGATGAAATGACATGTCTCTTCTCCAGATGACACCAAAACTGAACAAGGAGAGACTGGTGGAGTTGGTAGCATTGCGGGTGGTGGGCGTTACGACAACCTGGTGGGGATGTTTGATCCAAAGCACAAAAATGTGCCCTGTGTTGGAGTGAGCATCGGAGTTGAACGTGTGTTCTCAGTGCTAGAGGCTCGCCTCCTCAACAGCAGGGCTAAAGTTCGGACAACAGAGGTGGAGGTATTTGTGGCTTCTGCACAGAAGAATCTTTTGGAGCACCGGATGCAACTCTGCAAGGAACTGTGGGATGCTAACATCAAGGTAGTATAAGCTCCCAGATGTCAGAGAGGAGCAAGGTGTGTTATCTGATTTAACAAACTTGGATGTTACATTATGGATGTCTAGTCATCACAGTTTGTGCTACGTCTTGGCCCTGTGTGGGAACAAGTTACAAAGTGTCAGTCCATCCATTTGTGTATGGGATGTGTTAGCGATATTTATAGATAGACATTGTGTACCCACAATAAGTAACACAATGCGGGTTATAGAGATGAACGCAAGCATTGGCTTTCAAGTACATCCAGTACAGTACATCCATCCAGGCAAAAAAATAATCCATAAGTTTATTTATCATCTCCCATACCTAGCAGGTTGGTGTAGTGGTAATGCTCAGGACATTTGTTCAGGAGGTGCTCTTTTTGGGACACCAACAATCTTTAGTGGGGATTTTGTGGTTTCTCTCACTTCCTCCAGCCAAATGCCAGAATTATATTGCCTTTTCCTTCCAAGCCCTTTCCAACACACCATTCATTAATCCTGCCATTTGGAGCTCTGTAGTCTAGATACAGTGTCATAAAGTAACACACGATTCCACCAAGATTGCTGCTGCTGTTTGTAAAGTTCATGTTAGTTTCATGTACACTGTAGGAAAGCTGGACAGACTGTCTTCCAGGAATCTGATTGTTCATTACAAGTAAAGTTGTAATTCTTGAGCACCATGCCCTAAAGGCATTTGGGGGAATAAAGGTGAAACTCCTCGTAGTCCCAGTGCTCCAAGTGGGAGAAACAGGCATAAAGATAGATGGGTGGGTGGGTAGGTAGTTAGGTAAGTTTTCATAAATATAATGCGTTATTTGAGGAATTGAATGGATTTTAATTAATTATTTATGTTATTTTAAGTGGAGTGCAATGCGCGGTTTTATCACACATCAGAGCAGCATAACAGTTTGGATGCATTAAGACACCTTTAGAAGGCCATCTATAGCCAAAACATGTTGTGTTAAGTGTTAAATGGTGAATAAACGATCATTGCATTATTGACGGACTGTGGATACAGAGAGTTATAATAACCAAAGTTCTGAATTGGAACAGATGAGAGAATCTAATCCTTGGAAGCTGAAGTAGGATAAGCATTTAATAGTATTACAGTTTTCTTGCTCACTGATCACTTGTTTAAGCTGGTGACAATGTCAGAGCTGTTCATAGATGTGTCCATTATCAAGCAGAGGAACCATGATCATGCAAGTGTTTTTGATTGTTACAGGCTGAACATTCATACAAACGCAACCCCAAATTGCTAGCACAGCTACAGTACTGCGAAGATATGGGCATCCCTCTGGCAGCCATCTTGGGTGAGTCAGAACTAGCAAGAGGAATTGTGAAACTTCGTAAGGTTGTGACTCGTCAGGAGATCGAAGTCGAGAGAGAGAATGTGGCACAGGCTGTGCGAGACCTGTTGACTGAAACAAATGAGCAGCGCTGAGTGTAAATCTGAGAACTGGATTCTGCGTGCCAGTTAGTGCTGTGAAGCCTAATTACTTCATCAACATAAGTTGTATGCCTGAGGACATCGATTTCTCATTGCAGTCTAATGTGCAACATTGCTGTTTGAACAGAAATCACCCTCTCAGTGGTAATATGAATAATTTATAGCCAAGAGGTCAGCAGATTAAATCTCACAGGCTTTACAGTGTTGATTCCAGGCAAATGTTGGGATTGTACCTTGAGAAACAAAATTTATCTGAACTTAAGATGTCCTTGAATCCAGGACAGTGTCTAGAAAGGAGAAATATAAAATGAAATTAGAGAAGAACAATTTTTAATAACTGCTGTATTTTCTTGAATACTCTCTGCCCTTGAATAATCCATGCACCCCATGAAATAGCTCATGTGAATTTATTGAAATATTAAATTATGTCAAGTAGAGGTGTGCATAATACTGTCACGTGTAGGTGGGTACACATGACAAAATGACGGTTTCAGGTTCGGATGATTGGATTTGTTACCAGCTTGGTTAGAGGCACTCTTTTAATTACACTCGAATACAGCGCTGACTTACACCTCATAATCCACTATTGCACACACTGTCGCACGCATAAAGTCTTCTAAATCACTCTTGGTATCCTCACAGGCAAACTTCTGTATTCCTGGTTCAACTTTGCTTGCTTCCACCACTCTCAACTACTCTTAACTGCTTCAACAAAGTCATATTGTCACAGACAATACATTTCAGTTAATAATACACACCTGATCTGCCACTTCTCATGCATATATTCACCAGGCATTTTTCCATTCATATTTCACTTTCTGGCTTCAAAAGCACTCTGACTTATTTTGCAGAGTCAACTCTTCCTTCTTCAGTCTCTTACATGGCTTTCACTGATGTACTGTATGTCTTCCAATGGCACGATTTCCATTATCCTATGCCTCTTGAATTATTTCCTGTTTTTCACTATATATATGGAAGATGGCAATATCCATGCCTTGAATGCTTTATGTTTAGCAGAAGATAGTCATAGTGGCTTACAGATTAGCATCCACTGGGACACTGTGTGTGGCTTAGTGTGTGGATATGTGAAAGTTAAAATGGTGGCCACCCAATGTTTTGTGACGCTGTTTTTTTTTTTAGAAAAATATTGCACTGCTTATTCTGGAAGATAGAGTATTTAATCATATTTTGAAAGTGATGTATAGTATTGCATCATGTAGGATTTGAGGTTCTCACAGCAGTGGTTACGAAGAGTTCTGTCTTTTGAAATATAATGCCATATAGTCTATTGAAAGTTAATGCACTGCAGTTGTGCTTGCTTGTTTTTTGCTTGGCTTATTCTTCAACCCTGAAGGTGGAAGTGACATGTTTCTCCAAAATGTTTAACTTTCTGCAGACTATATGGCATTATATCCCAGAAGACAGAACTCTTCAGTATTGCTTTGTTCTGCAGAATTCACTTCCATCAGAGTAGTATTTGTACCTGCTTTAATTTGTAAATTGAATAGCAAGTTTCCTAATTCCTTCCCTGTTCCTGCCACTCAGAACTCTCCCATGATAATCTGCCTCTTTATGTTTGTGTTTTTGTGTGATGTGTCCAAGTTCATGCGTAACACCGTTGCTGCTTCGTGTAGTGTTCTTGTTTTGAAGCTACGTTTGCAGAAACTTCTGCATTTTCCAGTCTACATGCTGTTCATTGAAGTAACGAAAGCCAAGCTATTGTATTGCCACACCTAGGATGATAATTGCAGTTACAGTCTCTCTTTAGACATTCACTGTGTGCTTTACACATGTTCCAACACTCGTACTGTTCATGAAGTTTCACACCATCTGAAATGTGTAATATCTTCTTGCGCTGACAGTCAAATCACTTTGGAGCAGAAGTTGAATATTTTGGGGATGTTCTCTGTCACCATTATGATTTCCTCATGAAGGAGGCATGCAAATTGTTCAAAATTTTAGTCTTCTGCTCAAAAAAACACAGTTCGTCACCCATGAGGTTTAGCACTTGTAATAATCTTGAAACGTAACACTCTGTTAATATGTGAACATTATGGGGTGTAGTTAGGTTGATAGGTCCTCTGTTTCAGAGGACAGAAACATTGGTACCCATCTACCAACTTCCATGTCGCAGAAGACTGTAATCTCCACATGATTCACCATTGGAGCCTCCAGTCTCACTGTTTATATTGTCACTTGTTGGGGACTAGACGTGGGGTTTGGACTGGTAATTGGATTTATTGAACACACACAACTTACAACTACAGGTAATTATAATGCTATTGCTATTTCATGCTCTTTACAATTCACTGTAGCACTCAGAGGGTCTTTTCATTTCTTCATTGTCTTCACCAGTCATTGCTTGGTAGTGACTCCTGATTTCCCGCCTTCACATTTACATCCTTACCTGCTGCCAACTCTCTCATAGCTCTTCATGGCCATGACTCCTGGTCTCGCTCCACTGGCTAGTGCTGACTGAAGACTCTCTGTCTTCAAACTAAGTGAGGTCAAAGTCAAAGTTATGTTATGACCAACAGGCAGTTGACCAATCTGTCTTTATGTCAAGTACCCATCTTGGGCCCAAGTCAAGACTATTATTACTGTCAGACATTTGCAGGTTTGTTGATGTGGGGTGCCCTCTCTGACAAAAGGATGAGTCGGTAGTTTACAATTGTTGCTGGCCTTCGCCAGCCCAGTCATTCTTGGGTCTGAGTCCCAGAGGACTTAGACCATTTTTACTGTCTGAGATTCACGAACCCCTCAGCTTATAGGGCCAGGTCCTTGTATTTATATTTTATATTCTACAAGAACATAGTGGCCCAGTTATATCCCCAGTTTTTGTCACCCATGACTCACATGGCTACAGTAGAGGTATTCAAACCTGCCTTCACACTTATGTTACTATCAGTTTGTGTTCCTGGTATATAGCCTCAGGGTGGATCTCATGGAAAACACTGCTTCCAACAGCTCTTCTATGTCCATTAGTTGTTTACAGTAAGTGCTCTTGATGCGCATATGTGTTTGAGTTAGTGGGTTTTGTTCTCTCTTGTGTATTGTGCTGCATAACTGTTGCTGTGATCACATAGTGGTTACCGACTGTTGTGTAGCAGTGAATGCTCATGTAAAATTGCCATCGCATGTTTTCCATGTCATAACATAGCAGTGGATGTTTCTTCTTGATTTTTGTATTGTCATGCTTATTGCCTCTTTCTTCATTATCCCTGTCCCTGCATTCCAAACCAATTACGAAACTGAGGACAGAGCATTGGATTGGTTCAGGGATTTCAGTGAAAATGGAACCCATGGAAATGTCCCTCGCAGTATCCATTGGGCCTCAGTTCCTGAAGAATGGACTTTAAAATTTCCATTTTGATATGATAAAAGTGGGGCACGCGGTAGCATAGTTGGTTGAGGCACTGTGCTACAAGTTGGAAGGTTGCGGGTTCAATTTCCAATGTCACTGGATTTTTTTCAATTTACCTAATCCTTCCAGCCGCACTATGGCCCTCTAACAGCCTCTAACAGAAATGAGTAGCAGAAATCTTCCTGGGGGTAAAGGGCAGGTGGCGCATATGGCTGATATCCTCACCACCATCTGTGAGCAGATTGTCTAGAATATGTGGGAGCCTTGACATCTCACAGCCCTATGAGCTTTCATGGCCTCTTACAGGGATAGCTTTACCTTTTATTTTTTTTTATGATAAAAATTGCCATGTTAGAGGCCCAGTAAATGAGGGGATAATGTTACAGACTCCTAATGCAGAGGTCTGAAGTTCAGTCCTGTCTGCTTCTAGTTTTTTTTTTCATTGTTAAGCATTTAAAGACTGTCATGACTCTCATATTTAAATTTGTTCTGTGTGTAATATATTCATGCAGTATAAATAATTTATGCAAGTTATACCCATTTATTTCAGTAATCATTTATTTTTTATATTAATCAGGAACCATGTATAGAAATATTACAACCTTGTCAGTGACTGGAATATGGAAGTTTAAACAGATTTTTGTCTGTGCTCTACCAATGAATGCTAACATAAATCATTTCTGTATTTTTAGATCTGGGTGTTTTTAGTAGAATGCACGGTGAAATTTGTTGAGTGTACTGAGATGAGGGTTATAGGTTTTGCGTGGGTTAATAAAACAGAAGTGGAGCCACCCTCTTTTTCACAGTGCAGCTGCAACCACTGCCCTTCTACTTCTTGCCATACTTCTCTTTACTCTCAACTGATAGGCCTGGTATACTTGTATGTCCAAGTGCATGATATTTTTGGTGCTGAAGTACAAATTTTATTGGACAAAGGTGTGTGGCAGCCATTGTGTTTAATGCCCCACTGTTTTGCTGTAAGTTGAATGATGGTCCATTTGAGGGTGCTATCCTAGCATTTGCCTGACCAGATTACAGCCTGTTGTTCCAGTTTTATGTTGCATTGGACCAATAGAAACATTGTGGCAGTCCGTAAGTGTTACAAATACTGGTGTGACCAATCTCAGAAGTATTATCAGATGGTGACTGCAACCTGTACCATGTTCCTCAAACTGCCAGCAGTGTTCATCACAGTTGTGGTCATTATCAGAACCATTCAATCAAGTATATTTTAATTAATTTGTATTTATTTATATTAGAGTTATATATAGACATGTGGTGCAAGATTTAGTATTCCTCCTCATAACGTTACAGTCACAGAAATCTCCTGCAATAATGTGCTGTCAATGCAGAGTGGTTTGTGCAACATTTAAATAAAATGTCAGTGTTTTGGAACCCCCATTTAATGTCTTTTGTCAATTCAGTGTTGTTCCCTTATTTAACATTCAATTTCAATGATCTGAAACTTATATAACCTCAGTATTATGTTTCTTCCAGCTAAAGTTTTCCTCTATGTTCAGATGAAGTGCTCCTCAAAGAAAATGTAAATGTGTGTTTCATTATATATCAAAGTGTAATTTGAAATTTTGTATCATAAATTTCCTGCTAGACTTGGATCTAGAAGAGCTCGGTTGACAGGGACTGGCCTTGCATTGGAGATCCGGATTTTATTACTGCCAGGTGATTTCACATCAACCAAATTGCTAAGTTCATATTTCAGTATGAGTGTTAACTTACTTGAAGAAATAGCATTATTATTATTTCAGTACAGTAATTTTTTTTCAGTAGAGTTTTATATTTTTAACTTGCAAAGGATTAATAATCTTCCAGTCATAATTCCTACAGCATTGTACTGGAAACACACATTTACTGACATCTTTCTGTCAACTGCAGTTGTGTGTTTTCTTCCGAGGAGTTATATCAAAATGCTCATAAGTCATCCCACAACACACTTTTTGGTGGAGTCCATCTTGATAAACACTGAAAACGAATCATGTGCACACCTCTTGTGATGCTTCTTCTATAACCAGGTTCTTATTCAAGTCTGATGTGAAATTGCATCCAGTAAATAGCACAAAAATTGGCAACATTTGGCAACTCTGTCTGCCCCCTACACATTTATGTAACATGATGCCTAAGCACAGGGATTAGTATAGGTAATGTGTGGAAAAGTTCTGGAAATTTTATATGAAATATAGATTAAGTCTAGTGTTTCATTTGCATATTTCCCGCATTTGTGTAAAATTGTAACACGCTGTGATAGAAAAAATTAAATAATTTTTTTTTAGAGATTATTCCAGTTTCTGAAAGATAAAGGAAATACAACACAGGCATGTGTCAAAGTGTTGTTCATTTCTAAAGCTGCTGTTACCTCATGTACTCTGTAAGGCAGTAGGGTTTAAGATATGCAACTTTTATCTGATGTTACTCGTATTTGGAACCTTTTTACACTAAGANTTGCATATTTCCCGCATTTGTGTAAAATTGTAACACGCTGTGATAGAAAAAATTAAATAATTTTTTTTTAGAGATTATTCCAGTTTCTGAAAGATAAAGGAAATACAACACAGGCATGTGTCAAAGTGTTGTTCATTTCTAAAGCTGCTGTTACCTCATGTACTCTGTAAGGCAGTAGGGTTTAAGATATGCAACTTTTATCTGATGTTACTCGTATTTGGAACTTTTTACACTAAGATAACATTAAGTATTTGAAAACAAAACGTTATCTTAGAAAACTTTAATTATGATGGATTAGAAGAAATTCCTTACGTAGGTACATAAGTGACATTTGAAGTTCTGTTGACTTGTGACTAACATGTCAGCATTCCAAAAGGCAATATACAGTGTCATAAAGAACGTAAAGTCTACATTATACCTTAAAGAGATGTACTGTGTGTGAAACAAGATGTCAGTCGAAGAAAGCCGTCATCTGGGATGTGGTGCCGTGTAGAAATTGTGTTAACCGACGTTTCGGATGAATGTATCGCCTCCATCTTCAGGATAGAAGACTACGTTCCTCCGAAACGTCGGGTAACACAATTTCTACACGGCGCCACATCCCAGATGACGGCTTTCTTCATAGTCGCCGCGAAAACCCAAAATCTTGCAAGATGTCAATCCATTGTATTGTCAGTGGTTCAGTTGAGCGATGCGTAATGTCTGCTCCCTATCTGGAACTATTAGCGTTTTCATTAACTCAAGTAACTTTGCTGTACGGATATCAGATGTCGCTAGTCGAGTTTCTTCTCTCCCTATCACAGTTGTCACACACTGTCAAAGATTATTGATAGAAGGATTCTTCCATGTAGAGCAAGCCCCGATAATCGATAGTACTTTGCGAGAGTTGGCAGGTTATCTGAAAAGCTTGAGGGTGAAAAGTGTGATAGGTGTAAGCGGTGTAAGTGGGTGAATATTAGTTTTCTTCTGCAGTTTTTGATATTAACAGGCAACTTAAAATAGGCTATGAGATGTGTGCCAAAATGGCATTTCAGCACCAGGCAGGGACGGCGATGGAATGCCTTAGCGTAAGTAACTCAAAGTGACTGTACGATTGTATTTTGTGGGTTTGACCGTTTGTTTACGCTCCCCCGCCCGAAACCTGATTGGACCGATTTGTATCAGCGACGTATGCAACGTATGCAAATTGAAAGCAAGGCGCAGAGCTGAGAACGCTGAGAATGTGTATAATTGAATCATGATGTTGCTTTACGTGCATGTTTGTAATGTGATTAAGTAGTGACTCATTGGGCGGGTACTGGTCTGAGGTCATCTCACAGCAGGAAATAACCCAGATAACCACAGGTTCCTAGAAATTAAATTTCGCAGTTACAGTTTTTATATTTGAAGAGGATGAAATTTCGTAAGCCTTTTGTTGTTAATGATTAAAGTTTCAGTCGTGTGTAAGTTTTGCATGAAGAAACACTTCTGTTATATTTACCAGACGATTTGCAAGAATTTGAGAACAGGCGGTTGGTACTTTGTTTACACTTGTAATTACAAGTTGTATGGTATGTGCTTCGGAATTATCTATGAGGATTTATAGCAGAAAAGTAATCCTTAAGCTTGGGGGTTTTGTGTTGTGCAAACATGGTTGTATAATCACACGAAAAGCTATGTAATTCCACAGGTCCATTGGTATAGCTCAGTGTAGGGTTAAGGGGTGACTTCCAGGGGATTTTGCCAAATTCTGTTTACTAAATATCCAACTCCTGAGATGTCATTTGTATCAGTATACTTCATACAGTGGACAGTGTCCAGTGTAATAATAACTGTTTACAAAGACCTTAGAAAACTGAATATTTTGGAATATTATTAATGTGTTTCCCATTCCTCTGTGCCTGTTTGAAACATGTAGTGGCTTCAGAAATGACCCTGCATTTGAAATATTGGCTCACGGAAGTCAGTCAGTAGTCATTAACATTAGTTTTATTTGACAGTTGAACAGACATGGCACAGTATTCAAATTATTACAGAATCCTGAAGTAAATAGTAGAACTGATTTAATCCTGTGTTACATATTATTGTTGTGGAATGGGAGCACAAATGAGGCTTGAACAATTGTGCCAAGTTCTGCTTACCAGATTAAACCTTTGACACGCCAGAGTCTTTAAAAAAGCACCCTGTTTGTAACTGTATGTAAGTACAAAACTTTCATTACCAGATTATTTAAAAGTAGCACTATTAACATATGACAATACATTTTGAGACTGGAAGTTTTTTTCAATATATTTTTTACTTTATAAACTTATTCTTTTTAATGATATCTGTGAAGTCAAGTCCCCATGAAAGCAGACAGCAGTGATAGTGTCTGTACGTCAGTCGCATTAACTTTCTGAACTACCATAAACTGCTCATTCAAACCGTTTTCATTTTTCATAATGTTCCATTCTGTGGTTGATGTACAAGAAAAAATCTGAAAGGGTTGCCAGCATGTTAACACAAAAAATTGGACATTTGGTTTGCTATCTGGACAAAAATGAGTATGTATTATGGATTGCTGTTCACTAGTTTACAAAATCAGCAAGTGGATGCTGTATTCTTCAAACCATGAGCTTGAACCACCCAAGCCACCATATTTATGCACCAAAATAACATAGTCTGGCTTACCAGGTTGCTTTTGTATCACCATGAATGTGCATACAGTGCATGGAAGTTAAGCCCCAGCTCATCGTAGACCTGGACACTAGATGGCAGTGAGCAGTTGGGTTTGTGTTTTGCTATCCGTTGATGTGATGCTAGTTGGGTTAAAGATCTGGCCCAGATGTGATATGTGTGCAGCCCATACAGAATTATCCTGACACATTTGTTACAAAATCAGACTTGCACACTACATACAGTTGTTCATGGTGGTCTCATTGCTTACTAGTTACACAATACATAATCTACTTCTGTCAGAGCATTGGTGTAATCTTCATATTGTTCTGGCTCACTGGGACCTCTTATGTCATATTTCCTCATGAAGCTTTATAATTGGAGCTGGGATAGCACAGTTGGTATAGCAACTAGCAACGGGGTGGACAGCCAAGGGGCCAGAGTTTGAGTCCTGATAGGGTGAAGAATTTTCTCTTCTCCATGTTGTCCAGACTGGTTCTGGGGCCCACCTTGCCTCCTATCCAGTGGGTACCAGGGACTCTTTCCCCTGGGGTAAAGTGGCCGGGATGTGAAGCTGACCACTCACCTCAAACTAGTGCTGATGTCAAGAATACAAGGATCTATACATCCACTCCCCCATACGCTTTCATGGCATAGTGCTCGGTGAGTTAAGCACAGGGACAACTTTTTATTTTATGATTAATGTTTTTAGCCTACTTCCTTATTTTGGAAAAATAAAAGGATGTTTATGAAATCACCTTGCTCTCCGTGTCTCTGTATCCCCCCCCCCAATTCCAAAAGGAAAGCAGGCTGTTAGTTCTGCCCAGAATGTCTTGCTTTCTTTGTATAACCTGAACAGATCTTGCCAGGTCACTTGTAAACAGACTGACACACATTTTTTAAGTAAGTTTTGTGATGCTAGTTTGACACTCTGATGCCACTGTCACACACGTGCTGAAGGGGATGCTGCATGTGAGTGAACTGTTCTCTGCTTGCAGATTCCTATCACGCTGCATAAGGAGCCAGGGCTGGATCCAGAGGGCAGGGAGGTCTTGAAGTGTGGCTTCAAGATTGGTGGTGGGATAGACCAAGACTACAGGAAAAGTCCCCAGGGGTACACGGACAATGTATGTCTCATGATCAGTATACCGAGCAATTTCTGGTTTATCATATTGGTGCAAGTATAAGCCCCACTTTTTTTTGACAAAAATTACAATCCAAAATTGGTGTGCAGCTTATATGTGGAATATTATGTGCATTCCTTCGTTTCAGAAAAGGTAGATCCTCTGAAGAAAAAAAGGAAGCCATTATGCTATGGATGATTGAGCCCGAGATGCCGGTATTTTACATATGTGGGATCCCCTCAGTAGAAACTGTTAGTGTTCAAGAGAAATAGAAGATGTTGCAATGAACCTCACTGATTCTCCGTGACGTGGTGTTGTTAATTCATTGCCAGTAACTTTAATGCTTTTTGCAAAATATGTTGCCAGGCTTCAAGAACCCACTAGCACATTTGCATCAGAGTGGCCTTTGAAGGAAAGCTGTTGGCATCATGCTATATGTTTTCTGCACCCATTCACTGCATGAAATGTGTGCTGCAAATGGGCAAACATCCTGGTCATGTCGCCTGGTATGAATACCAGATGATATTTCATCACTGTTGGCACTTCACACTTTCTGTGGTATGGCTCTGGAAGCTGTATAAAACTGACATGGATTGCTAGTTTAACATTGTACAGGTCATTGAAACCCTACAGATTTAGCCCAGTCTTTAGCTAGATCTTCGGTCATCCAACCATTTTCTTGGACCCTTACTGTAATTCCCTGAGGGAACTGCACCTTTGCCATCATCTTCCATTCAAATACACATAAGGAGGCAACCATGTCATGTGTGACAGTCAGCATTATGGTGCTGCTTTGTTTCTGAGCTCCTATAGTTCTAATCGGCACATTCATTCACCAGCAGAGTTTACTGTTGTGGATTATGGCATGTTAAAAAAATTACCAGGGTGTAGGTCAGCATTCTCTTTGGCCTGACTGGTATTCATGCTACTCTGTCAGCTTCAGCACATATTCCTGGAATCTGAGAAGCTTTTGCTCGTATGCTTCCAGTAGTCTTTTTGAACTATCATAATTTAACACCTTATGGTGAGGTGGAGCCTGGCCATAAAATGCCTCGCCAATTCATAACTTACTTCAGACTTATTAATGGACATATTTGTTCCTTTGCTAACCCGCAGCCTTTGAACTGCAGCATCTCCATCAATATTGCAGATCTGTTTTTCCATGTATTTGTAATATATTGGTATAGCTCATCCTCCACTTGTGGATACTTGCACTTTTCCATGAAGAGCACTTTTTGTTTTTTCAGATATTCCTTCCAGATTTTTCTTTTTTACTCAGCCATCATTTTACTTTCTTTAACATGCATAAATTCTCCCCCCACCCCACAACTTTGTTTCTGTTTTCTTGTGCATACTGAACAACTTCTGACTTTAATGTCAGTGTATAACATGATTACAGTTGCCCATTTTGCACAAATATTAATCACAAGATCTTAAGAAATACTGATAGTATACATGAAGTAGGGTTAACTTCTATAGAAGCAACACACGTCATTGGCCAGATGCAGTCTTTACTTCATCATCGTGAACAGTAATCACAGATGGTATTGATTTTGTAAGATTTGAGGTTTTCACAGCGGTGACTATGAAGAAAGCAGTCTTCTGGGATGTGGCACTGTGTAGATGTGTTAACCGACGTTTCGGAGGAACGTATCGCCTCCATCTTCAGGGTAGATGGAAAAATAAGAAATCCACAAGCAAAGAGACCGTGAGAACTGGTACAAGCAGACTGGTCGGTTAACACATCTACACGGTGCCACATCCCAGAAGACTGCTTTCTTCGGTATTGATTTTGTTATAACAGGCTCTTTTATAATATTTTAGTAACAACTTAAAAGTGTCAGCTGAAGTGTTACTCATTTTGTACAAAGCCAAATCAACACTCATCATCATACCATCACATAGTCAGAACCAATCTCTTCTTTCTTCCCACAATCCTTTTTCAATTTTTGCCAGCGCCTTCCTCTGTTAGTGATGTCATCTGGCACCTCACTGAACCATCTTCTTTGGGTTTGTCCTACAGGTTTCTTTCTTTTAAATTCTAATTCTGATGACTTTCTAAGTATTCTTGAACTATCCAATTCTTATTACAAGGCCAAACCATTGCAATTGTTTGTCTTTGAACTCTGTTAACAAAGTTTTTAACGCCCCTTCTCAAAAGATTTAATTTGCGATTCTGTCTCCTCATTTTTCTCTCAGTATTTCTGGAAAGTTCCATACACATTGCTTGCATTTTGCTTTTGTTTTTCCTTGTAGAGGCCTGTGTTTCAGCACCATTGTTAGTAACAGTGTAAAATAGAATTTATAGGTTGATGTTTTGTAGTGTATTGTTAGAATGTACCCAAAGAAAAATGTTGGTTCTTTTCTATCAGTCTTTTGAGACACATATTGTAAATCTCCATGAACTGAGAAGGGAATGGCATTTTTGAGTATGTTGTTATGCCCATTCTCCTGCCCCTTTTTCCTCCTACCAGAAGATAATAATATAGTGTGCCCTGATGGGAGAATACCTCTGCTTCTGTGCACGTCATGACACACCAAATGATACCCATTTCACATTTTCTCCATGGGACAGAAAACTTGAGCACTGAACTGAAATGGAAGGAAGAATAATTTAAATTTAATTTAAATTGAGGAACATTAAATGAGGTTTCAACCAGTGAAGCCTGCGCCTGATAAAAGCAGGTTTGAACAAATTCAGAGTTTCTCAAAGTGGGAGCTGCAGCCCCCCATGGGGCAGTGAACCTTTTCTGGGAGCTTCTGAAAAATGGCCTGATAATAAAGATGCTGAATTAATTTAAATCTTAAATAATAATAACATGAATGAATTTATATCAAATTGATTAAATGATACAGTATGTCAAAACCAGGTAATAATTAAATCACATTCTATGTCAATTGGGGACCTCATAAAAGGGAACTTCTGGTTAAGTGTTTGGGAAACATTGAACTAAAAGAGTTAGTTTTAGAAGCATCTTTGTCTCTATAGCAACATGTTATGGCAGTGATAAACACGGAGTTATCTTATATGCACATATCCCATGCAGTGGTGAGGCTGGGCCTTCCTGTAGATGCCGATAATGTGGCATCTTTCTGCAGTTTAACCATTGAAATATCTGATGCCTTAATACCATACATGACTAGTATTCTGTAGGCACCAGACTTAGGTACTTGGTGATTTGTTTCAGTCTCACTGGGTGAATGCTAAAACTGTTTCTTGCCCAGTTCGGTGTAAATTCTAAACCTTTGTATCTCATATGGCATCATTGAAAAATCTACAAAATAAACTTGGTCATTCAAGTGCCTTGAGACAGGAACACAATTGGCTCACAAGTTTTCATATTATAATGATGCTGATGAATCACTGGGTTCTGGTGTTTCTCAGTAGAGGCCATAGCCCTGATAAAGTTATATGTTTGCAGGGCATATATGTAACAGAGGTGCATGATGCAAGTCCTGCAGCGAAGTCAGGACTTCGAATGCATGACAAAATATTACAGGTAAGACATTGCTTTGTCAGTCCCTGTATAGTCTGTGCATTGGAAGTAACATCATTGAACAGCCACACTTGAGCATCTTATTCATGTTGTTGCAGTGTAATGGTTATGATTTCACAATGGTGACTCATAAAAAGGCAGTGGACTACATTAAGAAACACCCTGTGCTGAACCTACTGGTTGCAAGGAAGGGCGTCACATCAACGTGATGGTGTACTCCATGGCGTAGTTACCGTTATGTACCTGCTGCTGTGTCACTCTCACCCTTCTGTTCATAACTTCTCGAGCCTGTGTTGATGTGAAATACATACGTCTGTCTCTAGGGGAAAGTTAATGGCCAGCTTTGTCTTTGCAGAAAGCTGTGTTAATGGCATTTAGTAGGAGGCTGGATAGACTATGTTGTCTTCCAGACTTAGCAGGTTCTGAAGATACTGTCTTCTGGGATGTGACATAGTGTACACTGGTAAATATTTACCAATGATTTGGAGAACCTGGTGCCTCCATATTCTACCCTGAAGATGGAGTCAGCAAGTTCCTCGAAAATATTGGTCAGTATCTACCAGGCTGCATAGTGTTAGATCCCAGTCACTGTTGTGAGAACCTCAAACCTCACATCCTGTTAGAATAAAAATTCTGGCCTTTGCTGCCTGTGACATTGACTGTGATAACATGGTTACAAGAGATTATAAGGCAGGCTTAGTTAATTTCTTTCCCCTTCAGTCAGTTTATCCTTTCTTCTTTGCTTCCCTGTATGTGTCTTTTGGTACAACTGGCTGTTGGTTGGATTCAGAAATCTACATGTGTCTTATGGAATGCACATGTATGTGCAAGCTTAGACAGTCTAGTGTTGCATTTCTTTCAGTACAAATACCAGTACTCCCAAGTTAATATCCAGCATTTATCTGCAAGTCTTGGATCATGTTTTTAAGTATTAATATAAGAGTGATGTTAACTCCCCTCCATTAAAATATGGCTGTCATTCCTGTAGTAGTAGTAGGGAAATTAAACCCCCTATTCCTGGACAGCAAAGGTTATACTAGTAGTTCGAAGTCTAACTTTCTTTTTAATGCTAGTGGGGTGGGACTAAGTCCCTTGTACTGCGGCCACTTCTGGCCTTTTGTGCCAGCCCCAGATGATAGGTGAGGGTGATTGTGTAGCAATTGGTGGAATGAAGATTGGCAGGGGAAACCAAAGTACTCGGAGAAAACCTGCCCCAGCACCACTTTGTCCACCACAAATCCCACTTGACCAGACCCGGGATCAAACCTGGGCTGCCGCAGTCGGAAGCCAGCAACTAACCTCTTGAGCTATGGCAGTGTCACATTTCAGGAAATGAATGTAATAATAGCATTGTTAATAACTGAGATCGTACACTCTGTTGTTCTCAAGATGGTGAACCAAATCTGCTGCATCTTTCTTCTGTCCAGTTTTAGGGATAATAAACTGAATCAGTAGAATATCAAACTTCCATTCATGTCAGTGTTTTTTTTTAATATAATGAGTACTGTATTATATGGGGTCAGAAAGAATAAAATTACGTTTCAGTGCTACAGAGGCATATGAGGTCCTCACAGCTTCCTATCCAATGGACACCTGATATGTTTCCCCAGAGGTAAAGCTGACCATTTGCCTCCTTTATATTCTGTGGCATGGTTCCTCAGATTGTGGATCATGGCCTACTCAGAAGGGATTTCCATGTTCTCAGCAACTATTTGAAATATATTTGTATTCAACCACAGTTTTGACAAGTTATTAAGGTTTAGTATAGGTGCTTTCAGAAAAATATAGTTGCAGCCAATTTGTTCATAACTATACAGCAACATTTTACACTTGCTGTAGATGTAGTGAGGCTGTAAAGCTATTTAGGTTCCTCCTGTCACTGTACAGCCCAATAGGGACCTGCATCAAAGTGCCAAATTGCACTTTCTGTGGATTGGTTACCTAATTATATATTTTAGGGGGTTATGGTATCAAAGTTTGAGAACACCTGAGTTTCAGTTATGACAAAGTGAAAATTAAAGAAAGACCATTTTGTTGTGATATCCAAACATGCTAGCCTAAATATAGTGCTCACAGAGTTCATTCTCAGCTTCAAGAGCCTATGTTCATGAAGGCAAGACAAATTTGTATGAATAAAATGTTAAATTGCAGTATAACTCTCATAGTCATGTTAGTGAATTTCCACATTTGATGGATGTCTAGCCAAACTGTAGCTGCAGTCTACTTATGCTCTGTTCTCCTATACACAACATTTTATGTAACCTCAGAAAAGCAGCCAGGAATGTCATGTGTTTATCTAGGAGGCCATGGACTTTGTATCTCCATCCAACAGCCAGCAAACTGCTTTGTCTCTGCTTCGCATAGGACACTGTTCAAGACCTGTATGTTCAGTCTGTTGGAATAACTTTGGATTTTTCAGCAAGAAAGGAGAATACTTCATATCCAACAATTGCTGAACCATGCAGTGTACTATGTAAAAACAGATGCAAGTGGTTAAGAAACAAACCAAAACGTATGTTGTCTTCTACATGCAAAAATTGTGATTTTATGACTGATAGTGGTGCATCCATTCAGTTCTGTATTGCTGTTAATATTAGTGTAATTTATTTTGTACGCAGGAAGTTGCCTGCTGTACCAAGACAGTACATTCCATTGTGAAACAGTTTGCAACATGTGTGCGCTGTCCTGAGTAGAGGTTTGTTTCGCAACACATCGATGGTATGACCATGAAAGGTTGTTGTCATATCCAAGAGGGACTGACAGAAGTATGACCTGGCAGATTTAGGTGCCTGTTAATGACAGCACCATGGTGTCTATACCTCTCTGGCCAGGTACAAGTCATACATTTCATTCTGCTGAGCAGATTAACTTTTGAGGTAGAATGATGCATGTCTTCTTAACAGGACAAGCAAACATGTGTGTGTTCTTGACTGGAGAGGTAAAACATGTGTTCATAACTCAAGAGGTAACATGTTGCATGTGTTCTTAACTGGAGAGCTAGTGTTCCTAACCTGAGAGCAAACATGTTATGTATGTGTTCTTAACTAGAGAGCTAAAACATCATACATTCATAACTTAAGAGGTAAATGCCTGTGTGGTCTTAACAGGTGGCACTTCACAGGAATTCTTAACTTAAGAGGTAACATGTCACATATGTGCTTCTTTGCTTTGTGATGGTTTTACCTTCCTGCCTGTAACATTCCTTGGCCCTTCAAGTGCTATTTTAGGGAAGTATCATAAATAGACCATGCCTGCTGTTTGCACAGTTAGTCTTAATTTACTTTACATGGTCATACCTCAGCGTTGCGTAAGTTTGTATCAAACACATCAAACAACAGCTCTGCCTGGCAGATAAAACCCACTTTTTTTCTTTCATTTGTAGATGTTTTTGCTTTGTATCATAGTGTTGTAGTAGCCTAAATTGCAGAGCCAAAACAGCTCAGTCAATGAAGTGACAGCCAATGGGGTACACCCTGTTCAGTGGTTACCAGGGGCTTTCTGTGCAGGTGAAGATAACTCTTGCCTCCACACAGTGCCATATGAATATGCCCTGACTGCATGGTTTGTCTTGAAATATGAGTATTCATTGTATTGTGTCATTCAGTGATAAGTAATATCATGCTGTTATGTGATGTCAAAAGTAGTGTTAGGTTAAACAATCAGTGGAGCCTACATCAAACATTTAGACATGATTTTGGTTGGTACTAAGCATTATGTTGGTTTCTGTTCAAGGCTACATGAACATGCAGCCTGCAGATACTAATTGGCTGTGCTAGGTTTACATTTTCTGTGCCAGTATCCAGTTGAAACTACTGTTGTAGAATTAAACATAATACAGTTCTTGAATTTTGAAATATTTATGGATTTACATACATTTATGAAGTTATCCCTATTCCCCCCAAGTACAGTTCCATTTATTGTGCCTGGATGTGCAAGTTTCTGGCGAGTTCACATTCTGATACCACTTAGTAAAGGGGTACTTCGGTTGGTTATGCTGCAGCTGTGGACATACAAGGTTGTATCATTTACAGTGCTGAGTTGTAATGCTGATGCAGAGAAAAGAAAGTTGTTTTTAGGATACCACCTATTCAAAGTAAACTGCAAGGCAGAGTTATTCATGGCCAGACACAGGGTAGTGGCCAATGGATATAAATTTATGAAAAGGAAAGCTGATGCAGAAAATTCAGAAAAGAGTAGCAGAGGCAACAAGGAGTACTGAAGAAGTCTGTTAGAATAGTGAAAGAAATGAAAACTGTACCATCCGATACATTGATTTCAACATACAGAAGGCATGTTTAAGCCGTATTTATATGCACTAATAAAAACCCATAAGCCCATGAATTGCATCTCTGGCAATTCTGGCTAAACATGGTCAATTAGTCTTGGAGCCACCACATTATCACCCAGGACTGGATCGGATCAAATTAATTTGGGCAGTCATTATAAAACTGTGTTGCTGATAAAAACGTGACACTCAGAATGTAGACATTATTGAGCTTGTAGATGAGAAATTTACTTCAGTCAGCAGAGATGACTGGAAACTAAGGTGTAATCACTTTGCTGCTATGCAAACTTAGTACATTGCTGCTGAAACTTGTCTTGATGGTCAGGAAATTGTTATGCATGTGGGGAATGAGCTAACACTGGGGCTGATGGAAGTCATGAACATGTTCAATATTTGGAGTAGCTCCATTAAATACAGGTAACACCAGTGAGTAGTGCATGAAACACTCTCTTGCAGTGAAAGTGTATTGTAGTGGTGTTGCTACAGCTACAGTACAGTGCTTTAAAAATCCCCAATTTATTTTTTATGTCCTCAGTACTGTGTAAGTATGGTATATGTTTGTCATTAGAATAGTAGTTGTGTATCAGCATGTTATATAAAGTATGTTGCTTCTGAACTTGTTCCCTCACTGGTTTCCTCTACATTGCCCATTGGGACCCACCTCTAAAATGGCAGAAAGAATGTGGAAACAGTTGTGTGGGTGGTAGAGCGCACTGATTGGCTCTGTAGCTGATCATACTGGGAAACTGCTCTTTGCAGTTTCAGTAGCCAGACCATAACTGTAGGTGGAAGTGAGTGGTAAGTTCATACACTGGTTGATTCACCATCAGGAGCTCAGCTGCTTGTTCAAGATTACAAGTGTTTGATTGCCAGCAGTGACATTTCTGTTTCTGTTATGAATGAATGTATAAGGGGTGGGCCTTCTTGGCCCTTGCACCGCCACCACAGTGATCTATTGTGCCTTTTCTGTTATGAAATAATATTGGTTCTTTGATTGAGTCACCTCAGGCAGTAATATTAATGATTTGTATGTGTGTGAATTATATTTTATTGCAGAAACGTACTAACAATCCTGATGATGAAGACAGTATTTTCCTGGAAAACACCTGAAGCCATCTATCAGACTGTGAGCAGGGTCCATTTTAAGAAAATTTTGAAGGCTTGAGATGTGGGGCAGCCTCAAATAACATGTTATATCTAATGTGTAACTAACACTGTTGGGGCATCCTAACAATTGTGGTATACCGCTGTGTTCACATTGAAGAGTGTCAGCTGAAGTTGCACATCAGCTGGAGGCTGAAAAAACGAAACTATTCATTTGCAATTTTGAGAAAATTCAAGTGATCAGTTTGAAAGTCAGGTTGTACAGACACATGCATACTGTTGCTTTCTTCAATTACTTTATGTCTCTACATCTACTGCTGGCCTAAAGCATCTTCTAAATTATGCTCCTTTGGAATGTGACACTGTGTACTTGATAGCTAGGGACCAATGTCTTGAAGGAACATGCTGCCGCATGAAAATGCACACAGAATTTTCCTCTAAAATAAACTGAAAGCTTCTGTGGCCTATTTGCAGGTTTTCCAGCATTTGCTTGAAGTGACTGAGGAAAACGTGAGAAACTAGTCAGGATAGGCAACCTCTGGGCCAAGAATAAAACCTTGCACAACTTGAATATACAGGAGTGCCAACCACTATGCCATAACATTCCATACAGTGGTTCTTGTTTTGGTAAGGAACTAATTTAAAAGAGTGTAGATAATGCCAGATTTTGAGGAGAAAAAAGTTTTATTACTGGATAATTTACACACATATATATATATATATATGTCAACTATACAAAACAATTGCTAGAAAAGTCTCATTTGGTAGGTGGCCATGTCCATTGTTCAGGGACAGGCTTGGTGACAAGAGTCTCCCATGGCTTCCAGCTGAGCATCTTGCGGGCAAGGATTAGTTCATTTTCTGCCTGCAAAATTAGCTCCTCTGCCTGGCCACATCCAATCTTGTGCTCCAGTTCCGTGACATCACGTGTCTGCAATAGTGAGGCAGGAAGATAATACTAAAAATAAGTGAACTGTCATTATTTCATGTTGGCAGTCAACTACAGACTAAGGTTCAAAGTCTTATTGCAGTCCTTAAGATGGAAATCCATGTGAACATAAGACAAGAATACTAACCACAACAATGTGAACTATAACATGCAAGTATTAACAATGAACTCACAGTTTTCACAACTTCTGCCCTCTCTTTAACAATCTGCTCAGTGTACTTCCTGTATGCTGCTTCAGCCGGCATCTTCTGTAATGCCCGCAGTATCTTGCCATAGAGTACTCCCAGAGTGTGATGAGGGTTTAATGCCACAGCTAGGCCTGTCAGTCCTGTTGTCTGCAACAGATCAACATATAGGAACTCCTGCATCCTTAAGCTTCTCACGTTTATACACTGGGAATTACATCGACACTATTACCAACTACATGAAAATGAGTCTTCCAATTAAATGTACAATAATACAAAAGTGATCTCAAACTGTATCACCTAACACAGTTTCTATGGATTTTTCCGAGCCTGTATAAATACCTTTTTCACAGCTCCAGATGCCATATCTGCAGATAGTCTGAATTCTTGATTGTGCCAGAATTAACGTCCAGGCAAACAAAACTCCTTATTCCGCTGTATAACCTTCTTTCACTTTCAAATTTTATACCTAAAACGAAACACCTTTACAGCAGCTCAATCTTCACGTACCTGCATTACCTCCATTCCCTACCGTTCACTGACTTTGTATATATATATATATATATATCAAGGATCCCTACATATCGGGAACATCGGGAATTGTAAATATCACAGATTACTAAATATGAATGAGCAATTGTGGCGAACGTTGCGAAGGACATGGATTAATAAAATGCAACCACATGTAAACTTGAGAATATGGGAGTTACTTAAACTATGTACGCAAGTAATAACAGTTATTTACGAAGGCTTCGCATAAACGCTTATCTGAACCAAGAACACCGTGCCTGAAAAAAACATCAGAACGGCCCGTGACGTCATGAAGTCATGAAACTACTTAAAGATCGCTAAATGTATTTTCTGGGTTGTAACACCGTGCAATCCCTTGAACGTCAATCAACGTTTACGAGCAGCATATCGCCTCCATCCCCGGGTTCTAATAAGCCGAACAAGTTACCAATATGAAAATAGGCAGCAGAGTACTTCGTGGTGCTTGATAGGGTGCTCCCTGCTATATGTATCCTGTTTGTAGTGCTTGCAAATAAACAGGCAGGGTTTACCTTCACGCAAACGTTTATTTATCAATTCACAACATGTTTCGGCCCGGATAGACCATTGTCAGGCGATTCCTGAGGACATACACAAATTGTGATTTACTGCATACACACTACAGTGCTAGTATAAAATATTTGTTGTTAGTTACAATCCGACTGAGTAGTGACACCACTTATTTTTCTGTTTCGGTTTTTGGGTAAATTGCTTCTAGCTTTTGCCAACACAATTACTCTTGGTTCCGGGGTCCGTGGGACCCATGTCCATATTTTTTCTGTCATAACTCCTACTGAATAGTGAAACTCCCCGAAACAACTTGCGTGAACACAGCAGTAATTTACTTAATTCACTGCCGGCTCTTTTCATGTCCTTTTGGGTCATATAACTATGTTGTTCCTTCCAAGAACATTTTCATTTTTGTAAATGGGTCTTTCACAAATAATTGTAATGATTTGCAATGTACTTGGACTAATTAACGCTTTGAAATGGAATTTTGACGTCGCTAGTACATTTTAGTAATCCGTGCCTCGTCAGCGTTGCCACCAATAGCGTTCAGTATTCTATCCGAGCCTATCTATGATGTTAATATTTAATAATCCATGGTCCGCTTTTAAGGGTTTTTTTGCAGTCGTGAAAAATGGCGTCGGATACAGGAGGTGTGAAACCTTTTTCCATTCAGGGCCGTATGGCCCGTGAAAGGGAGAGGTTACTTGGAATGTCCGATAAAGAACGAGCTTGGCGACGTCAGTGGATCAAGGACCAAGAATTGTCTCCAAATGAACCGAGATATGTTCCGGAATACTACAAGGAGCGGTATAACCCTATCCGTAGGGCATATAAGATGCCATTGGATATTGCTTTTAAGCCATTGATACCTGTGTTGGTACGTGAATATAATATGAATAGTCTAGTACTAGAACTGGTACCTTCTCATTATGACTTAGATTAATAAGGGTAGCTGTGGTGTCACGCCCACCCAATATTTACGTTGGAAAATAAGTTGGGTTAGTGTTGTCCCCCCTAATCATTTTTTTTTCGGTATGTCTTTTGAAGAATTTATGAGCCGAAGTCTCATAAGGCTCATCGTCATACTCTGCAGTGGAGCAGAAAATGATAATTCAAGCAGTATGAAAACTCTTTTTCTTAATGTATATGATGTGGGTATTTTTTCAAGTGCTGATTTATATTACCTGTGAGTTACATACATACATACGAGCGAGTACATAGCTTCACAGATCCGTTGCCCATATTGGGCCAGATATTGAGCTTGTCAGGTTAATTAAAAGTAGTTGTGATATGCAACCAAGTCCAAATAGACACAACCTAGATACAGTAGGAATATAATACAATTAGGTATTTGCCGTATATTCATCAATAGAATAGAAAGCTTTCAAGATAAGAAAGTCTATCCAGATAATAACGAATACTAAATTCTTCCACTAATTTATTGTTAATATAAATGTTCATTTGAGAGCAATTTGCCCCCACAGGGTCACAGCTTGGAATGTTGTTAATGGTGAAGCAGGTTTAGACTCTGACATGAGTATTGTGCATGAAAGGAGAGGTTTAGATTACACATTTGTCAAATATTCTTTGCTGTTTTGTGTACTGCAATGTCTTTGAAGTTCGTGTATTTGTGACACAAAATTCATTAATTGGTGGCACATCCATTCTGAAAATAATCATACAGCACCAAATCAAAAAGTGATTCCACATGTTTTCCTAATTTTCTTCTTTTGACTTCTTTTTCACTTATACAAATAATCCAACACCCAAACTTCTCCAGTTGTCTGTATATTTCCAGAGCTTCTCATCAATTTCTGGCATGTTCTCTTCTTCTGGGTGTCATCTTTCCTAACCTATTGATTCCCTCTTAATCTTAACGTTTAAAATTGAATGTTATCATTGTGGTTATTCTTTCAGACGTTTTTTTAATTGCTTGTTCATTCTTAAAATGTAGTTATCCCATCTTATTTTGTACTTTCCCTTGTGATTCATGAAATTAGAATTTCTGTTTCAAACAATCTGTCTCAATTGCAGGGAGAACGGAACACATACATTTGTCGCTGGTTCACTGGCAAAATCCTCATGATTGGCTTTACAATTTATGCTACTGCATACTACTTCAAGTACAATGCAAATGTGAGTACTGGGGCAGTTACTGTTCACAGTCACTGACTGAAACACTTGAACATACTGATCCTGAGTAAGGTTCATATTGAAGGCACAATAGATCACTGTGGTCGCAGTGCAAGGGCCAAGATGGCCCACCCCTTATGCATTCATTCAAGGTTCATATTGTAATGGATTTGATCAGCGCATTGCCAGGCAGCAGCTCAGTAAACATGGTATATTATGCAACAATAGAGGAAGCTGTGTTTTCTATGTTAAGCAACAGTAGGAACAGGGTTGTCTGTGACCAGTTGCTAGGTTATGCAGCACCTCGGTAAACAGACTCATGCAGGCACAATGACGTCACAATCCAACAGTATTAGTTATCACATGACTTGTTTTCAGTGTTGTCCATGCAGCACCTATATATCAAAGACCTGATTAAGTTTGAAGTTACTTGAAAGCCCATGGAGGTTCAGTAGTTGAGGGTGCAAGGACAAGAACGGAGTGTGAATTGTGAAGATTTATTGAGAACAGATTAGAACAGTGGAGTACAGAGTGATTGAAGATGAAATAACAAGAAGATTTATGGTGATTTGAAGTAATAGTTTCCATGTTGAGATCCGTTGCCAGGAGACGACTAGTGAAGACAGAGAATTCTAGTACATGTGCAGCAGGGAACTGTAAAGTATATAAATTGCCAATAGCACTGTGTTGCCTGTAGTAAATGCAATTAAGTGAGATTGTAACTAGAGTGCTAAGCCCAATCGTCTGAACTAGAACCCATCATTCTTGTCATGTGTATCACCTTACATGTGACAATATTGTGGTCTTCAAGTTATGATGACGTGCTTTTGTAGTCTTGTAGGTTGGCTCCACTGTTTTGGAACAACATGCAGCCTCCGTCTTCAGATCTGAATGAAGCAAAATTTGGAAGACTGCAAATTATGTAGAGGTGTGAAAGAAATGGGTCATGCTGAATATGATTAGCCAATCAGAGCCTGGATGAGGAAAGGAAGGATGGGACAGTGGAAACCACAGGCCCTAAAATGGGAATACTCCAGGACAGGAAGGAAGTAAAAGCTCTCCAGAGGAGAAATAACTGCTATGCAGGGCCAGTGTGCAGAGAAGAACCAAAACCAAGTGAGGATGCATCCTTTCTTTCAAAGGAGACTAGGATCAAGCAGCATTACCAGCATGTCTAAAGTCACACGCAGCATCCTGCTGCGGCCCACTGACACAGAGACACAGATATCAGAGAAGTCATACAAATTGAAGTCGATCCCAACATGAACAAGGAACATGCATTCTCTTATGACGGGTTATGAAAGCCTTTCATTCACAGTCTGAAGGAATGGACAAATGCTCTTTTGAAGGACAAGCCTTTAGCTTGATTTTTCTCTGCCCCTCATAAATGCCTTGCTATCCAGTAGATACCAGGGATACTTTCCTCAGGGGGACATAGTGACAGGGGCATGGAGCTATACCTCCACTCCCCCATATATCTTCATGGCATACATAACTCACTAAGCACAGAGACTTTCAGCTTTATCTCAAAAGTGCCTTTCTTACGTTTCCCTCAACATTCTGAATAAGGGCACAGTCTCACTCTTCCTATGCCTGTCCTTGAATAGTTGTCCTTCTTGAGACCTGTGGCACCCTGCCTAGGTCCCATTCCAGGCACTGATTGGTCTACATATCCTACATTGATAAATATCTTTCACACCATGTTTATAACCTGCCCTTTTCCCAATATGCAAGATGGAAACAGTATTGTACCTCTGAACCATCAGTCCCAACTTACCATACTGTACATGGTGTCATAAATGAGAACACCACAGGGTGTAAAAATTAAACTGACTTAACCTAATCTATAACAGGAATTGGATTTTTTGGAAAATATACAAGTAAGTCTATATATGCAAATCAGAAACATTCCGGAATTGTTGAGTCAGAAAGTGTAACCTCCCATGAGAACTCCATATTGGGTATGCTGTACAATATCAGCGATAGTTAATATTAGAAGTATGTCTAGGGTAGCTGTTTCCTGGGGAGTAAAGTGCGGCCGGCGCTTAAAGCTGACAACCTTACTGCCATCTTTGAGCCGATTGTCTAGATAATGTGGGACCCTCAACGTCTCACAACCGTATGGGCCTTCACGGCCTGGTACTGGGATAGCTTTACTGTTTTTACTTACTAGGGTAGCTGTTCCAATTCCTAATGTTGCTGGTTGTACGCATGAAGAAATACCGAAGTGGGAAGAATTTTGCATTTCTTATGTCAGATTGGAGGTTCTCACAGTTATGAATGTTGAAATTATGGATATCATGCCGTGCAGTCTGGTAGACTGGCACTAGTGTTTTGGAAAACAATTTAGGAGTTATAAGGATGGAGGCAGACAGGTTTCTCTGAAATGTAGGTACAAGTCTTAACACGCTATAGAAGACACTAACCTCGGTTTACATTTCTTGATTGAAAGATGTGTTGACTAGTAATGTGCTTTTATTGATGATAGGACTGGACAAGGAAAGGTGGCTGGCGAGTGATCTCATCTAAGAGGGCCGTTGTACCAGGCGATCCTGGCTATCCACGTGTGTCTGAGAGAACAAAACCTGAGGATTATGCAGCCCAAGGCTTTAAGGAGTCTCCAATATAAATGTGTACATATAGCATGTAGTTTTACTGTTAATAAAGAAACATTGTTACTATTTTGTAGGCAATAAAGATTTGTGAAGTTGTGTGGTTTGACATTATTGTGGTAAGCTTAATGCAGAGAGAGCCTTACTGTAACACCAACTGTAGTACCTACATAATCATGAGAGTTCTATGTGACCTTTGTTGTCAGGGGTTCGGAATCTGTTCTGATACCACAGGGTTGGTGCCCATATTGTAACTCAGGGCTAACTATTGATATGGAGAAAGTGCAACACTCAGCCAGCTGAATTGCATGAATATGCCATTACAGTAATGAACCTCAGCATAGTTTAAGGTGCAATTCAAATGTTACATTTCCCATATTGAGTATTCAAGGAACTGGTCGTTGTGATGTACAGTACAGGAGTGTTGATGATACACGGCTGTTAAGTAGCTGTGTCAAGCTCAAAAATATTTCATAGGTGAGACAACTGTGACAGACATTAGCCAAAGGGCAATTTATTTGAGGTTTCCCAATGTAGACATATGCCTCAAATGGTTGCTGTTTTTGCACTTAACTTGTGCTGCAGAAAGACTGACTTTTGCTTGAGGCACAGACTTATTTCCAATATGAGGAAATGTATTGTTAGACCTGAAGAAAGTATTGGGTGTTTTGACAAATTCTTCATATGAAGGGGGACAGTGGGAATCTATGACAGTTGCTTAGGAGTACCAAGCTGAGCTTGTTTTGAGAACTGATCATGAGTTGAAAACCTCAATTGGGCCACCTAGAAAGAGCTAATCTCAATTGCTGGCTCTTTCTAACATCCAACAGAAAAGTGCCTCACTACCTCACCTGAGGATGGAACCAAATCTAGTTTTGTGTTTGGACTACTAGACGATGGACAAAGTCTAGAAATCCAGTATTCCTAAGTGCAGTATCTCACTGTCAGAACCAATTGGAATTCATGTGTGTCCATAAGGATGTAATAGAACATGTCTTATTGTCATGTGGAATTACTCACACAAGAAATATGTGATGGGTGGTTCTCTAACTTTATGTGACAGTGGGTAATGTAAATGGCAGTATTCTGTTGGACATATCTTTTGTGGTGCACCTGCCTTATATATAGTGCTTTCTGGGTTAGTATTCTGTCATGCTCAGATTGGTTGCTATTATACTGACACATTAGTCACTGCTTTCTCCATTTATTTTAATGTTAATGGTATCAGTTGGAATTGAACTGAGGCATTCTGAATGCTAGTCTGGTGTGCTTAACTGCTAGCGCATTGATTTATTCATGTCAAGTTGTGTGCAGTTATATTATTAAAGTGTTTCTATTTCTTTTCAGTTGCAAACCTTATAGATGACAAGTCCTGTATTCAGTGGAATCTATAAGGTAGTTCTTTATTTCCTTTATTTAACTGTAATTTGTTTAATGACAGTAACTGACACTACATAGCATTTACTGACTGGATGATAGAGAATAATGAATTGGAAAGGATGTGGTGGGTAGTGCTCATGACAGGATTTAAGGTACTATTCTGGCATCTACCTGGAGGGACTTAGAAGACCATGAAAAAACTCAGGATAGTCAGGATTGTGGCCCAAACTCTGACTGGACACCTCCCAAACATAGGCATTACTGCCCGAGCTGGTTGGCTACTGAGAGATATTTCCTTTCACCACTATTTTAACACTACTGTCAACCATTACAAGCTCAGAAACATGTCTATATCTGTAAATGTTTTCGTACAACAGAGAAGTACCCATAAAGTCACTCCATGAAGCAGAATAGTTTTGAGATAGCAGTTGCTCAGCTAGTCAAAAAATTCCACTCATTACGTGCAACATGAAGGTTCATTACCGCTTTCACATAAGCCGTGCAAGGTGGCGAAATATTACAAATATTGCATGTGCAGGGGAATTTTGAGGATTCTCATTTTGTTTTGGTAGCCATTGTCGATCAATCGCCGCATTCTGTAGGTACTGTAGTTATCCTCATTTTCAACTTTGGTTAATGTTTTGAATAGTGATTACTGGTTTCACCGTGTGTGTATATGGGAATAGTATACTGATGTATAACAGAGGCAAGTTTTAAAATGGCCGAAATTCTTTTGAGTGAAGCAGAGAAAACTTTCATTCTTCACGGTGTTGAGGTAGCGTATGTGCATTCATACTAAGCCACAGCATGCTTCCTAGTATAATATGACAATAACAGACTTTTTTTTCATAGGAGAGATGAATTCATTAAATATGTGCTTGTATTTTCCAAACTTTCGAAGATTTTTAGAACCGCCCCGCATGCTGTTGTTGCATCGGGGCTATACAAGTATTCGGCATCCTGTATCACTTTCGGCCTCTTATGCTGTAAATGCAGGACATAGCAGATCCTGTATAAAATGGGGCAGTAGATTGAAATGTGAATTTTGATTCAAATCAACNACACCCACTAGTTCACACGCATCTCACTCTTCTTCCTTCCATTCCATTCCATTCCATTTATTTCACTTTCTAATTGATATATCTAATTGATATACAGGCATAATACAAGCCATAGGATACAGAATGAGTCACAAGATCAAAATTTAAGTTACAATAATTAATTGAAACATGTCAAAGACAAAAAACAAAACAAACATACATGCAAACAATTATAAAACATAAAGCGAACATACATAAACAAATTTACATAGGATACAATAAATATCAAAATTCTAATTCTGGTTCACTTCATTAATAAAATTGACAAAATTATGTGAGATAAGACAATAATCCAATACAATTGATAACAGTAAACCAGATACAATATAAACAAGCTGTATGCTAAGGCATGAGTCAAAGTTATAAAAATTCATTATATAATATAAAGTTTATAGTAATATTTCATCAAAACATAAAATTATATTCATTTAATTCATTTTATATATCAGGTAAAATACCAATTCCATAGATCCATCTGCAAACCAAATGTAGGCAAGAAATACTTGCTACCAAACAAATACTAGCAGTCCATTATAGGTCCCTAACACCATCTGCTGATCACAAAACATACTAATAAGCAGAAAACAATTCAAATATACTTTAATTGTAAAATATATATATGATTAAAAACCTTTACGTACCCATAGGGTGAAAGCGTCAATGTCATCCTTGACACTAAATTTCACCATCAAAGAACTCCTTCAATGAATAAAAGGAATTCAATAAAAGATAATTTTTAGGACATTTTTAAATTGGAGCCTATCCTCTGATAATTCCTTTATGTAGGGAGGTAGATGATTAAATGCTTTACTGCCCATATAATAAACACCATTTTTATAGATTGCCAACCTTGGTAGTGAAAGGTGAAAATTATTTTTATTTCTAGTATTAAGATCATAAATCTCAGAGTTTGTTTTGAATAGAGAATTGATAATTATCAATTACAAATTTTAATAATGAAAAAATATACTGAGAATAGAACGGCAATATTTCTAGTTTTCTGAACAGGTCCCTGCAGGAGTCCCTATTTCCAGAATTCGTAATAATTCTTATAACCCTCTTTTGTAGTTTAAATACATTGCTACTCTGTGAGGAATTCCCCCAAAAAATTATACCATATGACATAACTGCATGGAAATACGAGAAATAAATCATTCTCAAAGATTCTTGAGATACAAAGGGTCTTAAGAATCTAATAGCGTAGCATGCCTTGCACAATTTAGCCTTAAGTCCATCTATGTGGTCCTTCCATGACAAGGAATTGTCAAGAGTGATACCTAAAAACCGAGTGTTTGTAACGTTAGGAATATGTTTATTTTTATAGCTAATATCTATAGGAGTTGTTAATGCATTGATGGTTCGAAATTGCACATATTGTGTTTTATTATAATTTAATGATAATAAATTAGAGTTAAACCATATGTTCAATTGTTCAAATACAAGAGTGAGATCGTTTGTAAAGTTTACTATATTGGGATTACTGATGATGATACTAGTATCATCGGCAAATAAAACTGGCTTAGAAATATTATTTACAACTTTGGGTAAATCGTTTATATAAACGATATATATATATATATTTATATATAAATCATCTCCCTGTAGGGCTGGATATAAAACATGTCACACATTACAAATTAATGATGACTACACATCATACGTCCTTGGTCCAATAAAATATATAATCAGGCCTCACGCAGACAGTACCAGTATATATAAACTTTACAGTTCATATACAGAAGAGCTGCATATTCTGTTCGATCTATGTGGGATAGCTCCCAGGAGGGAATACCAAAAGAAGGCTGTAATTCTAAAATAAGGTTGAAAGAGTTTTTAGTAGGATCACAATGTCAGTACGTGATTGGCAGTATCGATAGTTTTCATGACATTTTAGTGTAGAGTATATCAAATTTGACATTTTAGTGTAGAGTATATCAAATTTATTTTTAAATTCAGGTTTTTTTTTCTAGTAACTGCCCCAGAAACATTAAGTGTATGGACCATTATGGTACAGTCATGCCACTATCTTTTGACAGTGTTTTGTCATTTTAAGGCAGAAATCAGTATGTTACATAATACTGCTAAACTACTGGAACTACAAAACCGGTGGAAGTGTTTGTTATTTATGATTTTAAAGCTCATTGAGTTTGATTCATCTAGTAAACTTCCTAACAATGGAGTATTTTTTAAATGTAAGACATAATTGTTAAGAGATGAAAATAATTTTTGTTTGTCCGAGTCATTCGACATCAAGTCAGCAGCAGTTGACATGACAATTTTGGATATCAAGGAAATCTTGTAATCATTCATCTGTTGAGTAAGTTAAAAACGTGAAGTTTTTCTTTCCTGTGTAAGTGAATTTCAGAGTTTTAATATTTCTGTAACTTTTCCCACACTGTCATTCACAAAAATGCTAATAACTTTGGTCCTAAGTAAGGTAGAAAGCTCATTCTTTTACCAGTTCAAAGCTCCTAAATGAGGCTCTTGTTTCATGTTCTCAGTCATAATATTTTATGGCACATTAACATTTTGATTTTCTCCTTTGACCTCAGTTTTTTAAAAAATATATAGCTAGATATGTGAAATTATCCTTATTATTAAAGCACCCATCAGTAATGCAACAATATTTTTTTTTAAATGAAAAAGACATAAAATATGTTTCTCACTAAAAGTGTCTCTTTTAATACTTTATGATGATGTTAAAATCATAAGATGTCATTAAGACAGTAACCTTACCTTTTTTTATCGAAATTCTGGCACATTTTTCTAATCCAAACTCCATTTTTATATCAGTACTGAATGTTTTTACAATTTATTATTATTATTATTATTATTATTGGAGGGGATGGGTTTCCCCATGCACCACGACCAGTTGTTGATCTATTGTACGTCCCCCTTTGATATTCTATCTACCTGGTTTAATACATTTTTCCACTTTGCTTTGAAAAGTTATTTAAAAAATCATCATGTGTTTCTGGTGCACCTATATAACTAAATTCAGACAAAATGTATTTAGTTTTCGCTATATCATGTATGTCTTATTGGGGGATGAACTGTTTCGTCAGTGCTCATAAGATTGGCCTTTGTCTCTTATTCATAGCTAACTCTGTAACACATATTCCTTTATTGACAGGAAGGTTTTCGGTGTGATGGGAGAATGCGTCTTGATTACCGTCCAATGGAAGTAGAAACTGATGTTGTATCTCATGCAAGTGGTTCGGCTCGTCTGAGGCTTGCCAACACTGACATCTTGGTTGGAGTGAAAACTGAAATTGATACACCATATCCAGAAAGACCCAGAGAAGGAAAGATTGAATTCTTTGTTGATTGGTATGAGCAATGCTTGTGATGTGCAGCACATGTTAGTGGGCAGTGGCCTGGAGACTAGCTGTCCTGACTAATATTTTCATGCCATTCTTTATGTACTCATTTCATACATTTGTAGCTGTACAGCATGTCCAGTTGTAAAGTGAACATAATCCCAGTGCAGCAGTGTGCATCCACACCAAGTCTTGTAAATATTACATTTCCAAATTCTATAATTCAAATTTATTGGTATACTAGTGTTTTGGGTCACACTGCCTTCCTTGCTATGTAGAGTGAAGTAGTTAATTTCCTTACAGTTCTGCCAATGCAACACCTGCATTTGAGGGGCGTGGGGGAGAGGAATTGGGGACAGAGATCAGCAATTCTCTGGCAACAGCTTACCAGTCATCTCAGACTTTTGACTTAACAGCCTTGTGTATACTTCCAGGACAGCAGTGCTGGAAGTTGTACATTGATATTCTGGTGAGTCCAGGTATACGAGTGACTGTGTTCAGTCTCAGCATTTTGGGTTTTAGCTGGTTGAGAGTGAGTCTGTACTGTGGCCAGCAGGTTGCCACCTAGTAGGTTTGGGAATTGCTGAAGCTACAGGATAACAAACTTTTACTCTGAATATGTATAACATATCAAAATCTGAAAGTTTCCATCCTCTTTGAGACCAAATTTTAACTAGAAATCTTGTCATATATCTTGTAGTCTACTTTCCTGACTTTTTAAGGAACAATAACCCTGTGGGTTCGTCAGTATGCCTCAACTTTTGTTAAGGCTCCCTTTCTAATGTAAACCCCATGATAGCCAGCCAGTTTTCACTCAGTAGAACTGACAAACCAATGAAGTTCAGGGCGCAGCATTGTAATGGAGAAAGATATTTTGTGTAAAAAGTTCTAGATATGAAGAGTCCTGTCTTCTGGAATGTGACCACACAGGGCTGCTATCTGTTGATGAAGAGGTGAAACACTAGTGCAGTGTAAGAGTACACTTGGAACCGTGTCAGAGAAATGGTATGATGTTTGTCCAGAACTGACCACTAGAGTATCTTGAAGATGTTAGCCTCTGTAGTGTTTGAAGAAAGTTGTTCCCCAAATTTTTCTTTGTTTTTGTGTTTGCTTTATATTATTGTGACATGACACTTAAAAGTTAGAGACTTCAAATCAGAGAAATGTCACAGAGGTGTTTGTTGCTAGATAATGTCAAGCACTAATATGACTGCCGCATGTGCCTACAACAGTCAAGGAAATATTGGAGTAGTGTTTTTAACTCATTTCGCAATGAAGCAGTATGCAGAGAGCCTGAGAGCTCACAGTGGAGTCCATTTTATCAGAACATGGAACGCAGTAGTGATATCACAGATGGTGGAATGATAGCGAATACTTGTAAACTGCAACCATTTGTAAATAAAATGGTTCACTGTTCAGTAAATTCAATTGCCCATCCAAATCCCACAAATAGTCATTATCACATGACAATTTTTTGCATTGTTGTTGTGTCTATAAAATATATAAAGTTAATGCATAATGGGAAGGTCATCTGTATTATTCAAATGTTTGTAAGATTTGTATTGATTAATTGAGTAGTTTCATTTCTCATTTGGTGTCGGACAACCGCTATGGGAGTAAAGATTTTCTGCAATAACTGTTGTGTTTAAGGACATCTCAGTGTATGGTGAAGAGTTCTAGCTTCTGACACCATGTAATCCATTTCAACATTAAACAAACTGCATAAGCATATTATCCCACAAGATAGTACTCTTCATAACCACTGCTGTGAGAACCTCAGATCCTGCACAGTGCTATATCCCACAAGATAGTACTCTTCATAAACACCGCTGTGAGAACCTCAGACCCTACACTGCGCTATATCCCACAAGATAGTACTCTTCATAACCACCGCTGTGAGAACCTCAGACCCTACACTGCGCTATATCCCACAAGATAGTACTCTTCATAACCACTGCTATGGAGAACCTTGAATCCTAATTTATGTGATGTTTGTACAGTTTACTTGTGTGGATGGAGGCTGTGCCATAGCTCAGGCAGTTAGTGACCAGTGTTTTACTATGGAGGCCTGGGTCCCACAGTTATAGTGAACCAAGTGGCACTGGAGTAGGTTTATATGTGAGCACTTAATTTCTCCACTACCAGTTATCATTCCACGAATGCTGCATACACATCTTTTGTCAGGGGCTGATACTGTAGGGCAATTTGAGGCTACCATATCTTGATACTCAGTCTCATCCGGTTTCTGCAACTATGGACATGGTGCACATTTTTATTTTTCTGTTTTCGAGAATCTGAACTGTAGTGCAGTGTAATGCCTGTAATATAAGCACACAGAAATGTACAAGTAAAGTGTTCCTGCGTTTTGTTTTCCTTATCTCAGTAAGGGTCGAATCTGAACAGTTGATCCAAGACGCGTGATACTGCTAGGGTTATGGTTGTCAAAAGGATAATTGCAATGGCTTTTGTTGTAGTGCTGACAAAACATGTCATTTCCTGTTTGTAGATTCTAGAGTGTGGGGGCAACCTGTTTGATGCGGTCTCACTTGCCGTGAAAGCTGCCCTCCACAACACTCGTGTCCCCAAAGTTAAGGGAGCCTGTTTGGATGGAGGAACAGTTGATCTTCAACTTTCAGATGACCCGTATGACTGCTGTCGCCTGGACGTGTCTGATGCACCATGTCTCGTTACTCTATGCAAGGTGGGGGCCAGACTTCATAAGAACAGGTTTATAACCAAAATTGCTTAAGGAAGTTGGAGAACGGTGAAATGTAGAGAGAAACTGATAACACAAGAATAGGTGTACACTTCTGGAAAGCTCTGCTTCAAGACTAGTCTGGTGGTTTCTGCATTTGAGCCAAACACCATGACTGGAGGCTTTAGAAGATTATGAGGTATGATTATTAAAATGTGTGTATGTATGATTGTTTTATTGAGCGGGTTGGTACATCTGTCCTGCTCTAGACTTGTATTCTGGAGGTGATTAGTTTGAATCTTTTCAGGGACACTGGACATTTTGATGTTTTTCTCAGTTTTCCTCCGTTCTTCCAGGCAGATGTCAGTGTAGTACCATGATTAGGCCGTTGCTGCTTCCTTCCAAATGCTTACCAATTTGTCATTCATCCATTCATTACTTATCCTACTTGATGCTCTATAGCCTGAATGCTGTGAGTGTCATGAAGTGACCCACGAAAGAAATTATGGTTCTGAGTGTTTCTGAAACAGAATGGTGTTGTGGAAGTTGGACTGGAATGTGTTCGGACCTGCACACACAGTTGCCATTGTCAGAGGTCTGTGACATATCCCTCAGTACAGCATATTGCCTGCAAGGTTTTGAAATGGTGAAATCTGTCACAAATCATGAAATTGTTCCAGTGACTGAGAATGTCAGCTGAATGCTACAGCTGCTTTCGGCAGTGTATGGTGAGCAAATGCTGTCTTGATCTAATGCATTCAAGTGGCGTTACAGGTTCAGATTTCTGACGATGGTGTCTCCTAACTTCAGATTATGTTTCGTGGCAGTCTCTGATTCATGTGGGGAAAGTGTTTGCCTAGTAATGGTGACTTACATCAGAACAACATAATCATATGATATATTGATTTGTTACTTGTTGAGCATGCACTCTCAGAGGCAAATTTGTGCACCTGCCATTGTAACTATGTCCTAATGCAAATATAATGACAGTACCCGCACAGTTTATTGCTGGGGGTCACAGTCCTCTACTGCTGTCTGTGGCAGCTTTCCCTGCATACAGGTTATTTATATGTTTATTTATCATTTGACAATGTACAGTGTGTATCAGTACTGATGATGACTGGCTCCAAAGAACATGGAGTGAGATCTCATACAGCTGGTATTGTATTGGATTTTTTGAAAGTGCACTCAGTGGGACATTTACTACTATATTTAAATGTGTGGCCTCATACTATGCAGATATCTCAAGGAAAAAGAGTTCAGCACTGATGCTTACACTATTGGTGATTTGAAAGAGGCAGAATAGCAAGAGGTGTTTTCAGTCTCCACAAAAACTTCACAGCTGTACTTCTTATGTCACATTGAGGACTATGGCTCGTATGTGTAGTCATTTTAAATGCACAAATAATGAAGTTTCTACAAAATGTTTTAATTTTATGACAAAATAAAATGGTTTGATGGAGGAAGAACTCACCGTGTATGTAACGTTAAGAAACTGATGGTGTCATTGTTATTCTTACTATGCTGCCAAAGGTCTCATTATAAGCTGTGCCTAGCCTATGATGGTTATGCCATTCTTGCGCCCAGCTCATAAATGGGCTCCTTCACCTCTGCAGAGGTGGTGGACAGAGGGCAGGAGGTTCAGATAGATGCATCAATCATGACATATATTTAGAATATACAGGATGGCTGAGAAGTCACTGTACCCCTAACTAATTTACTGTGTGTGCTGTAGTGCACTCTGAAACTGATGTGGTATGCGGCAACACTGTCAGCTGCACGTGCATGCAGTCTCCCATGCCATTATCCTGGCCACTACATACCCATGATCTTACCACACTGGGAAGCTTTTTGTGGGGCATTATCAAGGGGTAAGTGTCTGCACACCGCTGTCATAACAGTGATGAGTTGCACAGAGCTGTGGAACGGGTATTCACCACTGTTAGACCGGAAATGCTTCGGTGCATGTCACACAGAACACAGCAGTGCATCATGCTGTGTTCGAGACATGATGATGCACATGCATATCCATATGGCATTCCATGACTGTCACCAGGCTTTATGTTAAGTAGGGGTACAGTGACTTTTTGGCCACCCTGTAAATGGATGCTGAGAGTGGCAGTGTGAGTTCGTGACTTGAAAGACAAAAGCAGATTATTTAATCAGGCAGCACACCTTAGCAGTACTCATCTGACAAGGGATTGACACTGTCATATTTTGGTTATTGTGCTGGTGTTGTACGGTAAAATTGTCTCTTTTTATATTGACACCCTTTCTAACAGTTTGGTTGATGTGAAATGGAAGGGAAAGTCTGGGATTAAAACCTTTTCCACTGTTCCAGGATTTGTTTTCTTGTGGGCATCAAATGTTAACCTAATGTAACTGTAGTAAGTTTCTTTTGGAAATGTGTGAGGTACAGAGATATTTGTAACCTGAAGGCCAAGCAAAATAGTTACATGATAGCATCTGCAGATAGGTGACCATTGTGTGGTGGATCCCACGGCAGAGGAGGAGACATGCAGCAGTGGAAGCGTGGTGATTGCCATAACGGAGAAGTCCTTGGTGACATCTGTCTTCAAGACCGGTGTTGGTAGCTTCCACCCGCAGACCCTGATTGACATCCTGAAGGTTTGTGTTTTGAGTTACTTGGGGGGTAAGTAAGGCACAGTAACAAAAGTGTTGCCCCAAAAGAATTATAATAGAGCTGGAAGGAACTGATGAAATATCTGTCTCTTCAATAGATTTGTGAACTGCAGATCTCTATGCATTTAAACTATGTGTACTGCAAAGTTGAGTACACCTTTGTACTCCCGTTATACTGAGATCAGCATTTGTTTTCATATAATCTTCACATACAGTAAATAAACATAGATGTATAATATGGAACTTGTGTCTGTGTGTGTCCACATGTCATTTGGTGAGATTTGGGGTTCTTGTGGCAATGAATGATGAAGATTGCTCTCTTCTGGGTCATGACACCGTATTGCTAGATGGACAGATGGCGGAAAGTTCCTCTGAATCAGTAGTACTAGGAAGTTGCAAATGCAGAGTTTTTGAGATTTAATGAATAAATAAAATATCTGGGTTCACATGTTGATTCTTCAGTCTCAGACTCTGAGGATATTCATATAACTGCTTTTGCTGTGTCCAGTGGCATGCAGACTAACAGATTCATCAGAATATTAATGATTTGAAGTGCCATCATGCACCAGCTTCTCAGCAGAATCTGTCTCCCCTTCTTTCTGCTCATGGTCTAAATGGATATGACCCTAGAACTAAGTTTTTTTTTAACTATAATGGTTATGAAAATTTTTAAATGAAGAAGAACCTGGTATCAAAAGTGGTAAGTAATATACTTCACTGCATTATGAAAACATGGCCAGTGTTGTAGATTGTAACTACAATGAAAACTTGGTCTAGTGGAGGAAATTTTTTTTTCTTGAGTCTCAGAACTTTCCCAAATTCTCATCTCAGTTTTATTTTGAACAGGAGAAGTCATTCTCACATGTGCCAGGTTGGTACTTATCTACGAGACCATATAGTGTAATGTCAGAAGAAGGTAATCTTAAGTAACTCGTGGGCTGTTGGGAACCTGTAGTAGAAGCTTTGAGCTACATTTAATTTTTGTTCATACTGATCACTTATAAGTCATCAAGTCCAGCTTAAACAGGTTTATTAACTTGTCTTACTGGTTTAAAACATAGTACATGTACCTTACTGCAGATCTCATTGAGATGAACAACTTGTATATAGTATTGTAACAGCTATTGTCTTATTGATCATCTCAGCACTGTGCCCTTCTTGTGTCTGTTTGCCATGAACAAGATCCACAGCACACACTGCTGCACATCTGCATACACACTGACACTGCAAGTACGAGGGTAATTCCAAAAGTAAGGTCTCCTATGTTTGAAAATATAAAATAAACATTTATTTTCAATTTTGGATACATCAGTTGAATCTTGAACATGTACTCATTTCTCTACATAATCGCCATTTCGGTCGATGCATTTTTGTAGGCGCAGTGGCAGTTTTTGTATGCCCATGTCATACCAGTTCACCTCCATGCTGTTCAGGAAACTTCGAACCTCAGCTTTCACCTCATCGTCGTTGTTGAAGCGCTTTCCAGACAAATGTTCTTTCAACTTTGGAAAGAGATGGTAGTCACTGGGCGCCAAGTCCGGACTATAGGGTGGATGGGTGATGATGTTCCATCCAAACTGTTGCAGTTGAGCGACGGTTTGTCGGGCAGCATGGGGGCGAGCGTTATCGTGGAGAATGCTTACGCCCTTGCTCAACATCCCTCTTCTCCGGTTCTGAATCGCCCGCCTGAGTTTTCTCAGTGTCTCACAATATCTCTCAGCGTTTATTGTGGTCCCAGTTTCCATAAAGTCAACCAACAATACCCCGTTTCGATCCCAAAACACAGTTGCCATGACTTTACCGGCAGACTGTGTTTGCTTGAATTTTCGAGGCTTAGGCGAAGAGGAATGCCGCCACTGACGTGATTGTTGTTTTGTCTCAGGTGTGAAGTGGTACGCCCAGGTTTCGTCGCCTGTGACAATTGAATTCAAGAAGTTGTCCTTTTCGTCAGCATAGCGGCGAAGAAATTCACGGGAAGAGTCAACTCTCTGCCGTTTGTGGTCTTCCGTGAGCATTCGCAGGACCCATCTTGCGCACACCTTCCGATAATTCAACTTCTCTGTCAAAACCCGATAAATGGTGGTTCGGGAAACCTCGGGAACCGAAATGCAGAGATCATCGCGTGTGATGCGCCTATCCTGACGCATGACTCGCTCAATCTTCGCGACTGTCTCGTCAGAAATTGACGGTCTCCCAGTTCTTTTTTCGTCGTGTATTGCAGTACGACCAGATTCAAACTCCCTACACCACTTGCGGACGTTCTTTATGTCCATGCACGACTCGCCATACACTTCCACCAATTGACGATGAATTTCAATTGGTTTAGTCCCTTTTGCGTTCAAAAACCGAATAACTGCGCGAATCTCACACTTCGCGGTTTTAGTAATCGGGAGTTCCATTTCTAACGGCAACTGTGCCAAGACTGAGCATCCTAGCTACGTGCGCGCATGCTTGGTGGTATTGGGGGGAGTGGGGGAAGCAACGAATGCAACAGGGTTGCCAACAGCCGCACGAAAAATTACCCAGCGCTTTGGAGACCTTACTTTTGGAATCAGCTACGTATATTGCTCCTCACAGACTCTTCTCTCAAGATTTACATAACTACTTTTCATAGCCATAATCATGTGGAAAGTTTCTCATATGTTCTCAGGCGTCATCAAATGTCAGTGTAAGCTGGTCAGCCCCCAAAGAGTCTAGAAAGTGGGGATTTAATCTTCCGCATCTGTTCCTATACTGTCTTCTCACAGCGTTTTGGCTGTGACTCATAGTACGAGCTTTGGTGACTGTGCAGTTCTTGTGGGACCCCAAAGTGACAGGAGAAATTGGTCACCCAGCCATTGCCCACTGTCAGTGCTTCATGGGGGGTGACAGCATACATCTCCAGTCACTTGGTGAAGTAGTGCATGCCAGTCAAAAGGTACTGATCCCCACCTTTGCTCTCTGGGAACAGTCCTGCAGTGTTGATGGTGATCCTCTCAGATGGTTCAGTGACATTATACTGGTGCATCAGGCCCTGGCTCCAGGTCTGGGATCCTTGGCTTCTTGCACAGGTGCCGCTTTGTTAGCACTGCCTCTCAGCGTCACTTCTCATGTGTAGCTAGTAGTACACCATCTAACTTTGTCTGGGTTTTGCTGACACCCAGACATCCACCATGGAACTTTGCCAATATTTGTTTCACCGTTCTTCAGGGAACAAGTGTTTGTGGTGTCCTGAAACCCCTGTCAGCTGACTTCCAGTGGCACTCAGCACAATGTCTCACCACCAAGGAGTTCTACTGATCCAGTAACTCTGTAGATGGGACTGGAGTCTTTCTGCTTAGGGTGCTGGCCAGTCTGCTTCCTGTACAGGTAGCCACATGTAATCTTCCAGCTACTTTCTTTTCAGGGTGGCATGGTCCCAGCCACCCGTTGCAATAATAGCACCTCTGCAATATTTCATAAGGTATCAGGCCGACCCTGGAATATCCAGCCAACAACAGTCATATCCAGATACAGCAGACATGCTTTGTGAGTAACGTCCCATAGGATGCACTTCATCAGACACTTGAATGTTGCTGGAACATTGCAGAGGCCGAAAGGGCATAACCATGAACTGCTAGAGCACCTGTCCTATAGAGAATGCTGTCATTTCTGTTTTACTGTGATGTGCATCACGTTTCCATTAGTAGCTCATCATGTCCATAGTCTTAGACCCTCTGGGCTGTGGAAAGCATATCCAGGGTGTTGTCAGTCCTTGACAGTGGGAAGCAGTATGTCTTCATAGCACCGTTCAGCTGTTGACAATCCACACAGATCAGAGGGTCCACTATAGTAAGCTCCTCTAGCCCTCCTGCCCCTGTGACTGTGCCTGCAGTTCCTAGAGATGAACTTCTCGCCCATCTGGGCATACTCTAGGGTGGGTACCATGTACAGTGACTCCTCCATGGCCCAGAAGGCAGCTTCTTCTTCTGGAGACCACTGGGAAGTCCACTTCTCTTCCATGAATTGAGTCAGTGGCTTTGTGATGTCCACAAATTGAGCTGTGAATTTCCTGTGGCAGGTACACAGATGAAGGAAGCTCCTCAACTTGTTTGTCTATCAGCAGTGGTCACTTCCATACAGCCTTCAGCTTCTGTGTGTCACACGAGAGGCAAGCACTGGCTAGGCTGTGCTTTGCCCCCTTCAATTTTCATTCTGCTACATTGTACCAGGGGTGCCAGAGGTAATCAGAAATTTTTGGCTGGTGACTATTTCTTTAGGCATTCAGGAGTTAGCTTTTGGAGTTCTGGAATTATCACTTGGATGTAATCTGTATGGTTCTAGATGGAACATTCAGTCTCTTCGAAATTCTCTCTCCCCATTATCTTATGCCTGTCTGCGTGTGTTTATGACAGTGTAACAACAGGCAGAAATGTCTCATGGGCACTGATTGGAGGTGAGGGACCAGAAAATGTTGGTGACCAAAATATTTGTCTGGCTTACAGTGTTTCCATTCCTGTGGTTCACATTTAACTGAGTACAAGAAATAGTAATTTCTCATTCTACAGTATCTTATATCCTAAGTGTGAGCAACTTTATGACTGCAGATTTGTACCTGCGAACAAATGAACATAAAATCCGGGGGTGCATACAAAGAGACATATTTGGAAGATAAGTGTACTCCATTGAAGGATGACTTGCATGCATTGTGGGCTGGCCATTCTGATGTTCAGGTGTGTGGTTTTGTAGGTGGGACAGACAATTGGTCTCAGCGTGAATAAGGCCCTGAGGGCCGCGCTACTGGAGGAGGAGCAGCAGGGACGCAAGAAAGAATGCTTCGGCTTCCTCAAGTGACTTTGTCTGAAACAAGTGTAACAAGAGACCAAAGCTTTGAACTAAAGTGATGTGTTGTGTCATAAGCCTAAGAAATCTACTTTCACTTTCAGTGCCTGTGATATCATTGCAAAGTGAAAGTCTTATCAGCAGTATGGATGACCATTTTCTTAAAAACATCTTGTTGTATTAAATTATATGACAGAACGTTTATATTACATTGTCCTTAAATATTTCATTTCCTGAATTTTAAATAATGTTTCCGTGAAATTACATTTTTTGTTTACAATAGTAGTGATGTTTTTGATACAACCTTGAAGTATATTTTGGACTTTCGTTTTATTGAGACATTCCAGTGATACATTGTAAGTCTTGTAATATAAAACAAAATCATTTGGAGTGAAAACTTGAAGTTTTTTGTCAAGTGGTGCAATACTTGCCCAGTATACACCAAGCACAAATGGAAAATACTTGTGAATAGTGCAGAGTGAAAACGTGCAGAATTCCAGACTGACCCATTCCACGGACACACTGAGAAATCAGATTCTTCACACATCTCTGCATTTGAGTTGTCAAATAAGTGTGATTGATGTAAGTACATTCAGTCCATTCATCATCGTCTAATACACAAAGTGATTTTTGTCATATGCTCTTTAGCTTATAAATGTGTTTGTTACACCATTTCCAAACCATGCTACATGTTCTCAAATACCCCGATACTTCTCTTTTAAAGAAAACTATGTTACTAATTGGAGTGCAGATTGTGTTCATTACAGGAATGGCAAAGTTTTGTCTTTAACTCTCTGAAGTTCCTTTTGCTGTACCCACATGCCGGGCCATGAACAACTGTGGTGTATGAACGGATGATGATTTATGTGTTACTGCACAGGTTCTGCTAAGTATGGATACTTAGGACTGTGTTTACATTCCTTCATGGCCATGAAAATTAGAATAGTGATAGAGTAAACTGTAAATTGCACTGCTGGGAACATATACAGTGTTACAGATAGTTGTATAAGAGGTGGCATGGAGGACAGCATGTGAGCTCAGCTGATGATTGTGATAAAAGCCACGGAGATGAACAGCTTTTGTGTTGATGTTGCATAGCTTTATGTATGATTTGAGTAAAAGTAAAGGTATCCCTGTAACAGGCCATGGAGGCCCATAGGGTTGTGATATGTTGAAGTTCCCACATTTTCTAGACAATTGGCTCATAGATGGTGGTAAGGTTGTCAGCCCTACACGCTGGCCACCCTTTACCCCCAAGAATATTCCTGGTACTATGTAAGATTTGAGGCTTTCACGGCGGTGACTATGAAGAAAGCAGTCTTCTGGGATTTTGCGCACATATACACGGTGCAAAATCCCAGAAGACTGCTTTCTTCATTCCTGGTACTCATTTCTGTTAGAGGCTGAGTCGATCCCAGGGCCATAGTGCTGCTGGAAGGATTAGGTCAATTGAAAAAAATTCAGTGACCTCTTTGGAACTTGAACCCACAACCTTCTGACTTGTAGCATAGTGTCTCAACCAACTACGCTACCGCGTGCCCCATATATGAGTGGTAATTTAATTCAAGGGCACAGCCTATTGAAGGAAACTCTTCTTCTCTCATTTATATGGTGCTCAATGAATCTTATTTTTACGTTGCACAGAAAAGAGACTTATGCTGTAGATCACTGGGAAGAGCAGTCTTGGAAACGAATTCCGTAACTCTTTCAATGGGATTGGGATAGCAGGGACAACAGTGATGAAGTGAAAAGCAACACTGCATTGTAAACAACGTTTTTATCACAGAAGGTTGTTGATACATTGAAAGTGGAACATGTCTGCTTAGTGTTGTTGTGTGAGGCTTCACACATGTAACATTGGCCAGTAGCAGGGACCACTAGTGACTTGAGCCAGCTTTCTTAGTGTGGTTCTGCTTCAACGTTTATATCCCAAAGATTTTTGGTTTTGGTTTTGCTGTCCTGAGATTTTGTGGTCTTCCTGAGCAAGTTGGTTTGTGATAATACTGTAGACTTGGAATCATTTGTTTCAAGTCACCGTGGACACTGACTCGCTCTAGTGGCAATGTATCACATTATTAAACAAAATACAGATGAATAACATCAATAAAATGACAAAAAACTACAAATTGTAGGGCTACTTTACAGTTATTATAGTAGTAGCCTGCTTCACATAGTCATTATTGTCATGATTATTGTCACTAAAATGTAGCTTTATTGTTGGCAGCACTTATCTATAAACAGTTTACAACATTCTGCATATTTGACATTCCTTGGGGTCGTTATGCTTTATTATATTGACATGGAACTCTACAGGGTAGGGATATGTTGCTTTAACTCTGTGGTCAATCCAGTGTTTCAAGCATGGCTTCTTACAAATGTGCCATCCGCACTGACATATATATATTCTTTGTTTAAGTTGTAGGAATGTGATGAGACTTAGTCCCTTTTTACTTTGCCTGTTGTACCAGCCCCCAATGATAAATGGATTTGGAGCATTGGTGGAATGATGATAGACAAATGAAAACTAAGGTGCTTGCACTGGCTCTTTATCCACCACAAATCCCAGATGGGCAACCCTGGAACTGAACATGGGCCATTGTGTTGTGAAGCTGGCAACTAACCACCTGAGCTACGGCATGGCGTGTCATCCCTCAGTTCAGTAACTGAGCAGATATAACAAGTAACATTTTCAAATTTATGAATGCTTTCAGTTGCAGTAACATAATTTCTCTTTTTCACATTTTGTTTTGTGCTTCCAAGTATGAAACTGCCTCCTGCCTACTTTAAACATTTCCAGTGTTGTCCTGTGTGTCAGCTAAACATGCCATTTGGCTAACTGTCTTGCTTGTGTTCTTCAGGCATACAGAAATTATACTGAGCCCCCAGAAAGAAAGAACTATGGATGGTGGGAATGATGACACTTGAGTCTTCCCACTTGCAGTAATTATTTTCTTCAATTCTTCATATATGCAGTACATATCAAAGTATTGTGATTGTGAAAATATTTTATCTCGAGATTTTGAGAGATTTACACATTTTGAGCCCCCTCAGAATATGAAGAATTGGTTACTGGGGTGACATCTGTCTGTCTGTATGTATATTTTGCACCTCTCTAGAGCCTGAACACTTGGGAGGATTTTATTGACACTCATTTTTTAAGACTTTATCGCTTGTAGGTTGGTGCCTGGTGAGTACGAGCTTTCTAACTTTAGATGGACCATATAAAACAAAATGGCGATCTTCTTCAAAAACGCCTCTAAGGATATCAATTAAATTTCAGTAATTTATAGCGACTGTATCCCTAAATAAAACTGCCATCAGTAGTATCTTCATGAAAATAATGGTGCATGCACCAGGGGCCCAAACTCAAAATGTCCGTTTTCTCAAAACCAGCTTCAGCAGTCACATGGATTTCATCATTGTCAGGTATATAGCAACAATGAAAGGTGTACCAAGGCAACAGTCAATTTTCTTCCAAGGGTAACGTAGTTCAGCTACACTTTATATACAGAAGTATGTGCACTGACCGTACTGTCAGTACCTCGACTATATAGCAGCAAATACCTGATCAAGTTACTATCCAAGCATTTGCCCAGGCCAGCTGGTGTCCCAGCCAGAATTCAAACCAAGTGCATTCTGACTGCAGGTCTAGCATACTGTTGTATTGCCCTGCAGTCCTTCTGGCATGTCACTGGCCTAACAACTGGAGGGGAAAGCATAACATCTTGAGGCTGATGTGGATGGGGTCCGTCTCTGGGACTTATGTTGTCTAAGTATAGTGTTTTCACTAATCTTGGGTACTGCATGCAAGCTAATAAAATTGCCTTTATGTCTAAGCACCAATACTTTGAGGGTACACAACATGGAGGGAGACACTCACTCCTAAGTATTGACCACACATGATGAACAGTGGTTAGTCTAACTGTTCAGGGTGTTGGATATGGGGGTCACTGATAAAACTGCTGGAACTTTACATACTCCCCCCCCTTCTGTTTGAATCCTTTCAGTGTCATCCATGCACTGTGGAACAGCATTTTGTTTCTGCAATGAAAGGATTCAGTGTGAGTATTGAGCACACTGCATTGCAAAGGTTTGGGATTCACATACCATAGGGCACAGTTGCTGGCTCTGCCTTTGTTTTGGAGAACCCTAGCATCAGTAATGGATTGTCCAAACATAACGTATTGTGACATGTAGACCCACTGCTGAGTAACAGGTGTGTAAACAGACAACATTACAACAGCTGTTGCTGGGAACCAGCTCTGTGGACACGTTTCCCCAGCAATGAGAAAACACAATAATGGAACAAGTGTTTTCTCTGCAGTCCCTGCTGGGGCTCTATAACGAGGATGAATACTTTAGTTGTTGAGTCAACTGAGAGGTGCCATTGTGAGAAGTGAGAAGCTGGAAGCTCAGGCTTGGGATAGTTTGGAAGACCAAAGGAAGGGGAATGTCCACCATTAGAAGCTGCTACCAAGCAACAGCTTGTGAAGACTACGTGTTCTGTAGTTCTTTGTAGTAACAAGTTGTATAGGTGTGCAGTAAATCCAGTTACCAATCCAGACTCCATCAATAATTCATGCTTACCGCGTGGCAGTATCTTGTTTCCATAGTTACATAAGCATGGAACCGTTTCTCAGTTGCGTAGGCCACGAGCTGTGAACCCAAGTAGCACTTACCATACAGCAGGTTTGTCTCTTTCATGTAGACCTTATGGATGCTCAGATCATTATAGCAGTGGCATTCCAGCATTTTACTGTGGGAGCTGATGGAAAGTGACACTTTTTTTCAGTTTGTATTCTTTAACCTTAAGTTCACACAGTTTTCTCCAGTCAAATATAAAAGATGAAGGATTGGCATCAGCACTGAGGCCAACTGTGAGCCTTGGCCTTCTTGTGGAGGTATAGCTCCAGTCTTTCTTAACTTTCAGCACTATGTGGAGGTGGGTGGTTACAAACCCCTGGGAACTATTGCGTAGAACACTGGGTTGACCCCAGATTTAGTCTGGATGCAGACACAAATACAATGCTGCCCTGTTTAGCACTGAATCCCAATTCTTTGGTTGTTCAGTCCATAACATAATCTCTATACTCACTGAGCTGTCTGGCTCCTAAATGCAAGTATGGGACACAAATATACATAGGTTGTCCAGAAAGTAAAGTGTGTTTGGTGCTTAAAAAAATTAATACAGTTAAAAAAAATATTTTACATTGTTACTACAGACCTTAAATCGTTTTTCTACATAATCCCCATGAAGATTCAGACATTTGTCATATCATGTGATGAGTTTCTGTATTCCTGCATCGTAAAAATCTGCTGCCAGTACATTGAACCAGTCTTTAAACCATCTTTTTCATTTCTTCATTACTACGCATGCATCGCTATGCCCAAACGGTCTTTACTATCTGGACGACCCTTATATCTTGGCTCACGTGTCACACTAAAAGTGTTCTTATATGTGTCATGGCACATTTACCTTCCTGTTTTCACGTGTTCTGGTGACAGCTGTCTGTTACTTCACTGGATGGTGGCTGTGCCAATGGACAACTTTGGGCCCTGGGCTGCCTGTCGCCGCAAGTCTGACTTTATGAGGAAGGTCAGGACTATGCCCAGTGCCAAAGCAATGCACAGTGCACCATTTGCCCACATATCATCTGTGACTTCCAGCAGCCATGAATAACAGTTGGTGAGTGCAATACCAAACAGCTGTACGGCAGCATTCAATATTCCTGCTGATGTGCCCTCTGGCTCCGGGTATGTGAGCTCGGCAGCCAGCTCAAAGCCCACTGGGAGGTAGCCCGTCATGAAAAACCTGAAAAAGTTATTTACCTAGGACAGTGTTTGTGTGGCAGACAAATTTGAGCAAAATTTTGAATTATATTGGTTATACTGAAACTTGTTGAATGAATGACAGTTTGGACTTCATTTTGCAAGGCCAGACATACACATAATGACTGCTGTGTGCCATTGTACTGTGGTTTGCTCAGATGTTAAAGAAAATTCACAGGCAGCCATAATGAAAATTATGATGCTGTACTCTCCAGACTACAGACAATTTAGTATAATTTATATGGCTTACTGATGCTATGACTAATTTGCACTGATAGAGATTTCCAGTATTTAAAAGTTGTCAGACATGACATAACCATGTTTTTAATTTGCAATGTACAAGTTTTGCATGCCTGTGTCTTATGATTCTTCATAACTTATATTCTTCACCTAGTATAATTAGAATGATCAAGTCAAGGAGGATGAGGTGGGCAAGGAATGTAACATGAATTGGGGAGAATAGGAATGCATAAAGCATACTGGTGGGAAAGCCAGAAGAAAAGAACCACTAGAAAGACAAAGACGTCTGTGGGTGGACAATGTTAAAATGGATCTTAGAGAGATAGGCTGGGGTGGTATGGACTGGATCGATCTGGCTCAGGATAGGGACTAGTGGAGGGCTCTTGTGAACGCAGTAATGAACCTTCAGTTTCCATTTAATGCTGGGAAATTCTTGAGTTGCTGCACAATTGACATCTTCTCAAGATGGGCTCAGCTCCATGAAGTTAGTTTAGTTAGTGTCTTATGATTCATTAGTTATCACTATTAGTCAAAAAGATACATTTTTTTTGCTGAATTTGCAATGAAGTTGCAAAAATATGCCTGTTTGCTTCACATGTCTGTCTGTCTTCTCTCTTTTAAGAAACTGGAAAATGATGACTGGGCACTGGGTGTGTGTGTGTATTATGGCATGTAGACCCGTTGCTAGGTAACGACTGAAACCAACAACTAGATAACGGCCTGTAAACAGCAACAGAGGAATGGTGTTTTCTGTGTGGTCTGCGCCGAGATGTTACAAGCAGGACAGTTAGTGAGGAGTCAGTGCAGTGAAGAGTAGCTGGTTAATCAGCATCAATGAGTTAGTCAAGAGTTGCTGTAGCTGAGGCTGGGGACAGTTCGGAAACCTAGAGGAACGGAAATGTCCGCCATTGGAAGCTGTTACCAGAAGACTGGTGAAGACACAGCAGGCCGAGAAGACTGAAGTGTGTGCTCAAGTGAACTGTAAAGTGTGTGAATTAGTGAAACGGTTATAATTACTTGTAGTTATGGATCAATAAATCTAATTACCAATCCAAACCTTGTATACAGTCATTCAATCATGTGGCAGTAAATATATACATATACAGTATATACTATATATACACACATAATACAGCCTTGTAAATACAATGCTTCTTAAATTATTGGTTAAACACCACTCAATCTATATTTCATTTCAGCCATATGAGGCCACCTTCAAACACACATGATTGTTGGACTGTTACCCTGCACTGTATCATTTCCCTCTGTATAAAACATAAAATGTAAAAGTTTAAAACTATTTTTCATTTTTAAAAACAAGCTGAGTTAAGCTAGTTAAATAAAATATACCCTCTTTCTGTGTTCTTTGCCATGTGCTGGTTATTGTTGTGTACTGTAATTCCAGTGATGTGTGTATCTTGGTGCTTTTGGCTCTATATGTTGTAGTGGTTCATAATCCACAGAAAAACAAGTTTTAGATTAAAAGTGATAAATTTAGGAAGTTAATTATAAAAAGTGACAATTTGTATGGAAAAATTCTGGCCATTTAGCCCAGAGGTTTCCAGATCCTGTTTTTCTGAGACTTAACTGATGTAAATGGTGAAGCAGAGTGAGGCCTCCCAACTTAGACTTAGTACAAGGTGTGGCAATAAAGAAACCGGATTCNTTCTGTCAACAAATTGTAAGTTTCAGTGGCAGATTTTCCAAGTTTTGTGAGGAATTTGATGTTAGCACGTTGTTCTGCATTAGCACTCAGCATTATTCCGACGGAGCTCAGAAACACGATCCGCTTCTAACAATGGTCGCGGCCAGACTAACCGATGCACGTGAATGAAACTTTGTGTGACGGTAGAGGGAAGTCCAAGGGTCAATGCCCTACCCTCCTCTTCGTCAATGACGTGGCCGGAAATGAGTCATAAAAGTAATCCGATTTCTTTATTGCCACACCTTGTATGTGATTTAGAAGTTCCTAAAAATAATTAATAATGGATTGTAATGATACTGTGACATGACAGCTGAAGGTTGGAATAGTGGAGGCAGAAGAGACTGCAGGCATGAGCTCAGTAAACAGATCCCTGCGGTAATAAATACACGTGCAACATCAGAACAACTGTCAGAAGCAGTGTGTTATGTGCAGTTCGTGGCAAGGATATATATCAAGAACCAGGAGGAGAAGTCTGCCAGCAGTGAGTTTCCTGATTCAATCACAGTTTGGAGACAGAAAAATATGGTCATGGGTTCCACAGGGCCTGGAACCAAGAGTGACTGTGCTCTTGAAGGCCAGTAACAATTTACCTGAAACTGGAAACCGAGCCAACCATGAGTTATGAGTTGATAGTCAGTTGTGAGTCAGGAGTCAGCACTCATAGCTTTGAGCACAGAAGTAGAGGAATCTCCATTGTTAGAAGCTGCTACCTGGCAATGACTAGTGATGACATAACCGACTGAGAAGACTCAGTGCGTGCTATGGTGATTTGTAGAGTATGCAGATTAATGAGAGTGTTATAATCATTTGTAGTTATGAATCTTTAAGTGTTTGGTAAATCCATTTAGGAATCTAAGCCCTGTGTCTGGTCACAAATATGTGACAGTATCTTTGATGTACTTTTGTATTGTATGAAGAAAGTCGTCTTCTGGGTTTAGGCGCCAGAAGACGACTTTCTTCATAGTCATCGCCGTGAAAACCTCAAAACTTACATTTTGTATTGTATGTTTGTAATTTAATATGGTATTTTCTTATCAATTTATATGTTTTTGAATTATCTAAACACACACACACACAGTTTGGTGACTATTCTGTTAGAGGAATATAAATATTTATTTCAGCCCTGACTGCCAAAGCAGTCAAAATTTCACAAATGTGAATAATTGCACTTACCCCAGGAGAGCTCCCGTGGCGTAGACAATGCCAATCTTTCCAGTGCTGAGAGTGAACATGTAGGCAACCATCCCCAGCAGTGAAAAGATGTACAGAGCCATGGTGGTCTCCCTGCAAGCAGTGAAATTGATGTGTGAGGCCAGGAGCTCACCGTAACCATTACACCTGTTATGGGAACCTGAAGGTTCACCATTGCTTGTGCTCAAGCTGCACACAGATGATTAAACCACTTTTAGCCCAGTGGTATATTATTTAATATTTAAATTTATCTGCCAAGCAGAATTAATTCTGATTTTAACACACTGATGTGGAGAAGAATAATATTATGACTTGTAACCAGAAGCATAACGTTTTGTTTCGACACAGTTCAGTTTCCGGTTCCCTTAGCTGTGCCATGTTCTAGGTGTCAAGTGGATGCTTCTGTTTGTTTTTCCCACCAGCAAAACATTTTGAACTACAAGAACAGTGCGGTATAGTGGTAATGACTCAGAGACACAGAATTGTATTTGGTAGTTGCTCTCTTTGTATTTTGTCCAGGGCACTGGCTATCCTGACTGAGGTTTTTCATGTTTTCCTCAGTCCTTCCAGGCAAATACTGTGATATGTTGATCAGGCCATGATTGCTTCCTTCAAAATCCTTCTGAACTTATTATTAGTCAACAGTTATCTTGATGCCTTATAGTCTAGATAATGACAGCATGTTAAAATAACCAACAAAGGAAACCAATTTAATTCTCAGCTTGTGTTTGTAAGGGGCTCCCAAAATGGCTGGGCACAAGTGTTGTGTGAGCTTCGTATGTGTGGGTCTAAATATGTTAATATGGATTTCTAAAATATACCACAAAATTTCCTTATGGATATGCTATGTCAGTTGTCCTACAAGTAAGCTATGAATGTTCTGACTTCTGGTCACATTTCATGTAGTTTACAAAGTGTCACCCATTGAAGTAGGTTGGCCTTGATCCTGCCAGGGGTCTAACAAGTATTCTGTTCGTTCATTATTGCTTTCAACCACTTTGTTCTGGTCTTTATACCATTCTATAATGATCTCTTTCATCTTCCTTACTGGCCCCCTTTTCATGCCAGATACATATTAAACCCCACATGGTTACAGCTTTAATAGTTTTATGACTCCATAGGATTATATGTACTCAGCCCACCCTCGCCATACATACTTTATGAGAGTCAATGTGATCAAGACAGGTTTCTATCTCTTCTAGGGTTATTATCCTCATTATAATTAGTCTCCATATCTTATAACTTGGCCCTCAAGGAAAGGGGTTTAACACTAGGGTGTTAACCCAGTCTTTTAAAAGACAGTTATGCACAGATTCATCAAAAGAAGAGAAACTAGACTGATAAAACACTGATAACAAGTGCAGAGCAAAAGAGTAAACTGACTGATTTGGTTGAAAAGTGGAATATAGCAGTCTGAATGTGAGCGGTAACAGCCATAAACTAGAGGAATTCATGGAACTAATGAGTAAAAAGATGGATGTAGCTATTTTGTTGGAAATAAAGAACCTAAATGGTCAACAGAACTAGGAATAGTACGTATATCCTAACCTAAAGTGAAGTTCCTGAAGATAAAGGAGCTGTGGCTGGTGTAGCCATAATGATACTGAAAAAGTGAATGAATAGAATGTATAGCTATAGATGAAAGAACTCTCACAATAAGATTGCCAGAAGAAGAGAAGAATGAAGATACATAGGAATTTTACAAAACATTAGAAGATACATTATGAAAAGCAAATAAAAATTACTCTTTGTATGCTAGGGTTCACAATAAACTGATACATTTTGTATTGTGGACAAAGGGAGCCAACATCATCAGAATGGAACTGATAGAATATGCAACTGAAAATGAATTGAGGATCAGAAAAACATTCTTCAGATACAAAGTCAACATGAATTTACATGGAGTACTAGCAATTGCAGTCAGTAATTTATTATATTTAGCAGGTAACTGGTGAAAGATACACATGTTTATAGAGGAGGACATATACGAGGGGGTACCCAAAAGAAACCGAACTTATTTTTTTTAAACTTATTTATTCAAATTTTAAGCACAAACCTTCAATCCCCTTCAAAGTACTCTCCACTTACACTAATACACTTGTCTAGTCTTTTATTCCATTTTTCAAAACATTGTCTAAATTCATCTTTTGAGATGCTTGACAGCGCCTCCGTCGTTTTTTCCTTTCATGTCTCTTTTCATTCAAGGAAACAAAAAAAAGTCGCATGGGGCAAGGTCGGGTGAGTATGGAGGGTGAGGAACAGGGGTCATACCATTTTTGGTCAAGAATTGTCGTACAGACAGGGCTGTGTGAGCAGGGGCATTGTCATGATGGAAAAACCAGTCACCCGACTGCCACAAATCTGGCCGCTGAGCTCCAAGTCACTCCCGACAGCTCCACAATTTCTTCAATGGTCCGTCGTCGATCTTCCTTGATGATTTCACGAATTTTTTCAACATTTTCATGTGTTCGGGCCGTGGAAGGACGACCAGAACGAGGTTTGTCATCAATTGACATTTCACCATTTTTGAAACGGGAAAACCACTCAAACACTTGAGTTTTCCCCATAGCATCGTCCTTGTACGCCGTTTTTAACATTTCAAGAGTTTCTGTTCCACTTTTCCCGAGCAAAAAGCAGAATTTCACCGCCGCACGCTGTTCACGAAAATCAGCCATTGCAAAAACGACGATCACACAAAACAGTTGTCACTATAAACTCTGCCGAAACTAGTCCTTACCTTCTGAAGCAACGGTAGTCAGCTTATCGACTCAGGAATGTTAGCTCTATGCGCTCATAGCGGCAAAACGCGGTACTACAAAAGCTCTGCCCACAAAAAAATTAGTTCGGTTTCTTTTGGGTACCCCATCGTATGTACATTCAGATCACTTGTTATTGCAAAATTATCAATGCCTAAAAGACAGAGCAAAGCACTGTTCAAAAACAAGCGAAGAAAGAGATATTTAATATACACTTATTGAAAGAATATCAAGTATTGGATTTATATTTGGAAAGACCAAATGGGTACAAGACAATGGCTATATGAGGAAAGATGAATGTAAGAACAAAAATAGTGTTATATAATCACATAATTGAACAAGTAAATAGTTTTAATTTCTTGGGATATACAATTACAACAATAAGAAACAGATTGGAGATAAAAATGAATAGATTCAACCAATCGTGCAACACAATAAGAAGAAATTTGATTAACAAGACAAGAAAAGATATGCAGAAAGAATTCTATAAAGTGATAGTTGTACCTGTACTTACATAAGCATCCAAAATTTGGACTAAAAAAAAAAGGAGGAAAAATTTGAAACTGCAGGAATTAAAATTTTTTATGAGTGTAGCAGGCTACACTAGGAAAAACCAAATAAATATTAAAATTATAGAGGAAATGAACATTTTTAATCTAATATTCTAAAATCCAGCTCACAGTGGAAAAATCACAATCTATGAATGAAAGAGAGATAAACTGTAAAGCAAATTTGTTTACATACAACCCAATATGATGAAACATAAGATGCTTATAGTTAAGATTGCGGGATCAACATTCTCTTCAAAGAGATTGCAACAGATCAAGCATAACTTAATCCCTGTACTGACTGAGCTATCATGTCATACAAGTGACATATTATTTAAAGCATTTTAACACTTTCGCTGTTCCCACAGAAGATTGGCACAAGCAGTAATGATTCTGTCCTGTGATTGGGAGGAGCCAAGTCCAAATCTCAGGCAGGATCCCAGCTATCCTACTGACTTTACATGGTTTTCCTCCATCTTTTTGGGCCAGCACCTGAGTCAGACCATGACTGATTTTTCAAATGCCAACCTTCTTTCCAGATTTTCATAATGAGTATGCCAAAGGTAAAGTTGTCCCTATGCTTAACTAATTAAGCACTACACCATGAATGTGTATAGGGAAGTGGATGTACAGATCCACTTTGTTTTACCTCAACAGCTGGAGGTGAGTGGTCAGCTTCACTCCCTGGCTGCTTTACCTCCAGGGAAAGAGCCCCTGGTACTCACTGAATAGGAGGTTGGGTGGACCCCAGGAGCCAGTCTGGATGATGTGGAGAAGAGATGTGGTAGCATAGTTGGTTAAGGCACTATGCTCCAAGCTGGAAGGTGGCGGATTCGAATCTCAATGTCATTGGATTTTTCAACTGACCTAACCCTTCCAGCTGAAGTATGATTGTGGGGTCAGCTCAGCCTGTAACAGAAATGAGTATGAGGAATCTTCCTGGGGGTAAAGAGCAGCTGGCACATAAAGCTGACCTCACTGCCATCTGTGAGCCAGTTGTCTAGAAAATGTGGCAGCCTTGATATCTGACAACCATATGGGCCTTCACAACCTGTTACAGGGATAGGTTTACCTGGGTGACTAGAGAGAAAAAAAATCTTGCCCTAGTGGGATTCAAACTCTGACTCGTTATCCTTCAAGCATGTAGCCAGTTGCTATACTGACTGCACTATCCCAGCTTACATCTACACCTAAACCAGTCTTATTTTCGCTGTTACGCTCTTGATTTTGTTCTTTGTTTGGTCCATGACTGGAAGAAGGAAAGCTATATGTCAGTATGTTAACGTGTGTTCTTGTTGTATTGCTACACTCACTTGAACCTGTGGGTCTTATCAAGCACAATTCCAGACAGAACTGAGCCCAGCATGCCTGCCAGTACCATCAGTAGCCCAATACGGCCTGCGTCTTCCTCTCCATTCTGTAATGAGACATGCCAGCACATTTAAGTTGGCATTATGAATGACAGACAGGAAACATGTAGAGCAGTCTGATAGCCATGTGTCTGTTGGTAATACCATGAAATATTTTTCTTCTGTTTCTTATGTATGGGTAACATTTCCATGTGGGATGTGTTGATGTGTTGTAAGGGCACATGTGCATGGTCTGGCTGGCTGAGTGTTAACTGCCATGGAAGTTTCACGTCTTAACAAGTAATTACCAAAAAAATTGGTCTCGAGGTGCTCAGTTCAGATCTTTCCAGGACACAGTCAATTGTAAGGTTTTTCATGGTTTTCCTGTTCCGCCAGCAAAATACCAGAATAGTACCTCAATGAGGCTGTGACTGCTTCTGGCCAGATCCTTTCCATCTTATCACTTATCTGTTATCATGCCATCAGACGCTACATAACATTAATACTGAAAGGACATAATTAAACAACCTATAGGAAAAATAAGAAAAGGAAGCTTAAAAGTAAAAACTTAGTTGTTCAGTATTTTATATTATTACAAACTCAGTATTCATGAGTGTGACACAACATTCCCATCAATGAGCACTATCTTGATCCCGTCCCATCTAGCCAATATGCATGAAATTCAATTAAAGCAAAGTGGTAATTATACATATCACAGGCTGTAATATTTAAAAACTCTGAATTTTGCAGAGGCAGTGTGTTTGTGCATTTTATCTGATTCTCACAGTAAAGAGCTATTATTTCCCTAAACACTGATAACTAGTTGATCTTTTAATAAAGACATGGTATGTTTTCCATGAGTTAGGAACCGAATTTTTAAATGTTATTTACATGAACTTCAGACCAGTCAATTAATGTTTTTCAAGGGAAATAACAAAACCCACATGCACTGTGTAAGATAAATGCAGCAATTTTTAATATTAAGGCAGGTGATGCATATAATAACCACCATTCTTTAAATGGCTGGTATTCTCCATAACAATGGCTTACAACATTGATAAAATGAAACATTAACATAAATGAGCCCCTAACCGGAAAGTAGATGAGAACCACTTGATTGAGCAGCGTTGAGATGGCATAGAACACGCCCACGTTTAAGCCATATGACATCATGAGCAACACGTAACCTCTGTTTGTTACCAGCCGCTTCACAGAGCCCACAAAGTTAGTATCCTCCTTCGCCCGCTGCTCAGCCTGGGCAAGACTGGGTGGCAAGGGAGGTTCTGCCTTGAACACTGAAACATGGATACAGGCCCTGTCTGTCTATTACTGTAGCTGGATCAGAGAAAGGATGGACATGGTTGGTGCAAGTTTAAAGTCAGCCACAGTTCTCCTGCCCTGCCTACATTGTGCACCTCTGTCAACACCAGTAACAGACCAAGAATGTAGATTGAGAGACAAGACAGCCTGTGGATTGAACAAAAGCCAGACTGCAAGTGACATATAGTGGGAATGGCAGCAGGCAGGCAGAAGGGAGTTACCTATTGCGCAGACCGGGGGGGGAGTATATTCATTCTGTTACTGACCTGCATATAGCCACAAACAGTCTGTACTGTTAACAGCGAAACTCACCTTTGACAATATTCTTAAGGAGTAAATACCACAGATTACTGTATACTATCTTCTCAACCATTTTACAGACATATGGTTTTATTACTATGATCTCATCTTCCTCCTGATTAATGTCAATTATCAAAGTATCCTGTCCATTTCAGTACCTCACAATGACAAATAAGCTGCACTACACTGTAGAGAACTGAGGTTCTCTCAGCAGTGAATATTAATATTTTTTTTTATTGCTAGTGGGGTGGGACTAAGTCCCTTGTACTGCGGCCACTTCTGGCCTATTGTACCAGCCCCAGATGATAGGTGAGGGTGATTGTGGAGCAATTTGTGGAATGAAGATTGGCAGGGGAAACCGAAGTACTCAGAGAAAACCTCCTCCAGCGCCACTTTGTCCACCACAAATCCCACTTTACCAGACCTGGGATCGAACCTGGGCCGCGGCGGTGGGAAGTCAGCGACTAACCACTTGAGCTATGGTGCGGCCAAATATTAATATTACAGTCTTGTGACATGTGAAGCCATGTAGTTTTGTAGAGAGATTCCAATGTTTTGGAAGAACCTGCTGCCTCCATCTTTGGGGTAAAAGGATAACCTGAGTGGCAGACAATTGTATGTCATATACAGAAGGGAGGACTGGTAATTGAGTTGTGATTGAACCAATGGAAACATATGGCTATGTAAAGGGATGTTGTGTCATTTAATTTCCTCCATTCCTCACTTCACCTTTCTTAGGTCTTCACATTTTACTTTAGTTTGAGACGTATCCAATTACTTTCTTCAAGCTACAATAGACAAATTGTAAATATTCTTATACTGTATATGCAGACTTCATGTTTTGGATCCTGTTGCTCCATTCTGTGTTCTACAGCAGGCTGATTCACTTCAGCTTATTTATGACGACTTTCCTCATTATTTCTTTGGAGTTTTGGGAGTATGATCAGTTTACATAGATTGGTTACTAGCCCAAGGCAAGGAACTTGATTTCAGGGTTTCTTCCCCTAGAGAATGTGGCTTCACTACAGCTGTTGAAACTTCTCTACCTCTTGTGGGCTGATCTTCTCCTTTGGTCAGCCTGCAGTGTTATGTGGGTCATAATGACTATTGAGCTGCCCTGTTTTAACCCTCAACAGGTTACTAATGGAAGCATGGAGCCACTCTACTGAACATGTTCAAATTCTTCCTGCTTAATGTTCAAGATGGAACTCCTGAGTTATGTTTCAGTGATGTACTGGAAGTGATAAGAGCATCCTTATTGTCACTGATCACTTGAATGGTATTTGTATGATATTTAGTTTCAGGTCCCAGTAATTCTGAATGTTTTTATTTCATAAGTGTTTTCATTGACATCGCCTGTCAGCAAATGAACTAGTGACACATGTCACCTTCTACCCGAGCAAAGCTTCCAGATGTTAATTGTTCATCTTTATTTGCATGAAGTATGTATGTTTCAGCTCCAAAACCTAGTTATGGATTCAGATTTATTCAGTATTGGTATCTACACTAGAAATCATATGGAGATTTTATTTGTAGTCAATATTGGTCAAGGATAACTTCTGCTTTACATGAAGCTTATATTAAACTATCAACATTTACAGACCCACCCTATTCTCTAAGAAATATCTATGAAAAATAAATATAGGCATATACTAGAACTTCCTTATTCTATAACCAGCCAACTGTCAAGTCAGAGATGAAGCCCCATATTTAGAGACGAAGGATATGACATGCTGCTGCCTAGTCAGAACTATGATACACTTCAGGAGACTTTGATGGATGGCTATGGAGTAATGGCAAAATGATTATTAGCAGGTGAAAACTGAATAAATTCACAGAAAAACCTGTTCCAAGTGCCATTTTGTCTATTACAAATGTGTCACGAAATCACCCAGGATTGAACCTGTGGCTCCATGGTGGGAAGCCAGCATCAACCATCTCAGCAATGGCACAGGCCAACATCTCATTAAGTGACTTCCGGTTTAAACAGATTTTAACACGGGGAACATTTGATTATATTCATCATAGAAGTTCAAGTGTATCTACCACATGACATTTGTACTGGATTTGTGTCTGCAGTAAGTGAATGGTGATTTCTACATGTTGTTTAGGGCAGTGCATTCATGAACTTCGCTGCTGCAGTGACCACTTAACTCGGACACTTTCGTGTAATTAATACGGTAGCTCTGTTGTACTCACATAGTATGATTAGCACCAGTAGCACTGTGGTAAAGCCAGCCACAGAGTAATACATGACAGACAGATCATGGCCAATCTCATCCAAGCTGTCGTGGTTCTTCACTATCATTGGTGGGATCAGGAAACCAATGGCTATCCCCAGCTGTCAACAGGAGTAATTTCACAGTTATGACCCTTCATCTAATGCTGACAGAGCAACTAAATAAGGAAGGATGTGATGAATGGGCCATGTACAACATGTGACGGGGGGGGGGGGATGAGTGATCCATACAAAATTTTGGTCAGAAACCTGAAGGGAACTGATTGCTTAGGAGACTGCAGAGTAATTATCAGCAGTAATAAAATGATAAAATGTTAGTAATTAGTCAGTACAAAAGTGCTGTCATTATGAACATTTCAAAACAGAAAACAATCTCCGTGGTTTTAGTCTACAAGCAAACTATACTGACTGAGCTACTGCCGCTTATCGGCGAAGTTAGTGCCAACTTTAGTGGATAAAGGGTGTCGCATGGTCAGCGCAAACGAATCCTACGGCCGTTAATTTCGGTTTTCTAGACCGGAGCCACTATTTCCTTGAACTAGCTCCTCAGTTATCCTCACAGGGCTGAGTGGACCCCATTCCAGATCTACCACTTCTTAGAAAATCTGGTAGCACTGAGAATCGAACTCCGACCACTAGGCCACAGAGGCGATCCATTTCAAAACACCAGAAAATTCAAATGCAGAAATCAGTAATTTTTACATTTCCTTTTTATGGCAGTGAAATGTGGGGTCTTACTCAGATGGAAGAATATGAATCAAAAGTGTATGAAAACAGAGACTGAAAGAAAATATTTGGTCATGAGAGGAATGAACGAAATAATGAATTTATGTATTTTATAATGACAAACTGCGTGGTCCATGCCACTCTACTAGCCCTTAACTGGGCATATGATCCACAAACAGTAACTTCCTTGGTGTTGGAAAATTTTATATTTATTGTTTGACAGAGTTTTGTTTATCCATGTATTCTTCAGCTAATGAAATGGATGTGACATGTACTCTTAATTAACATTTAGTGCTGTGTTGTGATTGGTGGAGCTGTTTGAACTGGCTGTACGTCATTACAAGTTACGCAACTTTTGTTATAGTTACTTTTGCATGTTTTGGCTGCACTTTTGTAGACATACTTGTTCTAATTTATTATACAAACACTACTCAGAAAGAAACAGCTTTGTGTTTACTGTAGGCCATCATTATATAATTATTTGTACAGGTCTTGTGACTTGTTCAATAATTCGGACACTGGGAAAGAAAGTGTCTCAAGTAACTTGTTTTGAAAATGGGCAATCATCAAGACCTTCAGAAACTACTGGAAGCTGTCCTTGGGTCCAGTGGCCACAAGAGTGCACACTTGATTACTACAGTCAACTCTCGATTATCCGGGGGCGGATTAACCGGTTTGCGGCTTAACCGGGGCTTTTTTTTTTAAGTTTATATGTTGTTTAATATTCATTCACTTTTGTTTCACATGGTGAGTTTAACACTATTTTCGCACTAGTGTGAACCGAGCTCTGCATTATTTCGTCCCGTTATGCGAACACAATGTTCTAGGGTGGGGGTGAAAGAATGCAAGAATTTTTGGAAAGTTTCAAGGACAAATACACCGCCCCAGGTTATTTAACGGTACCATCTCAGTGTGAGAGTGCATTGTGAAAGTAAGT